GCGGATGGGGCGGGGGATGTGGGGCAGACCGGAGCCAGAGGAACGGAGGGTACGGGCGGGTAGGTAGGGGGATAGTAGGTCGGAGAGGTAGGAGGGAGCGAGGCCGTGAATGGCCTTGTAGGTGAGGATGAGGATCTTGAATTCGATCCTCTGGGGGATGGGGAGCCAGTGGAGGCGAGCGAGGGCGAGGGTGGGAGTGATGTGGTCCCGAAGCCTGGTGCGGGACAGTACACGAGCTGCAGAGTTCTGAATGACCTGCAGCTTGCGGAGGGAGGTGCCGGGAAGGCCGGCGAGGAGAGAGTTCCCATAGTCCAAGCTCAAGGAGGATAAGGGGAGATGGAAGGAGCCTTGGTCACACAGATGGACAGAATGTCCTTTGTCAATTTGACCAGGGCTGTTTCTGTGCTGTGGGCGGCACGGAAACCCGATTGGAGGAGTTCGTAGTGGGAGTGACGGAAGAAGAAGAAGAAGAAGCAAAGCTGGGAAACAACAATTTATTCCGGGACGTTGGAAAGGAAAGGGAGGTTGGAGATGGGATGGTAGTGGGGGAGCAGGGGTGGGACCAGGGGAGGTTTTTTGAGGACGGGGATGATGACGGCTATTTTTAAGGGGTTGGGTAACCTGCCAGTGTTCAAGAAGAGATTGATGATATCTGTGAGTAGAGGGGCAAGGGGATAGGGAGAGGGGTAGGGATGGGGTTGAGGGAGCAGGTGGTGGGCTTCATTTTGGACATGTTGGAGGTGCTGAAGGGGGGGAGACAGGGTTGAACGTGTGGAGGGAAGAGTGGGTAGGGGTCGGAGTGCGGGGGTGGTGGGGAGGGGGTGTGATGGGAGGTGGGGAGGGCGTAGCAGTTGGAAGGGCAGAGGCATGTATGTGCGTAACTATGTGTGTGTGTGTGTAACTGCGTGTGCGTAACTGTGAGTGTGCAACTGTGTGTGTAACTATGTGAGTGTGTGTGTAACTATGTGGGTGTAACTATGTTTGTGTATGTGTGTAAATATGCGAGAGTGTGTGTAATTATGTGTGTGTGTGTAACTATGTGTGTGTAACTATGTGTATGTGTACTATTTGTGTGTGTAACTGTGGGTGTGTGTAACTATGTGAGTGTGTGTGTGTGTGTGTGTGTACCTATGTGAATGTGTGTGTAACTATGTCTGTGGGTGGACCCGATATGTGCGTGTAATTATATGCGCGTGTGTGCAACTATGTGTGTTTGTGTGTAATTACGTGTGTGTAACGACGTGCAATCATTGTGTGTGTTGATTTGTTTTAAAGTAATTGAAACGAAACTACTCATTTGTACAACGATGCCGGTGGAACTTTATAATCAACCTGTGCATTGCCCTCTCTTGTCTCTCTCTCTCTCTCTCTCCGGGTTGGTTCAGGCTGCTGATCCGAGGGGAGCGAGAGAGAGAGCGCGAGAGCAAGTGTGCGAGAGAGAAAGAGGGAGAGAGAGGAAAGCGAGCGAGAGAGAGAGAGAGTCGAATGACTCAGAGACAACGTGCGCTCCCTGAAGCTTTGCTGTTTCAGCACTTTTTCCCACTAAACAATCGATTCCCTCCTCCCTGCGGAAGGACAGCTTCACTGCAGTACAGAGCTGTTCACGTCAACACGTTCCAAGAGGGGTGGGGTGGGTGTGTGGGGGGTGGGGGGGGGGGGGCGGTAAGCGAGGCTAGGTTTGCTTTTTAAACAGACAGGGGAACACGTCACGACGGCACGCACGCACACGCACACACGCGCACGCACACACACACACACGCGCACCGGGATTATTAATGTACAACGCTGATTAACGTTCCTTTTTTTATTAAGCGAGAGGATCTGTGGCTTCGATGCCTGGGCCGGGGGAAACGTGAGGCGAGTTTCCTTACTCCACCCGCCCGTGTTTCGCGAGCAGTGAGCAGGAACCCAGTCGTTAGTCGAGTGGCCGATCGCTTTTCCGGGGGGTAATAACCTCTGTGGGGAAAAAAAAAAAGACAAGATAAATAAATAAGAATAAATTGGTCACTCAACCCGCGAGAGTTTGTGGGGACGCCGCTGTGCACAATTGGCTGCCGCGCGTCGCCCACAAAACATTCAGTCAATTCACTTTACAGTCTATTCCGTGAAGTGCTTTGGGACGTCTCGAAGACGTGATAAGGTGCTACCAGTCGTGTCAGGGAATCATCCCACTCAGCTCCTGTTAACCCTGAAAGCCAAAGGCTTAAAGGGTAGGGTGGTCTTTGATGGACAAGCAGCAGGAAAGCCGTACTCTCAATGGCAAACCGTGTGGTCTTAGCAGTTACCCCAAAGCACGCTCTGGCTTCCCCAAGCCTTGGCTCTTGCCAACCTGCGCCTAATCCTGAGCGGAATTAGGTAAGCGGGATGCGTCCCTCCAGGGAGAGAGCGCATTCCATTCCAGCAATCTATCTCTGGATTTCCACGCCTCAGTGGGATGCATGGAATTAGCAGCTCGGTTTGGAGACTCTTCAGCAACGGTGACGGGTTTCCGTGTGTGTCGGACACCTGGTTGGGCAAAGCGAACGCTCTGCCCCCCCAAATCTCTCCCTCGTGTAGTCGGTTCTCAGGAAGGGAGAGGAGGGAAGGCTGCGAATGCCTTCACTGCCCGGCTCAGGGTCTGTTATCTGTTCCGTCTCACCTTTCCGTGTCCTTACACTCACCACGACAGCACGTGGGCTCCTCTCCCCCCTCCCCCTCCCCCCCCCCCCCCCCCGGGACTTCCCTCCCCCCACTCCCCCTCCCCAGCCCACGCAGTTTGTGATGTAAGCCTCAAGGACACAGAGTGTCCCCTTCACTAACCTTGGGCTGTAATTGAAGGGGATGTGGCCTCTGCAACGCAACACGGCACAGTTTACAATCGTATTAAATTGTACTCATGCACATTGACCAAAATAATAATGATTTGGTCGCCAAATAACGATTGGGTCGCTCGCTTCCCAGCTGAGCGCGGGGCTAGGCAAATTCAGTCACTACACTCGACGGCAGTTTCCTGCGCAGCACTCTGATCCCCTTCTCGTCTCCATCACCCGCGCGTGTCTCTCGCTTTCTCTCTCTCTCTCTCTCTCTCCCCACCCCGTGTCCTCTCCGCAACCTCTCAGCAAAGAAACTCTCAAAATAAATTTGCTGACGCGTTTCTCATCCCCGTCTGCACGCACGAACATCCTGCATTTCCCTCCCCGCCCCCTCCCTTCCCCCCGCGCACAGTCTCTCACACACAGTGTCGCACGCACACGCGCGCGCGCACACACAGACGCGCACAGTCTCCCTCAGACTAAATTCGCAAACCAACCAACCAACCTGGAGAAGCTAATTGCACCAGATGAGGCGGCCAATTATTCCGCCTGAGAGAATTTACGTTTCGCTTCTAGGAGCAGAGCGGGAGCCGCTGTCTGCAGCGCGGCCGGCAGCTCTCTTGCCTCCAGCCGGCCGCAGAGCCCCGCACCTCATCTGCCAGCCCCACGCTCCGCAGATGAAACCTCTCATTACTGCTGAAGTTGGCTTCACACCCAGCAGCGCTGCACGCCTCAGGCTGCGACATATGTTCGACCTGCGCCGTGTGCGCCGGCACTAATTAGCTGGCAGAGAGACGAGGGATGGCAGCTCTCATCGTAACACTGGTCTCACAGCGCTGATTGATAATAATAATAATGATAATAATAATCCTTGCATTTGATATAGCGGCTCGTCAGGTCTTCGGGACCTTGCAAAGTGCTTCACAGGATGCACTACAACGTGCAGCGACTCTGTATTTTGCGGCTGAAATGCGGTACAGCAGTGTCCCACAGACAGTCATGGATCGAGTGACCAAATCTTTTTTTGAAGGTATTATTACCCCCGGAAAGTGATCCGCCGATCAACTAACAACCGGGTTCCTACTTCCTCTCGGTAAACAGAGGCGTGTGGAGTAAGGAAACTTGCCCAACGTTTGCCCTGCCAAGGAATTGAACCCGGGTCATCTCGCTGGCGAGACGAGTGCTCTAACCACTACGCTACAGGACTCCACTCTGTCTGTCTGTCTGTGTGTGTGTGGAGGGGGGCAGTGCTGTGTGAATGTATGTGTGTATGTGCGTATGCGGGGGTGGGGGGGGGTGGGGAGTCTGCAATATATCTGGGATCGCTGATCAGCCCGAAAGCTGATAATAAAGAATAAAGGACACGTGAAATTGAAAAATATTTTTATGATAACAAGACGCCTGATACATAATTAAAGCATTGACATCGCCCACGGAATGCAACGGGACCAGTTTTATCACAGGCGGCAGCCAGCGCCCCCACTGCCCCCCCCGCCATACACACACCTCAACAACCCCTCACCCCCACCCCCACATGGGGCACTTGTATTTCTGATAAGACTGGACAGTGATGGTTACACGGTGCCTGACATTCATCCTGTCAAAGTACGTATCGCAATTGCAGACAACTATTCTCGCGTGAAGGCAGCTGTACACATGTTGTGGATAATAATAATAATCCTTGCAGTTGATACAACGCCTTATTGCGCCTTCGAGATGTCTCGAAGCGCTTCACAGAATATACTACACAGCGAATTGACTGTGTGTTTTGTGGGTGAAATGCGGCGGCCAATTGCGCACAGCAGCGTCCCCACAAACACCGAGCGATCAAATCATTATGATTCTTGAAGGGATCGTTACCCCCGGAAATAGGGTTCCTACTTACTGCGAGGTAAACAGAGCCGTGTCCAGTAAAGAAACTAGCCCTGCCCGGGAATCAGACCCAGGTCCTCAACTCGCTCCAAAGTGACCCGTATGGCCACGACAGATCAGAATCGGGCCCCCGCCCTCTGTGACGGTCTCTAGTCCGGTTCCTGAGCCAGGAGGGTCCGCAGTATTCCAGAGCACTCACTGCTGACAACAGCACAGCCCGGCCCGGCTCATCGGCAGGACCTGGAAGGGCAGAGTCGTCGCTGGGGACAGGGAATCCGCCCACTCAGTTCCTGTTAAACCTGCAGCCAAAGCCCTAATGGGGAGGGTGGTCCGAGCTGGACGAGCAGCGGGGAAGCTTGGCCATTCAGCGATATCAATGGTAAGCTGTGATGGTTTGTGGTGGGCACACGTTGGGGAGAAGCTTCATGAAAATAGCTGCAGAACGAACTCCGGGCTCCACTCCACCGCGGTATTGACAACGGCAATAGCAGCGGCGCCCAGTGTGGCAGTCAGTGCCCACACTGCCATCCGGACCAGCTGGCTGGCGCCAGGCGAGGATGTGGGCTGGCACTGGGCACCCGCGCTCTCCCACTGCTCGCTACGTAGCACCCGGTCCGGCCGCTGCAGGCACCTGGACAGCTGGAAACCCTGGAAACTGCTGACGGCGATACTGTGGGTGGAGGGAAAAACATGTCACAGAACCACCCTGCCTCTTACACACTCTCACACTCACACACACACACATCTTCGAGACGTCTCAAAGCGCTTCAGAGAATATAGTGTAAAGTGAATTGACTATCTTTTGTGGGCGAAATGCGGCAGCCAATCGCACACAACAGAGTCCCAGAAACAGTCGTGGATTGAGTGACCAAATTATTATTACTTATTTAACTCTTTTTTTTTTTAAAACATGGGATTATTACCCCCGGAATAGCAATCCGCCAATCGACTAAAGCGTGTGGCGTAAGGAAACTTGCCCAACGTTTCACCCCGCCCGGGAATCGAACCCAAATACTCTCGCTTGTGAGACGAGCGCTCTAACCACTACAACAACAACAAGATTTCATTTATAGAGCGCCTTTCACGTCGGGAGGACGTCCCAAGGCGCTAAGCTACCGGACTCCACTATCTATATAGTGCCCTTCACGCAGGGTAGCATCCCGAAGCTCTTGACAGCGGCGGAGTCTGACAACAAGCCAGGGGAGAGGGAGGAGGGGGAGAGGTGACCCTAAGTACGATTAAAAAGGAAGGGCTTTAGGCGGGATTTGAAGGTGGCGAGGCAGGAGGCAAGGCGGATGGATTGAGGGAGAGAGTTCCAGAGCTTCGGGACGTAGTGGCTGAAGGCAGGGCCACCGATGGTGGAGCGGAGGGGACGAGGGACAAGCAGGAGGCCGGAGAAAGCCGACAGAGCAGCGGGTGGTGGAGCGGGGAGTAAGCAGGTCGGAGAGGTAGGGAGGTGCGAGGGCACGAAGGGATGGATTTGAAAACAAGTGAGAGGATGATGATATTATTAGAGTATGAGCTTGCCTCTTGTGGTGCTGCAGGGCGGGTAGCTTGGCGAGCTGAGAGGGCGGATAGCGCGAAAACAGCTCTTCTGCTCTCTGTATCAGGGCTTGGTACGGCAGGTCCTGTGGGATCTGGGACAGCAGCTGGTGGACACTGGGCATGTCACAGTCACACCTCAGGACAGCCTCTTCCCTGTGCAGAACAACCTGAAACACAGACACACCCGCCTGTCAGCTCTCCCCCACAGAGCAACCCACTCTGCCACAGGTCAGGTACGGCACCGGTCACACGCACGTACCTCACACCCAACAACAACACATTACATTTACACAGCGGCTTTCAAGTCAGGAGGATGTCCCAAGGCGTTGGACAGTCAAGGACTTGGACCTGAACTGGTGGGGAGTGTTGGGATCAGTTGATGGTAGGGCGGGAGATGTGGAGCAGGTCAGAGCTTGCTGAGTGGAGGAGGGAGCAGACAGGTTGATATGGAGTTAGCAGGTGACAGAGGTATGGAGTGGAGGGCCTTGAAGGTGTGAACGAGGATACTGAACTCTACTCAAACTATCATTCAACGGTTTCGCCATCTCCCACCTCAATTTCTCCGACGTGTTCCTCGCTGGTCTGCCCAGCGCTACCAATCACACAGTCTAACCAATTCAACCTCCACCAGCCGTATCCTCAGCCACACCAAACTCTGCACCATCATCACCCCAGTCCCGCAGTGTAGTAGTTAGCGCGCTCGCTTCGCAAGGCAAGAGGATTCCCGGGTTTGATTCCCGGCAGGGCAAAGCTTAGGTGAGTTTCCTTACTCACACATTCTTCTGGTTATCTAGCAGTTGGAACCCGATTGTTAAGTCAACTGGTGGACCGCTTTTCCGGGGATAATAATAATCCCTCCAAAAAAACATTCGATCCACGACTGCCTGTGGGACACTGCTGTGCGCAATTGGCTGCCGTGTTTCACCCACAAAATATACACTTTGTAGTATATCCAGTCAAGTGCTTTGATGCGTGTCAATGACGTGAAAAGACGCTGTATCAAATGTAAGGATTATTATTATTGTTATTATTCAGGACAATTGGCGAAAGAACCAGAGGGGGGAACGGTGAGAATTTTTCTTAACAGAGAGAGAGAGTTGTTACGGTCTGGAATGCACTACATTGAAAGGGCAGTGAAAACAGATTCGATAACAACTTTCAAAGGGGAATTAGATAGGTAGTTGAAAAGGAAAAATTTGCAAGGATATGGGGGAAGAGCGGGGGAGTGGGACTAATTGGGCAGCTCTTCCAAAGAGCCGGCTCAGGCACGATGGGCCGAATGGCCTCCTTCTGTGCTGTAATATTCTCTGATTCTACACAAAGTGAGTGACCTCGAATGGAAATCGTATGCGTGCGCTAGACAGGTTACTCACCGACCCCGCGCTGACAAGGGGCTGACTTTTCCCCACGGGGAGGAATGGAGGGGGAGAGGTGGAGTGGGAGGAGGAAGGCTGAAACAACCACCTACCACTGCAGCGAAGTAGATGGCCATGAGGGGGTGACTCGCCAGGAAGAAGTCGTACAGCCGGACTGTGTGGCAGAACTCAGAGAGGACATGTCCATACCAGGTGATCAGCCAGCTCAGTGCAAAGATGGTGCCCACCTCAGCCCTGCAACACACACACACACAAACACACACTCGTACACACTGCAGACAGCCAGAGGCACTGCTGGGTGGGATAACAACAACTTGAACGTATATTCGGCACTTTCAGGCCAGGTTACTGAGCAAGGTAGGGAGGGGAAAGCTCCTAACCGAAACCACGGTCAAAGAGGTAATAATAGTAATCCTTGCATTTTACATAGCGCCCTATCGTGTCTTCGAGACGTCTCAAAGCGCTTCACAGAATACACTGTAAAGTGAACTGTCTGTGTATTTTGTGGGAGAAATGCGGCAGCCAATTGCAGTGTCGCGGATGGAGTGACCAAATGATTATTATTTTTAAATTTTATTTATTTATTTTTTTTAAAAAGGATTATTACCCCCGGAAAAGGACCTGGATTCCCGGGTGGGGCGAAACCTTCGTAAAGTTTCTTTACTCCACGCGCCTCTGGTTACCCAGCAGTAAGTAGGAGCCGGATTGTTAATCAATCGGCAGATTGCTTTCCAGGGGTAAGAATTCTTAAAAAAAAAATGGTTACTCAATGCATGACTGTTTGTGGGATGCTGCTGTGTGTGTTTCACCCACAAAATAACAGTCAATTCACTTTACAGTATATTCTGTGAAGCGCTTTGAGATGTCTCGAAGAGTTGATAAGGCGCTATATCAAATGCTAGGATTATTATTATTATAATAGACATTTCCTAACGGCTGTACAAAGTGCCAGTGGCAAAGGTCAGAGAGCAGACTGGCAGCCTGTCTCACGTGTTACAGGAGTGTGTCTGCGCTGGTGCTCTGGCCACTCGCTGGGCACGGGACGTGGAAATTCACCTCTGGATAAACTCGTGAAGCTCTGGCTTCACTTGCTCCAAGATGGCCATCAGGTAGTTGAGGATATGTTTGGTGTTCTCCATTGTGTTGTCCATGAAGTCCCTGTGGAAAGAAAGTGGAGGGGACGTCATCACTGTTATTATAATAATAATCCTTGTTGGGGGTCAAGTGACCTGAAATGGGGGGAAGGGGGGTGCAGCAAGAGCCAGGTGACTGGCCTGAGATTAGAGGGGTGGGGGAGGGAAGAGTGCGAATGACTTACTGACCTGAGATGATGGGTGGAGAGGATCTGCAGGAGAGCCGCAGCCATGCGTGGCCCCATCACCAGCAGGAAGGTGACGGCGATGTCGTGGTAGCCCTGGTAATAGTGCAGTTGTGGGTTCCCCTTCAAGACGTACAGGATCACGTCAATTAGCTGCTGCTGCAGTGCCACCCGCTGATCCACTCGCATGCCTGTCCCCAACATAACACAACACAGCCATTTAGCCAGCCAGCACTGACACGACGGGGAGAGAGAGCACAGCGCTCCGGCGTTGAATGGCCTCTGTCTGCGATGGACTTTCTATGATTCGATGGCCCGAATTCCTGCAACGATCCAGGTCCCCAGGATAACACATGAGCAGGATTTTTTTTTCCATGTCTGCGGCCTCTTTTACTTGACACCTGCCGGAGATCAACTCATCTCACCCCATCCACCCGGCCCAAAGTAAATACCAACCCAGCTTTCCTTTACCTCTGGCCAGACCTGTGTGCAGTATTCCTGCAGATTCATTGGCAGAAATAACAGCTGTTGGACCCAGCAGTGCTGCAGTGCCATACGTGTCCCAGTAGACGGCAACATAGAGAGCCAGAAAGGTACACATAGCTGCACCTACCCACCCCACTCGCCTCCAAAAATGTTGGGTCATTCAGTCAATCATTTATACGAGTTGTTAAACCGAGATCCTGTTGCCTATTCCGTGGACGTTAAAGATCCCGCGGCGCTCTTCAGAAAGGGCAGGAAGTTTCTCTCTCCGGGTGTCCTGGCCAACGATCCCCCAGATAAAATTTGCCATTAAATTTTTTTTTTTTTTTTTTTTGCTTAAGAGTCTCCAAACCAAACTGAGAATTCCACGCATCCCACCTACACATGGAAATCCCAGAGACAGATTGTTGGACTGGAATGCGCTCTCTCTCTCCCTGGTGGGACGCATCCCGCTTACCTAATTCCGAAAAAGTATTAGGCGCGGGTTGGCAAGAGTTGGCCAAGACTCGGGGACCCCACAGTTGTTGTGGTTTGCGTATGAAACCCTTTCGGTAATGCGACAAGGTGCTGTAACACGTGCGAGGATGCTACTCATTAACTTCCTTAACTTTCTGTCTGACGCTCACCTTGTGGGAACCTGCTCAGTGACCTCTTCACGTCCATCAGCACCTGGTTGTAGTCCTTGTGGTTTGTTCTTACAGCTTTACCTGTAGAAATGAGTGGTCACATCACAGGCTCCTCTAACTCACAACCTTCTCTGCTCTCATACCCTACACCTACACCATTACACAAGAGAAAGTCTGTTGCTTTTTTCCTTTGGGTTAGAGGATAGAGTTCAAAATTCTCGTCCTCGTCTTCAAAGCCATCCACGGCCTTGCTCCTCCCTACCTCTATGACCTGCTCACCCCGTATCAACCTGTCCACTCCCTCCGCTCAGCAGGCTCCGGCCTGCTCCACGTCCCCCATCCAGCCCGCCCCACCATCGGCAATCGAACCTTCAGCCTTTCTGCCCCCACCCTTTGGAACTCTATCCCACAGTCTCTTTGCCTCGCCCCCTCCTTTGCCTCCTTCAAGGCCCATCTCAAGACCCCTCCTCTTCGATCGCGCCTTCGGCCACCCTCCTACCTCTACCCTCGGGTCCAAATCCCTGACTGTCCAGCCCCTTGGGACGTCCTCCCACCGTGAAAGGCTCTGTGTAAATGTAATCTATTGTTTGTTGTCAGAAGGTTTCAAGTCCCACAAGCGGACTTTGAGCTCACAGTCCAGGTTGACACCGCAGCCAAGTACTGGGGGGAGCACTTTATTGTCAAAGGCGCCGTCCTTCAGATGAAACATTAACCACTAAACTGAGCTCCCGTCTGTGCCTTCTCCAGTGGATGTTAAAGATCCCGTGGCACTATTGGAAAAGAGAAGCGAGTTTCTCTCTCCCGGTGTCCTGGCCAACATTCCCCTATTGATTGGCCACTTATGTTTCAAGGGTGTTGTTTTGCCCCAAAATGACTGACTTATTTGCCCGTAAAAACAATCACTACACTTATAATATATAGTAATCCTTGCATTTGATATAGTGCTTTTCACGTCGTCGCGACGTCTCAAAGCGCTTCAAAGAATAGTCTGTAAAGTGAATTGACTGTATATTTGTGGGCGAAACGCGGCGGCCAATTGCGCACAGCAATGTCCCACAAACAGTCGTCGATTGAAAATGACCAACTTATTATTGTTTTGTTTAGGAGGGATTATTATTGACATAATAATCTGAAGCGCTTCGAGACATTTGATATTAAGCTGCTATAAAATTCAAGCTCCCTTACACACACATCTCCCACACACATACACACATCTCCCTCACACGTATACACACGCACACAACCTCACGTACACACTTCACATACCACCTCGCACGCGCGCACACCCCTTACACACACATAACCTCACAAACACCTCCCTCACACACGCACCGCCCTTTCACCAACATACCCCTCCATCGCACCTACACGCACCGCTCACACACAAACGTGCCCCTCACAAACACACATACCGTACACATACCGATCGATGCACGTGCTTCCCTGGAAGCACACATAAACGCAGGCATACACACCCACCAATTTCCTCCTCCTGACCCCCACACATACAACCTGCATGCACACACTAACGCACACATAGACATTGACACACACACACACACTGGGACAGCGTGCGTGCACACACTGACACACACACACACAGGAACAGCCTGCATGCACACATTGACACATGCACACACACGCACACACATGTTACCTGGTTTGGGAGGTAGATTGTAAACATTGACATTTAGCAGCTTGGGCCAGACCTTCCTGCGGATCTCGTTGGTCAGCAACCCCCCCTCACTGACTGCCGCCCTCCGCAAGGCCTCCACGTCCACAGGGTCAGCGTTCAGGGCCCGATGGATTTCCAGCAGCTTCAGGCGCTTTCTGGCCCCAGGATCCACTGAGACAGAAACACAGTGAATACAAGTAAATACTCTGTACTGCATTTCGAACAGAGAGGATATTCTAGCTCTGGGTAAGAGGTTGTGGATTCAAACTTTACATCGGGACTTTATAATAATTATAATAATCCGTGCATTTAATATAGTGCCTTATCACATCATCGAGATGTCTCAAAGCGCTTCACAGTACATACTGTAAAGTATATTTTGTGAGTGAAAAGCGGCAGCCAATCTATGAATAAGTGGAGTAGCAGAAGTCGCTGGGAACACTCAGCAGGTCAGGCAGCACCTATGGAAAAAGGAAAGTGAATCAACGTCTCGGGTCCACAACAGGGGAGGCAAGGGACGGAGAACATGGGGTAAACAGGGGATGATGGGTGAAAGAGGTGTTAATGATGCAAAACAATGGGGGCAATTGCAACAAACCAGGGGAAAAGAGATGTTAATAGTGCAAAAAGGGGGGGGGGGTGGGAAATTACAACAAAAGCAGAACAACAACAAAATTACATTTATGGCGCGCCCTTCACCTTGGGGGGAATAAGTGCAATGATTATTAATGTGAGCAAAACAAATAGCGGAGTGCCCCCCATCGGTGGAGAAGAACCACAACTGCAGTCGGCTGCGATGAAAGAATTTAAATTAAGTAATAGTAATCCTTGCATTATCCCGTCAATTGAGATGTCTCAAAGCGCTTCGCAGGAGATACTGTAAAGTGAGGTGACTGTGTATTTTGTGGGTGAAACGCGGCCGCCAGTCGCGGACAGCAGTGAGTTGGTGACCTGATAGAGGTCTCTGAAATGATGAAAGGTTTTGATAGGGGTAGACATGGAGAAGATGTTTCCACTTGTGGGGGAGACCAAAACCAGAGGCCATTAATATATATATATATATGTGTGTGTGTATATATATATTAAATAGCAATAAATCAAATAGGGAAGTCAGAAGAAACTTATTTACCCGGAGAGTGGTGGGAATGCGGAACTTGCTGCCACAAGGGGTAGTTGAGGCGAATGGCATAGATGCATTTAAGGGGAAGCGAAATAGGTACCTCTGGAAGACGTGAAAAGCGCTATACCAAATGCAAGGATTATTATTACTCTTATTAATTAGTATGACTACCACAAGAGGAAGACAGGAATAGAAGGTTGTGCTGGTAGGTTTAGTTGAGGGAGGGCAGGAGGAGGCTCACGTGGAGCGTAGACCAGTTGGGCCGAATGGCCTGTTTCTGTGCTGTATCTTCCATGTAATTCTGCGGCAGCGCTTCGGGACGTCAGCAAAATGTGATAAAACCGTTACATCAAATGCAATAATTATTATTATTATTATTATTATTAAGTGTGTAAAGGCACCACGCAGCACGTTCACAGCTTAGATAACTGAGCCTCCCGCTTTTAAACCCCCAAACCTCCTTCTTTAAACCCCCGAACCTCCCCTTTTAAACCCCCGGAAACCTCCCCTTTAAACCCAGAACCTCCCCTTTAAACCCCCGAACCTCCCCCTTTAAACCCCCGAACCTCCCCTTTAAACCCCGAACCTCCCCTTTAAACCCCGAACCTCCCCCTTTAAACCCCGAATCTCCCCTTTAAACCCCCGAACCTCCCCTTTAAACCCCCGAACCTCCCCTTTAAACCCAGAACCTCCCCTTTAAACCCCGAACCTCCCCCTTTAAAACCCCCGAACCTCCCCTTAAACCCCGAACCTCCCCTTTAAAACCCCGAACCTCCCCTTTAACCCCGAACCTCCCCTTTAAACCCCGAACCTCCCCCTTAAACCCCGAACCTCCCCCTTTAAACCCCCGAACCTCCCCTTTAAACCCAGAACCTCCCCTTTAAACCCCGAACCTCCCCTTTAAACCCCGAACCTCCTCCTTTAAACCCCGAACCTCCCCTTTAAACCCCCGAACCTCCCCTTTGAACCCCGAACCTCCCCTTTAAACCCCGAACCTCCCCTTTAAACCCCCGAACCTCCCCTTTAAATCTCTGAACGACTTTCCCTTTAACACCCCTGAACCTCCCCTTTAAGGAGCCATACCTGTGGCCGCTTTGCCATCACGGAGAGCGGCGGCGGCGGCTCCATGATGACCGGCACTCGATCTCCGGCCTCTCCTCCCGCTCATGGACGCCGCCCGTCACTTACTTCACCGTCAGAGACGAGCGACAACTGAAGCCCCGCGCGTCCCGAACGGCGGCTGCGGCTGCGAGCGACCCGCCTCCCACTCTGATTGGTCCACAGAACGCCGGGCGTGGCCACAGTCTCGAATTTCGATTGGTTCCATCCAACGTCAACCCACCAGGGTCTCGTTCCGATTGCTCAGGACTCACGTCAATCAACTGGCGGGGGGGGGTGGCCTGTGGGAGGCGGGATCCGCTTTTCATTGGTTTAGAACGATGTCGATCATTGGCGCTCCTCTCCGGATTGGGTCGGAATGCATCGTCCGCATCCCGCCTCTCGCCCCGAGGCAGGGAGCATGCGCGGCGCGACAAGCATTCTGGGGGTTGTAGTCCTTGGTCGGGATGACACTGAAATAATAACAATGATGATTTGATACAACGCCTTATCCCGTCTTCGCGGCTTCTCAAAGCACTTCACGGGATAGACTGTAAAGTGCAGTGATCCCCCGGGGTCTGGCCTCCTCCTGGTCCCCCGAGCCCTCCGCTCCACCCTCGGCGGCCGCGCCTTCAGCCACTATGCCCCGAGGCTCTGGAACTGCCTTCCTCACTCCCTTCGTCTCACTCCCTCCCTTCCTATTTTCAGGTCTCTGCTGAAGACCTTTCTTTCCGTTCGCCCACAAATATACAGTCAATTCACTTTACAGTGTGTTCTGTGAAGCGCTTTGGGACGTCCTCTCCCGACGTGAAAAGCGCTATATCAAATGCAAGGATTATTATTATTATTATTATTATTTTCGACCGCACCTTTGGTCACCTTCCCCCACCCCCCCCCCACCACCCCCCGCCCCACCCCCCGGCTCGACCCCGGGATCCGTGACTGTGAAGCGCTCTCTGAGACGCCGTCCGGCGCGGAGGGCCGGTATAAATCCGCGTTGCTGTTGTTGTCGTCGTATTTTGTGGGCGAAAATGCGGCAGCCAATTGCATGCAGCGACGTGCCACAAACAGTCGTGGACTGAGCGACCAAATTATTATTATTTCTTTTTTTCAGGAGGGATTATTACCCCCAGAAAAGCGATCCACCAATCGGTGGATTACAACCGGGTTCCTACTTACTGCGAGACAAACAACAAGTTGCATTTATATATATATATATTATACATTATAGCGCCCTTCACGTGGGTTAGCGCTTGACAGTGACGGAGCCTGATCCCGAGCCGGGGGGGGGAGAGGGAAGGGGAGGTGACCGTAATCACGATCAAAAGGGAAAGTCTTTAGGCGTGATTTGAAAGTGCAGAGGGAGGGATTGATGGAAAGAGTTCCAAAGTTTCGGGGCGTAGTGACTGAAGGCGCAACCGCCGATGGTGGAGCAGAGGAGCTGAGGGACGAAGAGGCGGTGGTGGAGGCAGCCAAGCGGAGGCAGCGGAGAGAGGAGCAAGCAAATCGGAGAGGTGGGGAGGTGCGAGGGCATGAAATGATATGAAAACGAGTGAGAGTATCGTGAAACCGATCCATTCGGTGATTGGAAAATTCTGTACACTGTTCGGTGTCTGAAAGGCACTGTCCAGCGCCTCGTGACGCACTCCCGACGTGAAAGGCGTGATACAAATGTAATCTTGTTGTTGTTGTTGTTGTTGGAACCAGCGGAGCCCGGCGAGGACCGCTGCGATGGGGGTGATGGAGTTTTGTGCGGGTGAGGAGGGGGTGCAGTTCTGATTTAGTTGTATTTTGTGTACGGGGGGGAGCGAGGGAAGACCAGCGAGGTGCGTGGCGGAAGGAAACTTGCCCTCGTTTCTTGCCCAGTCCGGGAAACGAACCCGGGTCCTTTGGTTTGCCTGGACGAGCGCTCTTGCCACTGAGCCGCAGCAAGAGTATATTCAGAGAAGGGCTTTGAGATGTCTCAAGGATGTGGTAACATGCTGTATCAAATGCAAGGATTATTATATTTTATTCTAGATTGATTGGATGAGCATGGATCCAAACAGAGACTCACACAAAGTATGAATGCCTGTTTTCCAAGTCCTGCACAAACACAAGGGATGGGATTGCCCATTCCCCCCCCCCCCCCCCCCCCCCCCCCCCAAAGCATCATGCTCCATATCCTGCCACAAGCTTTAATATAGTTCAGCAGCTAATCAATGTTTACACGGTGTACACTTGTAGCAGTTACAATTCTATTTTTGAGGTCAGTTTTGCGGTATTTCTGAACAGATTTCTTAATTAAGAATTCGGAAATCTGTGACGGTAACTGATGGGAATACTGCTCCACCTCAGTCTAATTCTGGACTATTATTCCCTCGAGATTAACAAGCGTAACATGCATGACTTACAATATATATGAAACGCCCTTTGTGTAAGATAACGTCTCAGAGCTCTGTATCTCCACCTGACAGTTACCAGACAGACAGGCTTCATTTACGAATAGTATTAACAATTTAAGAAGATACAAAGGTGGCATCTTTCTTAGAAAGGTAAAGAAAGACTGACTGATCGAGCAGAAGCTAATGTACGTGCAGCTTTTGGATCAGGAAATGTAAATCTCTCAAAGTCTTGTGGCTTAGCAATCTCTGATTCAAGGAAGTGGTGATAGCGAAGCAATGGGTCCTTATAATAATCCCTCCAAAACAAAACGATAATAAATTGGTCATTTTCAACCCACGCCTGTTTGTGTGTGGGACATTGCTGTGCGCAATTGGCTGCCGCGTTCGCCCACAAACATACAGTCAATTCACTCTACAGTGTGTTCTGTGAAGCGCTTTGGGACGTCCTCTCCCGACGTGAAAAGCGCTATATCAAATGCGAGGATTATTATTATTATTATTATTATATCAAATGCGAGGATTATTAAGAGGGGCCCACAAACAGCCGCAAGGCAAATGCCCGATTTTATGCCCGGGCGACAGCCGAAAATTCTCAACAACAAAAACAACTTGCACTTGCACAGCCCACCCACAAAGCAAGATAGCGGCTGCGCGCGCAGCGAGGGGTGTCCGGAAGTCGAGGCTGCGCGCGCAGTGAGGGAGCCCGGGGGTAGATGCTGCGCGCGCAGTGAGGGGAAACGCTGGGATCGGGGCTGCGCGCGCAGTGAGGGGAGCGCGGGCGGGTAGTGGGGAGGGTGGAGGCTGCGCGCGCAGTGAGGGGAGCGGAGGTAGAGGGTGCGCGCGCAGTGAGGGAGCGCGGGGGTGGCGGGGGTGGGGTAGAGGCTGCGCGCGCAGTGAGGGGAGCGGTGGTAGAGGGTGCGCGCGCAGTGAGGGGAGCGCGGGATGAGGGCGGGCAGCGCGAGAGCCAACCAACCGTTAAAGCGCCTCGCGGAGAACGGCGGCGGCGACGACGGACTCGCGCGGGAGAGACGCTGCCGATAGACTCGGTTCAGACTCGAAGTGACTCGAAGACGCTGAAGAGGGGCTCTTCGGAGCCGGTTATCGTTCCCCCTCTCTCACACCCACCCACGGGCCAGAGGGTGAGGAGAAGACATGAGCGGCTCAGCCAAGAGGCGAGCGGCGGCTCCGAAGGTGGCGAGGAGCCCCAGCCTGAGGCGGGAGGAGCGGAAGCCAGAGGAGGGCAGCCAGGCGGCCTGGCTCAGGTACTGCCCCCGTGACCCCCCCCCACCATGTACACTGCGATATACCCCTCCCCGTGTGTGCTGTGATATACCCCTCCCCGTGTACACGCTGTGATATACCCCTCCCGTTGCGCGCTGTGATATACCCCTCCCCGTGTCACACTGTGTATACCTCCCGTTACACACTGTGATATACCCCTCCCCGTGACACACTGTGATATACCCCTCCCTGTTCTTGATATACACCTCCCCGTGTGTGTGCTGTGATATACCCCTCCCCGTGTACACACTGTGATATACCCCTCCCCGTGTACACACTGTGATATACCCCTCCCCGTGTGTGCTGTGATATACACCTCCCCGTGTACACGCTGTGATATACCCCTCCCCGTGTGTGCTGTGATATACCCTCCCCGTGTACACACTGTGATATACCCCTCCCCGTGTGTGCTGTGATATACCCTCCCCGTGTACACACTGTGATATACCCCTCCCCGTGTACAAGCTGTGATATACCCCTCCCCGTGTGTGCTGTGATATACCCTCCCCGTGTACACTGTGATATACCCCTCCCCGTGTGTGCTGTGATATACCCCTCCCCGTGTACACGCTGTGATATACCCCTCCCCGTGTACACGCTGTGATATACCCCTCCCCGTGTGCACGCTGTGATATACCCCTCCCGTGTGTGCTGTGATATACCCTCCCGTGTGTGCTGTGATATACCCCTCCCCGTGTGTGCTGTGATATACCCCTCCCCGTGTGTGCTGTGATATCCCCGTGTGTGCTGTGATATACCCCTCCCCGTTGTACACGCTGTGATATACCCCTCCCCGTGTACACGCTGTGATATACCCCTCCCCGTGTGTGCTGTGATATACCCCTCCCCGTGTGTGCTGTGATATACCCCTCCCCGTGTACACGCTGTGATATACCCCTCCCCGTGTACACGCTGTGATATACCCCTCCCCGTGTACACGCTGTGATATACCCCTCCCCGTGTACACGCTGTGATATACCCCTCCCCGTGTACACGCTGTGATATACCCCTCCCCGTGTGCGCGCTGTGATATACCCCTCCCCGTGTGCGCGCTGTGATATACCCCTCCCCGTGTGCGCGCTGTGATATACCCCTCCCCGTGTGCGCGCTGTGATATACACCTCCCCGTGTGCGCGCTGTAATATACCCCTCTCCGTGTACACGCTGTGATATACCCCTCCCCGTGTGTGTGCTTTGATATACCCCTCCCCATGTACATGCTGTGATATACCCCTCCCCGTGTACATGCTGTGATATACCCCTCCCCGTGTACACGCTGTGATATACCCCTCCCCGTGTACACGCTGTGATATACCCCTCCCCGTGTACACGCTGTGATGTACCCCTCCCCGTGTACACTCTGTGATGTACCCCTCCCCGTGTACACACTGTGATGTACCCCTCCCCGTGTACACACTGTGATGTACCCCTCCCCGTGTACACACTGTGATGTACCCCTCCCCGTGTGCGCTGTGATATACCCCTCCCCGTGTGCGCTGTGATATACCCCTCCCCGTGTACACGCTGTGATATACCCCTCCCCGTGTACACGCTGTGATGTACCCCTCCCCGTGTACACACTGTGATGTACCCCTCCCCGTGTGCGCTGTGATATACCCCTCCCCGTGTGTGTGTGCTGTGATATACCCCTCCCCGTGTACACGCTGTGATATACCCCTCCCCGTGTACACACTGTGATATACCCCTCCCCGTGTGTGTGCTGTGATATACCCCTCCCCGTGTGTGTGCTGTGATATACCCCTCCCCCTGTACACACTGTGATGTACCCCTCCCCGTGTGCGCTGTGATATACCCCTCCCCGTGTGCGCTGTGATATACCCCTCCCCGTGTGTGCTGTGATATACCCCTCCCCGTGTACACACTGTGATATACCCCTCCCCGTGTGTGTGCTGTGATATACCCCTCCCCGTGTGTGCTGTGATATACCCCTCCCCGTGTGTGCTGTGATATACCCCTCCCCGTGTGTGTGCTGTGATATACCCCTCCCCGTGTACACACTGTGATATACCCCTCCCCGTGTACACACTGTGATATACCCCTCCCCGTGTACACACTGTGATATACCCCTCCCCGTGTGCGCACTGTGATATACCCTTCCCCGTGTGCGCGCTGTGATATACCCTTCCCCGTGTGCGCGCTGTGATATACCCTTCCCCGTGTGTGTGCTGTGATATACCCCTCCCCGTGTGTGTGCTGTGATATACCCCTCCCCATGTGTGCTGTGATATACCCCTCCCCGTGTGTGTGCTGTGATATACCCCTCCCCGTGTACACACTGTGATATACCTCTCCCCGTGTACACACTGTGATATACCCTTCCCCGTGTGCGCGCTGTGATATACCCTTCCCCGTGTGCGCGCTGTGATATACCCTTCCCCGTGTGCGCGCTGTGATATACCCCTCCCCGTGTGCGCGCTGTGATATACTCCTCCCCGTGTGCGCACTGTGATATACCTCTCCCCGTGTGCGCACTGTGATATACCCCTCCCCGTGTGCGCACTGTGATATACCCCTCCCCGTGTGTGCACTGTGATATACCCCTCCCCGTGTGCGCACTGTGATATACCCCTCCCCGTGTACACACTGTGATATACCCCTCCCCGTGTACACACTGTGATATACCCCTCCCCGTGTACGCACTGTGATATACCCCTCCCCGTGTGCGCACTGTGATTTCCCCTTCCCCGTGTGCGCGCTGTGATATACCCTTCCCCGTGTGCGCGCTGTGATATACCCTTCCCCGTGTGCGCGCTGTGATATACCCTTCCCCGTGTGTGTGCTGTGATATACCCCTCCCCGTGTGTGTGCTGTGATATACCCCTCCCCGTGTACACACTGTGATATACCCCTCCCCGTGTACACACTGTGATATACCCTTCCCCGTGTGCGCGCTGTGATATACCCTTCCCCGTGTGCGCGCTGTGATATACCCTTCCCCGTGTGCGCGCTGTGATATACCCCTCCCCGTGTGCGCGCTGTGATATACCCCTCCCCGTGTGCGCGCTGTGATATACCCCTCCCCGTGTGCGCGCTGTGATATACCCCTCCCCGTGTGCGCGCTGTGATATACCCCTCCCCGTGTGCGCGCTGTGATATACCCCTCCCCGTGTGCGCGCTGTGATATACCCCTCCCCGTGTACACGCTGTGATATACCCCTCCCCGTGTGCGCACTGTGATATACCCCTCCCCGTGTGCGCTGTGATATACCCTCCCCGTGTACGCGCTGTGATATACCCCTCCCCGTGTACGCGCTGTGATATACCCCTCCCCGTGTGCGCGCTGTGATATACCCCTCCCCGTGTGTGCTGTGATATACCCCTCCCCGTGTGCGCGCTGTGATATACCCCTCCCCGTGCGCGCTGTGATATACCCCTCCCCGTGCGCGCTGTGATATACCCCTCCCCGTGTGCGCGCTGTGATATACCCCTCCCCGTGTGCGCTGTGATATACCCCTCCCCGTGTGCGCGCTGTGATATACCCCTCCCCGTGTGCGCGCTGTGGACGGGGTTGTGCAGCCCTCGCCTTTCCCATTGAAGGCAGTTGGATTGAGCGCCTGATCCGGTTCATCGTGTGTCACGGCGTGAAGGCTGGACGTTGCCTTTGCTGTGGACTGCCGGATGCTTATGTGCACAACGCCTGGGCTTCAGGGAGTGAGTGAGGAGTGTGTGGGTATTGCGGCAGGGCGAGCTGGTTGGAAGTGAGCGCCCAGATTTAACTGACCCAGATGTTGGAGCTGCTGTGCAATTCTGTGCCTGTGTTAATGGGACAGAAGAAGCCTAGAAATGGGACCGCGAGAATAAGCTGTAGTTTGGAATGAACACCAACTGCTGGAACCTCCCAACCAACTCAACACTTGGAGAATGAGTTAACAACCGTGGAGACGGGGGGGGCGGGGAAAGGGGGAAAAAAGTTTGCTATAATACGGTAGCCGTGTGAGATCGTACCTTCTGTAAAAATGAGTCATCTGTTCTGTTTAGGTACCATTAGCAGTAAGAAAGTGGAGAGATGAAGAGGAAAGATGAGTGTAACCACAGCAGATTGATTCAGCGTTCCGGACAGTTAAGACCCATCCTACCAGCGAGACAGCACTGAGACTATAGCAACAGTAAAATCCCAGCAACTAGAGAGAAGTAGGAATGAACAGTATCAGTGGATGTGATGCAGATAAACGCAAGGTACTGCACTTAAGAAATAAAAAGTAGGGTTGGGGGGTGGGGGCGGTTTGGGCTATTCTAAAGGATAGAGGGATTAAGTGATATGGCGATAGGGCGGGTAAATGGAATTAGGTTAGAAGAACAGCCATGATCTTATTAAATAATGGGGCAGGCTCGAGAGGCCGAATGGCCTACTCCTGCTCTTACACCTTATGGATTTATGGGGTGTTTGGGTACATGCTGAGGGGGGGAGAAGCTGAGAGCCGTAGAGATGTCAACAACAACAACAAATTACATTTTATAGTACCTTTCACATCCCAAGGCGCTGGACAGTCAGGGGTTGGGATCAGGAGGGTGATCGAGGCGCAATCGTAGAGGAGTGTCTTGAAGGAGTTCAGAGACGGAGGGAGTCGAAGGGATGTGAGATAGAGTTCCAAAGAGTGGTGGGGCAGTCAGGACAGGGGACATGGAGCATGGCCAGGACCCGCTGCACGGACATGCTTATATGGAGTTATCAGGTCACAGAGGTAGGGAGGAGCAAGGTCTTGGAGGGCTTTGAAGCAAGCAGGAGGATTATGAACTCTACCCTCTTTTATTTACGTTAGTTAATTTGTTGCTCACAATGTCAACACAATATGAGATGGCAATATATAATGCTGTATCATATTGCAGAATCAGTTCGACCATGTCACTGTAACATAGGAGGGTTCAAATTGCCCGTGCAATGCAGAGGCAAGCAGTGAGTGTGAATCCCAGCGTTTAGCGGGTGTGCTATGAGGAACAATTTAGATGAGACCGTGCTCTTTAGCCTCGAAGAACAATGACTCGGGGGTGGGGGGGGGGTGGGGGGGGGGGGGGGTATCTTATAAAGGTATGTAAGAGTTTTAAATGGATTTGAGAAAGTAAACCCAGAACAGTGCTAACAGTGAGATACACCAAGGCAACAGCTTCAAGGTTATGAATAACGATAATCCTTGCATTTAACCCTTACCTGAAGGGCAGTTTGAGGACAGAAGACAGGAAGTATTTCTTTCCACAAAAGGGGCAACTAACAGTTAGACTGGAGATGCCAGGACGAGTGGTTGAGACCAGGACACTGGATTCTCTTAGAAAGCAGCTTGATGGTATAAAGGGAGGATGGTCGAGTGGGAATTCTAAAACAATGAGATCAAATGGGTTGCCTTTTGATCAAGTGCTCCGGGACACTACCCCGCATAAATACAGCTTCTTCTTGTTTCAATGCGAAACGTTTGTGTTCTCATGTGAGGACCAAAAGGGTTGAGTCGGAGCATTCGGGGGAGCAGATAAACGATAGTGTCGGTAATCAGAGTAGCAGCCACAAGATCCACATAAGGAGCAACGTAAGGGTCACAGATTTTCTGAGGAATTGTAACCTTCAGCATGCCTCCAGACGTTGAACGAAAGTTAGAGAACAGAAGACATTCAGGTAAGCCAGAGTTTTGGAAAGGTCTCTTTAGGAGTGTGGTGAAAGGAGGTGGAGTTATAAACTGCCGCCTGCAAAGTAGCCCTTGTGCTGGAGATTAATTGTTCATCTGCCTTCACTGCTGAAAGGGTTCCCCATCTTTTCTCAGAGTTTAATATCTACAATTCAATTGTAATTTCAAAGCCGGTTCTTTTTTTAAGAGAAACCGATTTCATGCTAAGTTTAAGCGTTTTCCACAATTCTATATGATCTTGCATTTTAAGAGTCCTGCAGAGCAGTGGTTAGCACACTCGCCTTGCAAGCGAGAGGACTCGGGTTCGATTCCCAGGCAGTTTCCTTTCTCCACTCGCCTCTGTTTATCTAGCAGCAAGTAGGAACACAGTTGCTAGTTGATTACTAGTGGATCACTTTCCGGGGGAAAAAAAATATTTTTTAAAAAAAAATTGGTCACGCAATCTACGACTGTTTGTGGGACACTGCTGTGCTCAATGGGCTGCCGTACTTCGTCCCCAAAATACAATCAATCCACTTTACACTGTATACTGCGAGACGTCTCAAGGATGTGATAAGGCACTTTATCAAATGCAAGGATTATTATTATAAGACAAAATTATCTCAGGTGAAGACATTTAGGTGACATTTTAGGCTTTTCAAGGTGAATTCCAGCAAGGCTTGAATGTGCCCCTACCCTTTTCTCCCCAGTCTCTCTTCGGTGAACATGCCTGAGTGTAATTGCTCCCTCCCCCCCCCTTTCCTGTGGTGTTGGAATTCCTTTCACTCTGGTCAGACTTCATAGGAACAAATTGCACTCTGGTTTCCTTTCATTTGTGGGGGAGGAAAGAAGTTTTCTAGTACAAATGTCATGTTTTGGGATATAAATATCCAGGGATCCAAGGTCTGTGAGCTATTTTGAAGGCCCAAAGATAAGCGGAATCTGAACCTTTCCTGCCTCATTACCATTCGTCCCTGTTGCCATTAAGTTTTAAGTAAATGAGTATAGAGCAACCTTAGCCCAATTGCTACAGCAAAAGGTAGTACTGAATTCTCAGCCTTATTGAGCAAGGACCACAGGATGCTGTTAATATTACACACGTTCTGTAAACTCTACTCAGATTCAATTCAATAATAATAATCTTGCAATTTAATCTTTAATCTTAAAATGCATTTTAAGCTTTAATCTGCAATTTACAATTTTCACGTCTAGAAGACGTGAAAAGCGCTATATCAAATTCAAGGATTGTTATTATATTATTTGATATAGCGCCTTATCACGTTTTAGACATTTCAAAATGCACATCACAGAATATACTTTAATATACCCTCTGCACTTCTGGCAGTCTGTTGCTGATTTCCCACTCCTTTCTTCTGATTCTGGTGGTAAAGCCTGTAGCCATCATCCCTACCCTCTGGGAATCCCTTCCAAAACCACTTCACCATTCTACCTCTCTCTCTCAAGACTGGTTTGGTATGAAAAAGCCACACCCTACCGTCTTCACATCAGAATTTCATAAAAAAAAAATTTTAAACGAATTCCGTGTCATGGCCACTAGTTTCTTTCCTGGCCTGTTCTGGTCTTTAATTACTCTCTGGGTAAATAACTACTTCCTGATGTATGTTCTCAAATTGCTCTTTACACTAAACTGTAAACCTATGTCTTCTTGTTGGAATTTCTTGGTGTAGTGATTTCACATTCATGTGAAGCTTGGGTTGAAAGCAGGAGTTTCGGTGCTTGTTTAAGGCAGCTTAAGGTATGAATTTCGTATCCTGGATTATGCAACGAGAACAAAATTACATTTGTATAGCATCTTTCACGTCGGCAGGACGTCCCAAGGCACTGGACAGTCAGTTCCAGACCCGAGCTGGGGGGGGGGTTGGATTTTTGGAGGGTGGAGGGCAGGGTGGGGGGTGGGGGGGAAAGGGGGATCGAAAGCACAGTTGAAGAGGAGGGTCTTGAAGGAGACAAGGGAGGGAGTGAGGCGAAGGACTGTGGGATGGAGTTCCAGAGAGTGGGGCCAGAGGGGCAGAAGGCCAAGTACTGATGCACTCTACTATCTTGGCACAAGCCTTTGTTTAGATCAGTATTTCTATTGGTTTCTGTGACCTCCTAACCTCCCTACCGTCCTGCCCACTCCCTCTGCTCAGCGGGCTCCGGACTGCTTCACGTCTCCTGCCTCGCCCGCCCCACTATGGGCAGTCCTTCTGCCACTCTGCCCCCACCCTCTGGAACTCCATCCCGCAGTCCCTCTGCCTCACCTCCTCTCTTGCCTCCTTCAAGACCCTCCTCTTCAACCGTGCTTTCGATCACCCTGCTCCCCCCCCCCCCCCCACCCTGCCCTCCACCCTCCCCACTCCCGACCCTCAGCTCGGGTCCAAAACACTGACTGCGCCTCGGAACGTCCTCCTGACGTGAAAGGCACTATACAAATGTTGTTGCTAGTTAACCTTTCTTTCTGTAACTGACCTTCGTACTGTGCATATAATCATTGGTTAATTTAAGGTAGACTGAAAATGCTGTAGTGCTGTGTTGTAGAAGGTATTGTGCTTCAGAAGAGAAGTTGAACAGAGATTCACGATTGTGTCTGTTCAGGTGGATATTGCACAATTTGTGACGCTATTGGAAAAGGGAAGGGACTTTATTTTCGGTGGTATCCTGGCTGACGATGCCTCCTGATGAATTATAATTCACTTTGTAGCTGTTTGTGGAGCCTAACTGTACTCAAACTGTACTGCATTTGCCCACTAAAACATGGAATTAATATGATAATTACATGTCAAGCCCTTAGAGGTGTTTTGACCTGAAAGGAGTGATACTTAAGGCAGTCACTCTAATGGGGCCAATCAGACTTTGCCAACTCAAGCTTACATCAACTCCGTCTTGTGCAAGCTTATCTGATTGGGATAGGCTCTGTGGAACGTGCAAAAAAATTACCTTTTTTCTATTTACTCCACACGCCTGATAATAGTCCCTCCAAAAAAAATTGGTCATTTTCAATCCACGACTGTTTGTGGGACGCTGCTGTGCGCAATTGGCTGCTGCATTTCACTCACAAATATACAGTCGTTTCACTTTAGTCTTCCGTGAAGCGCTTTGAGATGTCTAGAAGACGTGAAAAGCACTATATCAAATGCAAGGGTTATTATTATTGTTATAACAAGAGATCAGTGGGCAGAATCTACCCCCAGTGAGCAATGGCAGGAATCCCTGGCCCTCCAAGTCCTCTCGATGAGCCATAGTGGGCTGGTCTGTCAACAGCAGTGCCCTGGACTAGAGTTCAGGAACCAGACTGAGATGGCCATAGAGTGGGGCTCGATTCTGATATTCCATTACTATGCATGTTGCCTTGAAGCCAGTTCAAGGAGCCCAAGGAGATTCTGTTACCTTTTCTTCTGCCCTAAGAGGATAGTCATTACATTGGCGTTCTTGTGAATTGCATTGACCCTTTCCCGCATTAGGACAGGAGTTCTAGACATAATAAGCCTCTTGTTTTCCATAAGCAGTTTTGTAAGCTATGGCTTTTAATGAATGGATTGATATTTCTGTCTGTTAGTGATCTCTCTCTTTTTAAACTGTCTGAAGGCTTCTGTGATGCAAAAAAAGCTTTAAATGTTCCTGTAATTGGAATGATAGCATTGGAGCACTCATTCATGGCTTTCTCAGTGAGGGTCAACAGATGGAAAAGCACCATCTAATTGCTTAACTGCAGCGGAATCCTGTAGCTTATTGGTTAGAGCATTCGTCTCACAAGCGAGAAGACTTGGTTTGGATTCCCAGGCATCGCAAGATGTTAGGCAAGTTTCTGCTGTGTGCAATTGGTTGCTGCTTTGCGCCCACAAAATATATATTCAATTTACTTTACGGTATATCCTGTGAAGTGCTTTGAGACATCTAGAAGACTTGATAAGGCGCTATATTAATATGCAAGTATTATTTTCTAGTAACTACATCCAGATGCTGGTTGGTGTAAGGTGTGGCTGAACCCAGACATTGGTGATTTGTTATGAAGCTACTTAGTTATTTATTAATTGTGCATGGAGCCAACCACTCTGTCTGGTGGGGAAAAAGTGAAGCTTCCTGTATAAATTAATCTTTTTTTTTGTGAATTGTCAGCCTCGACTGAGCTCAAATTCCATCGTGGGGCTACAACTCCAGCTTTTGACTTGGAGGCAAGAGAGTTAGACTGTGCACCTCTGTGCACTGCCATGTCAGCCTGCAAATGGTCACTCACCACAGTTCATCACAGGGGCAACCGTAACTACAATGCACACATGCATTGCCCTGTGATGAACTTTGAAACTATTTAATCCTTGCATTTGATATAGCACTTCGATATCAAACGCAAGAATTGTTATTATCTGTCTTTGAAACGTCTCAAAGCGCTTCATGGAATATACTGCAAATAGGATTGACTGTATTTTGTGGGAAAAACCGTTGTTCACATCATCCTGACCTATCACCCCACCTCCTATGGTGGAAGGGGATTCGGCTGTACATTGGCAATGAGGGGCAGAACTAATTGTAAAATATTTATTTGTTGGGATTAGTACAGTTCAAAGGATTTAAGTCCCAATTGTTTATAGTGTCCTAGAGTATTGTCCAGCACAGAAAGCCATCTCTGCTGGTGTTCGCTCTCCCACTGGAGCGCTCTACTGTAATCCCGTTCCCTGCTCTCTCCCCATCAGAGAGTATGTACTGGTGCTCGCTCCCCCGCTAGAGCTCTCTAGTTCCAGTCTCCATACTCTTTGATATCTTCCCTCAGGTATTTATTTAAAATTCTGCTAACTACTCTGCATCTGTGAATTGTAGTTACAGTTGCCCCTGGCTACTCAGTTGTCTAGTCAAACCTCATCTGGATCTTCGTGCTCCTGTTAAGAAAATGTGGACTGACTTTTGCTTTCCTCTGTCCTAGTTGTCACAGGCTGCAGGAGTCGTTGCTCAGCTCAGCAAGTGGATACAGCAATTACAGAGGAATCCTCAACTGGTGCGTGGTAATGCTGGTGAGTTATGTTCCAACAGCGGAACTATCTAGCGGGGAAATGGAGGCTGTGGCCTTAACTCTTGAACCCAGATAAAGAATTAACCGGTGGAAAACAACAACTTGCATTTAAGTAGTCTGGAACCTGTATCAATTCTTCCCTGAATTACTAATCCCACTTACCACCTCTCTCCCCAGCTGCTTTTCCAGTTTTCTTTTGAACAATTTTGTTGATTTGGCCTCAATTCCATATCCTAACTAACAAGATTCTGAGTGAAGAAATGCCTCCTGACCTCTTTCCCCAGTTTTCGACACCTTTTATCACTGATTTCCCAACTCATTGATTCCCGGAGTCTCATTTATTTTGCTTCAGGTTTCCATTTATTCTTTGATTGCTTCAGACGTTTTAGTATTGTGTCAGCTGAAGTAGCTGCCAAAATGTTGTCATTTTCCTGCTAATTTTAGCTATGGTTCTGCTTCTGATGAGGAACAGTTGTCCTGTGCAAATAATTCACCCCAAATAACTTTTGCAATGGCATTAGCTAACTGGGTGGTGTTTCTTTACAAAATTCAATGACAGACTTAACAACTGGCATCTCTTATTTCTCTAACAACAAGCATGCATATGTATATAGTGGCTTTCACATTGTGGGTGGGGGGGTGGATCTCAAGGCATTATACACAGCTGACTGCTCATGCAAGCTCAGGCAGGGTGGGGGGGAAGAGCGGGCTGAGGTTCAGTATCGGTGACCAAAAGAACAGCTGCGAAGAGATGGATCTTCATGTCATTGCCCTACAAAATGTACGCTCCCTTTCCAATAAGTTCTCTCTGTCAATGATCTCATCGTTGATGGGAACATTGATATCCTCGCCAATTGCGAACAGCGGGGTCCCACAAACAGTCATGGATTGACTAGTAATGATAATAATCAATAATATAATAATCCTTGCAGCACCTTATGTCGTCGAGACGTCTGAAAGGGCACTTCACAGAAGCAATTGGCTACTACCTTTCATCCACAAAATATGCAGTCAATCCGCTTTACAATATATTCTGTGAAACATGATAAGGCGCTATATCAAATGTGAAGATTATTATTATTTCTGTACAATGCATCGTATGGCCTTCTGCTGATCATAGATTTCTCATTCTAAGAGAATGGATGAGCCAAAAAGAACTCCAAAATATAGGATTAGCAAATATATAAGTTCAGAAGAGTATTGAATGGGGTATTTTGGGGAAACATTTGACAGTACAGTTGAGTCTGGAGGGGAATAGTGTCAGACAAGGGAGTGCAATAGTACTTTGCATTTCCTCTGTTCCTTGTAGCCTATGATGCAATGCAAAGTCACAAGTAGAATGTGCTAAAGTCGAGACAAAATCTCATGCATTTAAAAAGTCACTTGTGCACGAAGAAAATTATGCATACATTTCACGGCTGTAGAGAATGTGGTCATTGCTACTGCTCGCTTTGAGAGCTGCCAGTCTTTCTTAAAGAATGGGGTCTTAAATCTTTTTTTCTCTTCATCTGTGTTACAAAATAAATTCTATTTCACCGTGGGCTGTGCTGTAGTGAAATGCCACTACAAGAGGTCTTGGGAAATGTTAGACAATTGGGAAATACCATTTTATTGTTTTCTCCTCACTCCTCCTTTACTAGCTTCAAGGTGAGATACCTGGCAATGGAATGTCAGAATCGAGCCAGCCCTCTGGCGGTTTCTAGACCGGTTCCTGAACCAGGTGGGTCCTCAGTATTCCAGGGCATTGCTGATTACCGCACAGCCAGCCTAGCTCATCGGAAGGGCAGACCATTCACTGGGGCAGGGAGTCATCCCACTCAGCTCCTGTTAACCCTGCAAGCCAAAGCCTTAATGGGTAGGGTGGACCAGTGGGAAACCTTGCTGGACAGTAATATCAGCAAGCAATGGTGTTTTAGCTGGTTAGACTCCAGCAGTTACCCCAGTGCACATTTTGGGCTCCCCAAGCCTTGGCTCTTGTCAACCTGTGCTACATTCTTGGAGGTGCAATCTGATTAGGTGTTAAACCTGCTCAAGTGGATTTTAAAGGCCCCCTGGTACTACTCAAAGAGACACAAATTTCCCTGGATATCCTTGCCAACAATCCCCAGATAAAATTGGTCGCTCACTTTGTGATTGTTTTGTGGGACTACACTGTGCAAATTTGGCTGCTGTGTTCACCTACAAATAGTCTGTTGCCTGTTTTGTTGAGAAATATCCCAAATTTGTTTGTGTTGCCTTTAGTCACCATTACCATTTGTCTCTGGCATCGTCCTCCTGATTTGCAGGCAGGAGGAGGCAGTTTGTGTTTTGAGAGCAGTTCTTCTGGTGTTTGGAAGAAATGTTGTGCATGTGTGGTGTGGATGAGAGAGAGAGAGGCAAAGAGCAAGACCCAACAGCTGTTAATCAGGGGGCTGTTTCTCAAGTTCTTGTCTCAACTTTACCATCTACACTGGCCAACATTCTTCCAAGTCGATTGCCAAATATATTCACTCAATCAGCAACTGTTTGTGGGGCACTGCTGTGTGCAGTTGCCTGCCTCGTGAATTGACTGTACATTTTGTTGGCGAAACGCAGCTGCCAATTGCGCACAGCAGTGTCCCAAAACAGTTATGGATTGAGTGACCAAATTATTATTATTTTTATATTTTTATTTTTTGAAGGGATTATTACCCTGGAAAAGCGATCCACCAATCGAAGTTCCTACTTGCTGCTAGATGAAACAGAGGCATGTGGAGTAAGGAAACTTGCCCAATGTTTCACCCTGACCCTGCCCGGGAATCAGACCCCGGTTCTCTCACTTGCGAGGCGAGTGCTCTAACCACTACGCTACAGGACTCCAAAGTTTCCTTCAAAGCTTGGATCGGGAGTGAAACATTCCATTCATTTCTTCCCTCATTCAGGGATTTCACTTCCATTGAGCAGTGATCAGATCATGAATGCTCCCGGTCTGAAGGACTCGGAAGCCTGTCTGAAAATTTAAACGGAGGCAACTCCTGTGTGCCTTTTTAAACCCAATTTTCAGTGTTGTTTGGTTATATCAAATGGAGGGCATATTATTTAGCAGTTGCAACTATTGGGTTAGACTTTTAACTAAAGCCACTATTTAGCAAGCTTCCTTATGCTCGCAGTTTAAAATTGATTGTTTTAATTGTCAAGGCAACCAAAAGGCAAGACAATTGCCTAGACAGGCCACTTGCTGTCAAAGCGAATGCAAAAGAACTTTGTATTCCAGCAACGTAGCAGGCTTCCTTCAGTATCAAAGGAGTTTTCTATGGTTAACCATCCGCTTTCTTCAGCAAGCAGAGCATTGGCACTCCAGCACTTGGCATCTGATTGACACTAGCTTTGGTTTCTGCTTGGCTCACTTGGTCTTGCTCTCACCTTTCGGGGCAAATGGTTGTGTTCAAGTCGGGTCAAGGCTGCCACTGTCAACTCAGTACTGAGGGGATTGCTGCATTGTCAAAGGCGCTGTCCTTTGGGTGAGGTTTAACCTACATCCTGTCCGTGCCTAGTCGGAATGGTTGTTAAAGATCTCGCAAGATCTATTGGTCTATTGGTCATTCACCTGGCAGTTTGTGGGATCTTGCAGCACAGAAACTGCTTGTCGCTTTTGCTCATGAAACACACTACTTGACTGTAATTACTGAGTTACATCAACAGGAAAAGGTATTATGTAAATACAAGTAGTGCTTGAGCTTCGGGGTGGGGTGTGGGGGGGTGGGGTTGGCAAGGGCATCTTGGAACTAGGCTAACTCGAAGGTGACATGCTTGGTAACAGAATACCGGAATCCAGTCTACCCTCTGTGCGGTCTCTCGTCTGGATCCTGAGCCAGGCAGGTCCACAGTACTCCAGGGCACTGCTGATGACAGCACAACTCAGCCTGGTTCATCGGCAGGCCTTGGAGGGGATTCTTCACAATCTGCTCCCATTAACCTTGCAAGCCCTAATGGAACGCTTAATAACAAACTATATGGCTTTAGCTGGTTAAAGTCCAACAGTACACTCTAGGACAGCCACACCTTGGCTCTCATAAATCTGTGCCTGACACTTTCTGGGATTGAGTAAGTGGGGCGTGTCCCTCCAGAAAGAGTACATATTCCGTTCCAGACACAGGGAAATCCCCATGAGTACGGCATTATGTGGAACTCTGTCTGGTTTGGATACTCCAGCATGGTGATGAGTTTGCAGCTGATTTTTTAAAAAAAAAAGTTGTGAAGCATTTTATAACAACAACTTGCACTTATAGAGTGCCCCTCGCGCAGGGTAGCGTCCCAGAGCGCTTGACTGGCTGAGCACAAGGCCGAGCTGGGTGGCAGTTGACCGAAGGCCCCGTCGAAGAGGAAGGTCTTTAGGCGCGAGGTGAAGATGGGGAAGGAAGGGGCAAGGCAGGATGCTAGAGGAAGAGTGTTCCAGAGTTTTGGGGCGTAGTGGCTGAAAGCGCGGCCACCAATAATACCAAATATTTTACCTTCTGTTTAGGTTTTATTCCACCTAAACGATTGCGCTATGCTGCTCCACCTATTGTAAAGAATGTTGCCTTCAACACTTTGGTTCTATCAAACCAAGACAAAGGTTGCCTTTATCAATCGCCTGGTACGAAGGTTATCTTCATTCTGCTTCCTGTTTTATTTCTGACCATTTCACTTGTGAGGGTTGTTGACTCAATTTCTGAGGGCCACGGGTTAACCACAGATTCAAGGGAGCATTTATTTGCTAATGAAATCTTTGACTAATCCTACCCAAGATGTCACACTGGCTGGAGCATTGCTATTGCGGGCTTTCGTTTATGGAATGTATATCCGAACCATTGAGCGAGCAGAGCACAAATTCACTATGGCTGCTACCAGGTGTCAGCTGGCACAGATAGCTGCACTCTTGCCTTTTGGTTGCAAACAGCCATGAAGTAAAGACTGACTTTTATGTTTGTCTGGATTGTTGGCCAGGGCACTGGGGAAAAATTCCCGTCTCTGTCATACAGGATGTTTAACATCTACCTGAACAGACACAAATGGGACCTCAGTTTAACGTCCTATCTGAAGGATAGCACGTCTCACCCTCCCCTTCATACTGTGCTGGAGTGTGAACCCATGAGCTCAGAGTCCTCAACCTGGAGCTCAAACCCACAAACTCCTGACCAAAGATGAGCACTACTGACTGAGTCTAACTGACACAATGATGTGTTTGGGCTGTCTTACGGTATATTTGTAATCGTGGAGTCCTGTAGCGTATTTGTTAGAGCACTCGCCTCGCAAGCGAGAGGACCCGGGTTTGATTCCTGGGCAACGTGAAACCTTAGGCAAGTTTCCTTACTCCACACGCATCCATTTACCTAGCAGTAATTAGGAACCCGGTTGTTAGTCGATTGGTGAATCGCTTTCTGGGGGTAATAATACAATAATAATTTGGTCATTCAATCCACGACTGTTTGTGGAGCGCTGCTGTGTGCAATTGACTGCTGCGTTTTGCCCGTAAAATATACAGTCAATCCACTTCACAGTATATCCTGTGAAACGCTTTGAGACATCTCAATGACGAGATAAGCTGCTTTATCCAATGCAAGGATTCTTATTATTATTTGGTGCAATTGCCACAGGAGGTGGGGGAGTACAGGGGCCCTGAAAACTTGCAGTGATTGAGTGCGGTGTCAGCCGGTTTTCCTTCCATTTCCTGTGGAGAGTGTAGGAAAAAGGGATTTGGCGGTTTATCTTGTGTTTGCTGCAGAGTGCAGCTGCCATCTGTTCTCTTTCTGGAGCTTCAATGCGACTCAGCAAGCAATTTGAGAAAAATTGAAAGGTTATGGTGCAGAGGATCTTGTTTTGTTGGCCCTATTGCTGCCATGTCGTAATGTAACCCCAGTAAGTGGATGTTCCTGGGAAGGAACCAGTTACGGTGACCTATGGTTCAGATCCAATTCATTATGGAAGCCTTCCACAAAATACACAGTCACTCCACTTTACAGTATATTCTGTGAAGTACGTTGAGACATCTCGAAGACGTGATAAGGTGCCATATAAAATGAAAGCATTATTATTACCCAAAAGGTAATTTTTTAATTGGAACAAGTTTTGTTAATAATAATCCTTGCATTTGATATGGCGTCTTATTATGTCTTCCAGACGTCTCAAAGGTCTTCACAGAATATAACGCCAGTAAGGGAGGTTGAGGCCAGGGCACCAAGGCCAAAAAGAAAAATGGTCACACAATCCGCAGCTGTTTGTGGGACACTACTGTTTGCAATTGGCTGCCATGTTTGGCCCACAAAGTACACAGTCATTACAATTTACAATATATTCTGTAAAGCGATTTGAGACGTATCAACAACGTGATAAGGTACTCTATCAAATGCACAGATTATTATTATTATTAATGGGTTTGTAGTTCTTTGATACGTGCAGTGCCAGACATGTTACTGGGAATAATCTGACAACACACTGATGATCATTAAACTTTCAGAAGTGATTTACATTCAGTTTTGCACGTAACTGCACCCTTTCTGATTAGTAAGTGGCTCAAGCAGCCCTGATATATTCTGACTATAGGAGAAGCGGATTAACCCTTTACACTCACAAATAAAAGGTCGGGGTGGTCTTCCGCGGTGGGAAACTTTCAATTCCACTATGCCCTCGCTCTCTGAAATTGCCACACACCCTCTTCCTGTTTTCTAACCTATTTCCAACTATTCTTCCTGTTCTCTTAACAGTAATATTAATCCTTGCATTTGATATAGCACTTTTCACATCTTCTATATCCTGTAACATGAATTGACCGTATATTTGTGGGCGAAACGCGGCAGCCAATTGCGCACAGCAGCGTCCCACAAACAATTGTGGATTGAAAATTTTTTTTTTTTTGTTTTGTAGGGATTATTATTTAGGAGTGTGGAGTAAGGAAACTTGCCCAAGGTTTCACCCTGCCTGGAATTGAACCCAGGTGTCTCTTCCTCCTTTCCTTGTCTCTCTCTCCCCACCCCCACCCCCCACACACACACACACACCAACTTGCTTGTAGACACTTCACACTCGTTCCGTGAAGTGCTTTGAAACCCATTGCACACAGGATAAAGAGCTATGTTGCACTTTCCAGAGACGATTTTGTAATGAACTGCCCTTTTGTTATAATTCCGAGAATTGAATTGACTGGGTGTGATACGGGTGTGCCTGTTGAGTTAATATGTCAGTGGTTGTAGCTTAGGGGTTAGAGGCTCATCTCGCAAGCGAGATGACCTAGCCTCAATTCCCAAGCAGGGCGTAATATCAGGCAAGTTTTGTCACTCCACTCGCCTCTGTTTACCTAGCAGTAATTAGGAACCTGGTTGTTAGTCGATTGGCAGATCACTTTTCTGGAGGTAATAATCCCTTCAAATAATAATAATGTGATGACTCAATCCACGACTGCCGTGTGCAATTGGCCGCCGGATTTCTCCTGCAAAATATACAGTCAATTCACTTCATAGTATGTTCAGTGAAGCGCTTTATAAGACGTCTCAAAGATGTGATACGGTGCTATAATCAAATGCAAGGATTATTATTGCCTGCTTCCGCCACTACCTCTCCCCTTAGCCCGCCAAGACACTCTTCTACACTTTTAGTACATCCAGGCTCAACTACACCAACTCCCTGCTCGCCGGTCTCCCCGATCTCACCTACACAAGCTGCAGACTATCCAGACGTGTCCTCTCCCTCAACAGACTCTTATGCTCCCATTCTTGATTGGCTTCCCAGGCAGTTTGAGTTCAAGGTCATTTCTTTCAAATCCCTTCTCGGTCTCACCCCACGCTTCCTCTGAGACCTCAAACTATTCCAACAGGGCTGCTCCCTCCGCTATGAATCATGTGCCCCGCCGTATCTGTACGTCGTTCCAATGTGAAAGGCGCTATAGCAATGTAATTTTGTTGTTCTTGTTATCTGTCCTACCATCGTCAGGTGGGCTTTCATCCCCCGCACTCTGGAACTCCATCCTGGAGTCCCTCTGACTTGCTTCCTCATTCAATATTCATCTCAAGACCGCTTTGACCTTCCCTCTCAGCTGCCCAGCCAGCATTTGTTGAGCACTTTGAGACATTCTCCCAACGTGAAAGATACTATATAAATGTAAATTGTATTGCATTGTTCGAGGTGCGTGAAACCAAGGTCCCATCTGCCTATTCAGGTGAATATTAAAGATCCCATGTATTCATCAAATAGAGGGAGTTTCTCTCAATGTCCTGGCCAACGATCCTCCAGAGAAAAAAAGATGGTGGCTGTGTGTTAGACGTTGCTGTGTGCCAATTGGCTGCTATCCTACAATTAGTACACTTTGCATCTGACACATTTTAGTACTGTTTTATTAACTTGTCCTTTCTTTGCAGGTCTTGAGCAATGCCCGTCTTTTTCTAGAGAATCTCATTAAGTAAGTGCAGCTTTTACTAAATCATTCAACTCCTCCACAATAACTGCTATTTAGTAAAACGTACTGTTCTGTATTAATAATAATCCTTGCATTTGATGTAGTGCCTTATCACATCATTCAAGATATCTCGAAGAGCTTCACAGAATATACTGCACAAAGGATTGACTGATTTTGGGGGCGAAATGCAGTAGCCAATTGTGCACAGCCGTGTCCTACAAACATTAGCTTATTATAAATATTAAATATTATATTTATTAAATACTAGTGGCACAACCTGTGCACTTGGTGATTCCACAAGAAGTGGCATTCATACAGACTCCAATGTCGCCTATTATAGTTCAAAATCATTTTTTTTTTTAAAAACTTAATGCTGAGAACTAACTAATTAATTTTTCTTTAATAGATTTAATAGAGGTGTTCAAAACTATGAGGGGTTTTGACAGAGAGGATAGGGAGAAAGGTGTGTCAATAATCAGGGACATAGATTTAAGATAATTGGCAAAAGAACCAGAGGCCGACAAGAAGAAATTCGTTTACACAGAGAGTTGTTAAGGTCTGGAATGTACTGCCTGAATGTATGGTGGAAACGGATTCAATAACAACTTTCAAAGGGGAATTGGATAGATACTTGAAAAGGAAAAAGTTGTAAGGATATGGGGAAAGATGGGGGAGTCAGACTGATTGGATAGTTCTTCCAAAGAGCCGGCACAGGAGCAGTGGGCCGAATGGCCTCCTTCTGTCCTGTAATATTCTATGATTCATTGAGTTGGAAAACAGGCTGAATTGTTACCAATTTAGGAAACCAATTTAAGGATTCTTTCCCCTTCTGCCTCCTCATCTAGTGAATGCCAACACACATAGCACCTGTCTCCCTGTATCTGGGGCCAGCTCTTGAAATTGTGCATGTCCCTAAAATATGCGGTACTCAAGAAAGTGTGGAGTACTAAACTCCTTCAGCCCATTGAACACATTCTTTCTGGAGTCCACAAGCAATTCAGGACTGTTTGTGGGACACCACTATGCACAATTAGCTGCTCTATTTTACCACATGTACAGACAATCCACTGTACGACAGATTCTGTGAAGCGCTTTGAGGCAGCTCGAACATAAGGCACTATATTAAATGCAAGTATTATTAGTATTATTAATTCACTCCTCAATCTTGAAAGGAGAAGTCTCAAAGGGGACCTCATGGAGGTGTATGAAATTTTAAACAGATTTGAAAAAGTCAACCCAGATCATTACTTTAGGATTCCCTAACGCAGCAGAACAAGAGAACGTGTTGCAAAGGGTGATGGACAGCAGGAAATATTTCTTTACCCAAAGGATAATTAATGACGAGCCGGTTACCAGCAGGGCTGGTTGAGGACTAGCAACTGGACTCGTTTTAAAAATAAGTGATGGAAAGAGGGTTGGATGGATGTTCTAGAAAGATGAGAGCAAATGGGCGAAAGGGCCTTTGGATTGTTTTTTGCCTCCAAAATGGTTTGGGAGTAAAAAGCAGTTTTGGCTGCGAAAGGGAGAGGCGATAGTTCCAGAGACCCTCGAGCCATAGCTGGTGGTGGATTGTGAGGCTGGATTTATGCCATCTGCGCTTGAGCATCCAGGTTTAAGTTTTGAAGGAGAGGAGATGACTATTGTACCGGGGGAGTAGGTAGATTTGGAGACAGACCTAAATTTCAGGGTGGCAAGGGAGTTGAGGGTTGCAGAGAGGTGATTGTTTAGCAGTTTGTTGGCTGCCTCAGGATCGCTGCAGGTGGAAGTCCAGAGGAAGAGAGGGTATTCATGAGGGACTTTTGGTGGAAGCTTTTTCCGAGGTCGGAAAATGATGATAGAGGTCTTGGGAGAGGAAAGAGAGATGTGGGAGGAGAGGGAGATGAGGAAATGCTCAGAGATGGTCTTGTCTGTGGTAGACAGATTGGGAACGAGGTCAAGGTGGTGGCCATGGTTGTGGGTCGCGAAGTTTATGTGGAGTGCAGTGAAGCCAGAGGACATGGGGAAAGGGGAGTTTAGGTGAAGCTTACATATCAAATGCAAGGGTTATTGTATTATAAATCAATGCACAAACTGCCCATCCGTGTGCATGTATACAGTACTGGTGTTGTGCCATTTCCTCACATTGTCAGAATTCAGAGTAAATTTTGAGAATCTTTATCTTTTTAACCTTTGAGGTTCTGAGTTGCTGTCTGACATGTGCTTTATTTCTAGGTATGGTATATTAGTGGATCCCATTCAAGTTGTCTCCCTGTTCCTTAAAGACCCCTACAGCTGGCCTGCTTTATGTCTTATAATTGGTAAGTGTCTAGCTGAACTAAACATCTGATTCCTGACCTCACCTGCAGTGTGCTAAGTCCATATTGTTTAGCAACCCGAGGAACGGATTTGGTTCCTATTTAATATGCTTCGTTATCAATGACTTACTGCAATTGTCCCTATAAAACAGGACTCCGAAGGTTTGGGTATCTTACTAAATTTGTTGTCATTGTTATCTGTCTCTCTCTCTCCCCCCCCCCCCCCCCCCCACACGGTGAGTTTTATAGATCACCCGGGGTCTCTGTTTGCGAGAGTTCTTGTTGCAGCACAGTTATTGTTGAGTGGCCCCTCCACATTCTCACAGGCTTTCCAACATATGGAGTTGGTTGTCAGGTATGTGGACCCGCATTCAAACAATTAAAGCAGAGTCTCCTTGGGACTAAACTGGCTCCTTGGATGATATGTTTGGCAAATGGAATGTCGGAATAATATGGCGGTCTCCAGTCCGGTTCCTGAGCCAGGCAGATCCATAGTATTCCAGGGCACTGCTGATGACAGAACGCCCAGCCTGGCTCATTGGCAGGGCCTGGAAGGGCAGACCAGTCACTGGGGGCAGGGAGTCATCCCACTCAGCTCCTGTTAAAGCTGCATGCCAAAGCCCGAACGGATAAGATGGTCCTAGCAGCACAAGCAGCAGGAAAGCTTCCCAGAGAAAGACTGCTACCATTTTCATCTCGGCCGCAGTGAAAGTAATAGAAATTGTTGCTCATTTTGACTTCTTGTATTGCGTTCATCTAAGCAGCCACATAGTTGTCTGGGAGGTGGATCATAACAATCCCAGCCCCTCTCCAAAGTTAAAACTGCAATTCAACAACAACAAATTACATCTACACAGCACCTTTCATTTCGGGAGGATGTCCCAAGGCACTGGAATGCATTGACTCTTGTTTCCTTATCTCCCTCCAGTCTCGAACTTTTTTGTAATCGTGACTCTGCATGTTGAGAGAAGCTTGGCCAGGGTGAGTTATTGCCTTTTCCTTCTGCTTAATATTTTTGAGTTCCAGATCATTATTTTAAAGACTTATTTTTGGTGTGCCAGGTGTCTTGACATGCGTGGAACCCATCACCATGATTTACAAGTTCCGGACTAGACAGAGTTCCACTACACCTGCAAATTGATATGGCTGGAAGGAAACACGCACGCTGTCTCTGGAGGGATGCAACCTGCTTACCTAATTCCAGATCTGTTAATCTGTTAGGCACAGATTGGAAAGAACCAAGACTTGGGTTAATTGGGATGTCTGCTGGGGTTTAACCAGTTAAAACCATATAGCCTTGCCATTGAGCATTGACTGGCAAGCTTTCCCGCTGCTTGTCCAGGTAGGAATACCCTACCCATTAGGACCTTGCCTTAAGTGTTAGCGGGAGCTGAGTGACTCAATTTCGACTGTATGTTGCAAACCATAGGTAGGAACCCGGTTGTTAGTTGGTTGGATCATTTTCTGGGGGTGATAATCCCTTTTTAAAAAAAATAATAATAATTTGGTCATTCAATCCACAACAGTGGGACACTACTGTGTGCAATTGGCTGCCATGTTTCACCCAAAAAATATACAGTCAATTCACGTTACAGTATATTCTGTGAAGCGCTTTAAGAAGTCTTGAAGACGTAATAAGGCATCATGTCAAATGCAAGTATTATTATTAATAATAATCATACTCTCTGGAATCAGGTAAGCAGGGTGCGTCACTCCAGGCTCCATTCCAGACACTGAACTGTACATACTTATGTGGAACTCTGACTACATTGGATAGTTTTCAGAATGATGGTAGGTTTCCGCGTGTGTCAGACACCAGACTGACCAAAAACAAAAGCCAAATGATCAAAAGCATCTTTCTTTTAAAGATGTTGTATGAATTAGAGTTGTATGAAAGTTGCTACAGTTAATATAACTTATGTGTATGCATTATAGAATTGCCATGTATATCTTTTCGCTGCCGAAGGATTGATCCCCTATTTGAGAAAGGTTTGCGGGCCGCATAAACAATATCTTGTGTTTCCCTTTCGAGAAACAACATTTATACAGCACCTTTTTCATATAGGAAGGATATCTCAAAGCGCTTAACACTGCCAGCTGAGCACCCGAGCTGTGGGTGGGAGTGAGGATGGTGGGATGGAAAGGGGAAAAGATGTCCGAAAGCATGGTCAAAGAGCTTATCAAAACCCCTTATAATTTTGAACACCTCTGTTAAATCTCCCCTCAACCTTCTCTGCTCTTAGGAGAACAATCCCAGCTTCTCTAGTCTCCCCACATAACTCCTGATTCCATTCTGGTAATTTAATGTTGAGTCGTTAAACCGAGGTCCCAGCCACTTGCTCAGGTGGGCATTATCACTATTCAAAAGTAAGCTATTCCTGCCCCTGATATATTGTTTAAAAACTCAAGAACATGTATTTCTTGGCTGTTTGAAGGTCATTGCTGTGCTTTGACTGCTGCGATCTTCGACAAATAGCCATTTCAGAAAACTGAAGTGTTTCGAGATATTTTGACATCATTTTGACATTGCAAGCAGTGTAGGATTATCTCTGAGCCAGCTTCTTTTCCGCAGGATGTTTTGTCTGAGGGGTTCGGACTATTTCTGCACAGCATCAATCTGATCGGCATCCTCTCCTTCCCTGTTGGTGTGGTGTTAACGGTCAGTTCTATAACTCCAGGTAAATGTCAAAGGTGCTTGTTCAGAAGGCGTGGGCAAAATGCCCTTCACTGAAGGTCTGACTTGTTATTTGCTGATCTAATCCACACTCTTCAAAAACAGGAGTGTGACCAGGGCCGATGGTTTGAGTGAGACGATGCTATCTGATTAATTACTACAGTTGTAGAAAAATATTTTTCTGTAATGGAATTATTATTATAACACTAATTCTGACCAGTGCATTCAACTGGAGAGTTGTAATTTAAATATTACAAATAATAATAATTTGATCACTCAATCCACGACTATTTGTGAGACACTGCTGTGTGCAATTGGCTGCCGCGTTTCGCCCACAAAACACACAGTCATTTCACTTTACAGTATATCCTGCGAAGCGCTTTGAGACATCTCGAAGACTGATAAGGCGCTATATCAAACGCAAGGATTACATATTATTAAAAAAGATGAGCGGAGCAGATGTGACTTTGTTTCTTGGCCTGCAGTTGGTGCTGAGATAGCACTCATGTGCTACACCATCCTCTTCCTCAAGCTCTTCTCCTACAAAGACGTAAACAGATGGTGCAGGGAGCTTCAGAAAGCAAAAGTGCGGACCCTGACTCGATCTCAGTCAGGTGAGTTTGCAGCAGGGCGGGGAGCGTCTGTGTGGGCGGGCGTTGGCTTGCAGGGTTAACAGGAACTGTGTGGGAGGATTCCCTGCCTCATGTGCTGCTGATGAGCCAGGTTGTCTGTGCCCTGGAATACTGTGGATTCACTCGGCTCAACAACCGGACTGGAGACCATCACAGAAGGTGTGAATGTCTATTCTGACATTCTGTTGCCAAACATATCACCATGGACCTAGATCAGCTCCAGGGAGACCCGGAGGATAGTCTCCAGTTGGTCATTTGACATCTGTTGCTCTACATGAAGGACACTGTATAAATGCAAGTTGGTAATACTCTTTCCTCTGTGAGTCAGAAGATTGTGATTCGAGATCATGGACCAGTATAGTGCTGGGGGAAGTGCTACAATTTCAGAGGTCAATGTTCAGGTGGACATTCAACGATCAACAACTTACATTTATATAGCGTCTTGAAGCCTTTAAAAATCCTATGATACTATTTGAAAAGAGAAGAGAGTTTCTCTCTCCCAGTGTCCTGGCCAACACTCCCTCAGATAAAATTGTTTATTCACTCTGTTGGCTCTTTGCGGGACATTGCTATGTGCAAACTGGTTGCTGTGTTTTGCCCACAAAAATGGTTGTCTCAAGCTTTACCGCAAATCCTGTGAAGGGCTTCGAGGCGTTTTAATGACTAGATAAAGCGCTAAAATCAAATGCAAGCATCATAATAATTTCCTTCTGATGTATAAAGGTTTGACACATGTTTATCTACTCAATTCTCTGCTTAGCTCCTGGCTTAAAGAAGGAGAATGGGGAAGTAGTGCAGCCAGTGGCTGTGTATCCGGGAAACCTGACCTATAAAGGTATGGGGTGTTTCTGTCAATACTATTATGGTATGGAAGCATACTGCTTGCTAATGGCCTCCTGCAAACCCTGAGTATATGATTCAGTGACTGGTTCAGCTCGCCCTTCACCGAGCTCCTCCGCGTGTCAGCCCCTCACCACACAGGAGGGGAAATCTGTGGAAGTAACAGAACCTGAACAGAACAGGCTCCACTGGCTCCCTATTGCCGAGCAGATTGATTTCAAGATCTTCACACTCGTTTTCAAATCCCTTCATGCCCTGGCACCTCCCTACCTCTCTGACTTGCTTACCCCCCCAACCCATCACCCACTGCATCCGGTTGACTGGCTCCGGCCTGCTGCATGTCCCTCGTGCCCTCCGTTCCACCAAACTCTGGAACACTCTCCCTCTATCCCTCCGCCTTGCCCCTTCCTCCCCCATCGTCAGGTCGTGCCTGAAGACCTTGCTCTTCGATCGTGTCTATCGTCACCCCCCACCCCCCACTGCTTTGCGACATACTCCCCACTGTCAAGCACTGTGAGACGTTGCCCTGTGTGAGGGGGGACTACATAAATGCTTCTTCTTGTTTTAATTTGGGGACCATTCCCCCCGCTAGCCCTCCGCTCCTCTCATCCAGTGCGTCGTCTTCCTGCCTTGCATTGCTCTGATCCTTTTTCATTTTTTTTCCTTTAGATATGTATTATTTCCTGTTTGCACCCACCCTGTGCTATGAGCTAAATTTCCCTCGGTCACCCCGCATTCGCAAGCGTTTCCTGTTGAGGCGGCTGTTTGAAATGGTGAGAAAATGGTGCAGAACCAATTACAAGCTGATTCCGGGCGAGGGCGGGGGAGAGAGAACTCTCATTCTTGATCAGTTTCTTTTCCTCATATTTTATCCTAGTTTTCCCGTTTCCCGCTCTGTGTGTTGTGTCTTTTTGGGTAAGAAGTGATTGTGCTGTGTCCTTGTTCACAATAATAAACCTTGCATTTGATATACTGCCTTAACACTTCAAGACGTCTCAGAGCGCTTCACCCAATATGCAATAACGTGCAGTGACTGTTTTGTGGGAGAAACGCAGAAGCCAATTACACAGAGCAGTGTCCCACAAACAATCGTGGATTGAGTGATCAAATTTATTTATTTTTTTGGAGGGATTATTACCCCCGGAAAACGATCCCTCGATTGACAAAAAAAAAAAGGTTCCTACTTACTGCTAGGTAAGCAGAGGCGTGTGGAGTAAGTTTCGACTTCCAGATCCTCACGCTTGTGTTCAAATCGCTTCACTCCCTGGCATCTCCCTACCTCTCCGACCTCCTCACTCCCCAATCCACCACTGGCGCCTCCGCTCAACTGGCACCGGCCTCCTGCTTGTCCCTCGCACCCTTTGCTCCACCATTGCAGGTTATGCTTTCAGCTACTACTCCCAGAAATTTTGGAACACTCTCCCTCAATCCCTCTGCCTTGCCCCTTCTCTCCCCTTTTCAAGTCCCGCCTTAGAACCCTCCCTTTCGACCGTGGAGTCGTCCCCCAGCTCGGAGTCAGGCTGCGCCATTGTTAAATGCTTTGAGATGTTGCCTTGCGTGGAGGGCGCTGTATAAGTACAAGTTGTTGTTGTAAGGAAACTTGCCCAATGTTTCTCCCTACCCGTGAATCAAACCCAGGTCCTCTCACTTGCGAGGCGAGTGCTCTAACCACTACGCTACAGGATTCCTTCCACTGGCGATGTCAAGGCCAGTCACATTCCACACAGTGATGTTTATTATGACTGGAGCCACAGGGGGAGAAACTCACAGAGAAGCTTGTCTGCCTGCCTTTGCAGAGCTACTCAGTGCTGCTCGTAACCACTTGCAGATGGACTCTCAGCTCCTGCCTTCATCGCATTCTACTTCACGGCTTTTCTCCCTTACACGTCACCACAGTGACTTTTACTGGTGACCAAAAGCAGTGGTGGTACCAGGAGTTCTGTAGTATAGTGTTTAAAGCGCTCGCCTTGCAAGCGGGATAACCTGAGTTTGATTCTCGGGAGGGGGGGGGGAAACCTTAGGCAAGTTTCCTTACTCCACACGCTCTGTTTAACTTAGCAGTAAATAGGAACCCGCTTTGCCGGGGTAATCATCCCTTCATTTAAAAAAAAATAATCTATGGCTGTTTATGGGACGCTGCTGTGCACAGTTGGCTGCCGAGTTTGGCCCACAAAATATACAGTCAATTTACTTTAAAGTATATTCTGTGAAGAGCTTTGAGACGTCTCGAAGACGTGATAAGGTGCTTTGCCAAATGCAAGTATTATTATTAAGGATTGTAATTATTATTTAACATGGTTCTCTGTCTGACCATCCCAACCCAAACTAACTAGCCAATCAGAATACAGAACTATATGTGTTTCTTTGTAAAATAGTCACTGCTTTACAGAAAATCCTGTGAAGTGCCTTCAGGCGTCCTCCCAATGTGAAAGGCACTACATCAAATGCAAGAATCGCACCCCTGCCCTTCAAAAGGGGTCTCTTTCCTCTCCCCTCCCCCCCCTCCCCCCCCCCCCTTGCCATGGGTCTCCCTTTCACATGTATTTTATTTACCTTGTTTTTTTAACTCTTTTTCCAGCTTTTCTTCATACAGTTATTGGTGGGATTAATCCAGCAGGTGAGTGACCCTGAGCTGCAGCAAGCTGGGGCGGGGAGCGAAGCGTGTTAGTAACCCAACATTTTACTTTATTAGGTTAAACATGACCCGATCATCCCTACCCTCGCCTGGCTCTCCGTCCCCCAGAGAATAGACTTCAAAATCCTCGTCCTCGCCTTCCAAAGCCCTCCACGGCCTTGCTCCTTCCTACCTCTGGGACCTACTAACTACATATCAACCTGTCCGCCCCATCAGCCTCTGTGCCCCATCCCTTTGGATTCCATCCTGCAGTCCCTTCGCCTCGCCTCCTTCAAAGCCCGTCTCGAGACCATCCTTTTCAACTGTGCCTTCGGCCACCCTCCTACCCCTGCCCTCCAGCCCTCCTGATCCCAAACTCCAGCTCAAGTCTAAATCCCTGACTGTCCAACAATGCCTTGGGACATCCTCCTGACGTGAAAGTTGCTATACATATGTAATTTGTTGCTGTTTGTGAGTGGGAACCGCCTGCTCTGCTGCACTCATACCCAGTTCCTGTAGCGCCTCTTTCACTGCACGTTCTGAGTTAGCTCCATAAACCATGTACACCTGTAGACTTTAGTGCAGAAATATGATTGGGTTATCATTAAAATGATTTCCTGCTTTTGTTTTCATTTTAACAGTGGATGGTACCGACCATAAAGAATTCCATGAAGCCTTTCAAAGTAAGTTACAGATTGTAATGTTAAAGGGATGGGGAGGGTAGCTGGGGGGTGATATTATGAGGAAGTTTCTATTCTCGTCTCGCTGCATGTGAAGTGTTCAGGGTGACCAAGAAGTCGTGATCCCATAACAATGTCTGATAAGTCTTAAGTAAATTATTTTTTTTAGATATAGGATAGATATCACAACATTTTGGTCACCCTGTGCAATTTTAATCTGTGCCTGTGCCATTCTCTCTGATAGAGCTCTTTGTTTAGTGCCACTCCCTGCTCTCTTTCCTCTCCCCCCAAACAGCCACAAAGTGAACAACCTTTTTTAATCTGGGGGATTACGCCCATACCGTTGATTCACTTTACAGTATATCCTGTGAAACACTTTGAGACTCTCGAGAACGCGATAAGGCGCTATAATCAAAGGCAATGATTATTATTATATTGTTGCCAGGACACCTTCCTTTCTTTCCTGATGGTGGCATGGGAATGTTTAATGTCCACCTGGACAGATAAAGACAGATCCTCTTAATGTCTCATCTGAAGGAAGGCACATTGCAGCTCTCCCTCAATACTGGACTGACTGTCCACTTACACTGCCAGTGAAATGTACCTTTGATTTTAACCTGGGGAGTTTAATTCGGTGTGTGCACTGCTTTGTTAGGGGGGGAAAAAGGTTTGTTAGGTTTTTTCTGGTGTCCTGGCAACAATATAATAATAATCTATGACTTGCATTGATTGATGCTGTGGTACGGGGAAAAGGCAGTGATATGAGATTCAAAGATCTGCCATGGTAAACCTGGGAACCAGAGGAGCCGTTGAGCCTGTTCCCTTAGTTTACTGTCTTTTTCCCCCTTGCGTGTGCGTGTCTGTCTTGTGTGTGTCTGTCTGTGTGTGTGTGTGTGTGTGTGGTGTGTGTGAGAGATAACCACTGTGATTGTTGATTTCAGGATATGAACTATTCGAGGATGATTGAGAGGCTGCTGAAGCTAGCAGTAAGTGACTTACTTTCTAAATTGTGCTGTGTGTGTGTATATATATATATAATACACACACACAGTATAAGCCTTGCTCTACCTGATTGTCGTATGTAATGTATACCTAGGTGTGAATAAGCCTGTTAAACCCATGTGGGTGCAGTGGGTAGTGGAGTGGGGAGAGTGAAGGGATTTGTAGACTTATTTATGATGTCTCATCTGAAGGAGGGCACCTCCAACAATACAATGCTCTCCATCAACCCCTCCCCACTCCACTTATAACTGGGGATCCAGGTTTATGATCCAAGTCACCATGTTATAACAGGTCTGACTGGTTTCTCTCTGAAAAGCGCATCCTCTGAATGCTCCTGTGTCCAGTTGGTGAGTGGCTAAGGTTTGTGCTGCAGTCAGATGTGACCGGCAGCAACGTCCCACACGCACACAGCACAGAGAGAAGCAGCTCTGTCCCTCACTTCGAATTTACTGCGATGACGTTCAATAAGTGGAGTCCTGTAGCGTAGTGATTAGAGCACTTGCCTTGCAAGAGAGAGAACCCGGATTCCCGGAGAGAACCCGGCAGGCTTCCTTATGCCTCCAAACGCCTCTGTTTACCTAGCAGTAAGCAGAAACCCAGTTGTTAGTCGATTGGCAGATCGCTTTTCTGGGGATAATAATCCCTTCCNAAAAAAAATTAAATAATAATTTGGTCACTCAATCCATGACTGTTTGCGGGACACTGCTGTGCACAGCTAGCTGCTGCAAATCGCCCACAAAATATACAGTCAATCCACTTTACAGTATATTCTGTGAAGCGCTTCGAGCCATCTCAAAAGTTGTGATAAGGTTCTCTATCAAATGCAAGGATTATTCTTATAATAAGGAGGAAGTTCTCAGCTAGGACACAACCACTGGATCAGGTCACTCACTACCTGTGGCTTCCCAGTCTGCTCACTCCCATCAGTCTCCGTCCTCATGTGCATGTTTCTCTTTCCCCGTTGAGGAAGGCATGTTGTGAATGTTGACCTGGTTTCTTTCTGCAGGTTCCCAATCATCTGATCTGGCTCATCTTCTTTTACTGGTTCTTCCATTCCTCCATGAACTTCGTCGCTGAGCTGATGCAGTTCGGTGACCGGGAGTTCTATAGAGATTGGTGGTAAGGGGACACGAAGGCAGCTAACCTGCGTGCGTGGGAGTGAGACCTAGAGCTAACCTGGACTTGTGTATGTGTGTGTGTGTGTGTGTGTGACCCACAGCAACCAGGTGCAACGCGGTGTATCTGACTCTTCCTACGTTATTTGTAAAGATCAGAGCATTACACAAACTATTGATTGTTTTGGTGACGCGGGTTATTTGGTGTGTAATGTTTTATCCCCTAGGAACTCTGAGACTGTGACCTACTTCTGGAAGAACTGGAACATTCCCGTCCACAAGTGGTGCAGCAGGTGAGCCCCAGGGCACAGTGTGAGGGGATCTGCCAGCCGGGGGCACAGTGTGAGGGTATCTGCCAGCCGGGGGCACAGTGTGAGGGTATCTGCCAGCCGGGGGCACAGTGTGAGGGTATCTGCCAGCCGGGTGGCACAGTGTGAGGGTATCTGCCAGCCGGGGGCACAGTGTGAGGGTATCTGCCAGCCGGGGGCACAGTGTGAGGGTATCTGCCAGCCGGGGCAGGGAGGCTGCAGGGTGCAGTGGGTATCTGCCAGCCGGGGGCACAGTGTGAGGGTATCTGCCAGCCGGGGGGACGGGTGGGGCCCGGCAGGGGGAGGAATGGAGATCTCCACCAATCAGCTAACAACCAGGTTCCTACTTACTGCTAGGTAAACAGAAGTGTGGAGCAAGGAAGCTGCCTAAGGTTCGTCCTGACCGGGGAATCAAACCCGTGTCCCCTCGCTTGTGAGGAGAGTGTTCTAACCATTGGGTTTACAGGACTCCCATCCTTTTTCAGTGAGATCAGACATGAAGGCATTTGTGTGTGTGTTGGTTTCAGCGATGCATTGCAGAGAGAGAGAGAGACTAACAGAAATGCTCTGTTTCCTCTCTGTTCACAGACATTTCTACAAGCCCATGTTGAAGAAGGGTGTGAACAAGCGGATGGCTCAGACGTGGGTCTTCCTCGCGTCAGCATTCTTCCATGAGGTCAGGATGCGGGGCTGCACGTGGTTTAGGTGGGGAGGGTGGGAGAGAGGTGACTGTTAGCCTGTCTCATTCTTGTACTTCCATGTTGGGGACTTTGAGCTCACAGTCCAGGCTGCCCCTCCAGTACAGTAATAATCACACTTGCCTTTGATGCAGTGCATTTCATGTCAGGAGGAAATGCTTCACAGGGTTCACTGTGAAGTGTGGTGACTGTTTTGTATGCAAATCTACCCTTCGCTGCATTGCCATCCTTCGATCCGAGACAGTAAAACAAGCTCAGTTTGCCTGTCCAGGTGGTGTCTCGGCCAACGATCCTCCAGATAAATTGGTCACCAGCCTTGCTGTACAGACTGGGTGCCACATTTGCCTAAAATAGTCATACTTTCAACATCGATTCCTTGTGAAGTACTTTGAGACGTGTGAAGGCAGAATCAAATGCAAGAGATATTTTTATTTGCTAGCGTGAGTGCTCAGTGAGAGGGAGAGGGAGGGGTGCTCATTGACTGCCTTGTGTGTTTCAGTACCTGGTCAGTGTCCCTCTGAAGATGTTCCGCTTGTGGGCCTTCATGGGAATGATGGCTCAGGTGAGGCTGCGGGGGTTTGGAAGGGTGGGGGGTAGAGGGGATGACGGATGACATTAGGGTGTTTGGGGGGAGGGGGGTGGGGTTGGATGTTTGGGGAATGACAGCTGTGTGGAGGGAGGGGAGCGAGATTGGTTGCTCTCTCACACACTGCCCTCTCTCTCTGTGTCTCTCATACACTGCCCTGTCTCTCTCTGTCTCCCTCGCACACCGCCCTCGCTGTCTCTCTCTCCCCTCGCACACCGCCCTCGCTGTCTCTCTGTCTCCCTCGCACACCGCCCTCTCTGTCTCCCTCGCACACCGCCCTCGCTGTCTCTCTCTCTCCCTCGCACACCGCCCTCGCTGTCTCCCTCGCACACGCCCTCGCTGTCTCTCTGTCTCCCTCGCACACCGCCCTCGCTGTCTCCCTCGCACACCGCCCTCGCTGTCTCCCTCGCACACCGCCCTCGCTGTCTCCCTCGCACACCGCCCTCGCTGTCTCTCTGTCTCCCTCGCACACCGCCCTCGCTGTCTCCCTCGCACACCGCCCTCGCTGTCTCTCTGTCTCCCTCGCACACCGCCCTCGCTGTCTCTCTGTCTCCCTCGCACACCGCCCTCGCTGTCTCTCTGTCTCCCTCGCACACCGCCCTCGCTGTCTCTCTGTCTCCCTCGCACACCGCCCTCGCTGTCTCCCTCGCACACCGCCCTCGCTGTCTCTGTCTCCCTCGCACACCGCCCTCGCTGTCTCTCTGTCTCCCTCGCACACCGCCCTCGCTGTCTCTCTGTCTCCCTCGCACACCGCCCTCGCTGTCTCTCTGTCTCCCTCGCACACCGCCCTCGCTGTCTCTCTGTCTCCCTCGCACACGCCCTCGCTGTCTCCCTCGCACACCGCCCTCGCTGTCTCTCTGTCTCCCTCACACACCGCCCTCTCTGTCTCACAGCTGCCGCTGGCCTGGTTGGTCGGGAGATTCCTGAGCGGTAACTACGGTAATGCTGCGGTGTGGCTGTCGCTGATCATTGGGCAGCCAGTGGCTGTGCTCATGTATGTCCATGATTTCTACATCCTGAACATTGAGGGGAATCAGTGACCCCCCCCCACCCCCCCACCCCCAATGGGAGGGAAGGGGCCCTGAGGGAACACCACCCCAGGAGGGGTGGGGACATCAGTGAGCCCCTCCCTCCCGAGGAAGGGGACATTGGTAACTCCAGGGGGAGGGGAGGAGCCGTCAGTGACGATGAGGTGGGGGGGTGGGGGAAAGAGGGGTATCAATGAGCCCTGCGGTGGGTGGGGGGGTGGTGTGGGCGAGTGTTTTCTACTAGTTACAGAATAAGGCACCGAGTGCTTTGTATATTTTTATACCGTCCCGGGTGGGGGGGGGGGTGGTTTGGCTTTGCCTCAGTGGGAGGTGTGACGAACAGCCTGTGTGTGTGTCTGTGTATGGTGGGGGTGACTGTCAGCTCCACGTGCCCGTCCAGTCTCTTGAGTAGACACAGACACAGGTGACGGTTGGGATTCTGAGAGCAGAGAGGGGCACTGAGGGAGGGAGTGGGAGCTGGGTCTGTTTCACTCGACTTTGCCCATTGGGGAGCGGTTAGCACATCGGTGGGGGGGGGGGGAGTGGGTCTCTGGGTAGCAGGTGGGAGCAAGAATCCATCCAAGCCCAGAACTGCCCATCAACTGCTCCCCTACCCCACCCTGCACGGCTCCCATCGTACCCAGTGCTGACTCCACTCCACCATTTGCTCCTCTGAACAGCCCTTCCCAGCTGCGGGAACACATACAACTTCCAGCTCCCCTCTCACTCTCACCCCCTCCCTCTCACCCCTCCTTCCCACTCTCACCCCTCCCTCTCACCCCTCCTTCCCACTCTCACCCCCTCCCTCTCACCCCTCCTTCCCAACTCTCACCCCCTCCCTCTCACCCCTCCTCCCAACTCTCACCCCCTCCTTCCCAACTCTCACCCCCTCCCTCTCACCCCTCCTTCCCGACTCTCACCCCCTCCCTCTCACCCCTCCTTCCCAACTCTCACCCCCTCCCTCTCACCCCTCCTTCCCAACTCTCACCCCCTCCCTCTCACCCCTCCTTCCCGACTCTCCCCCTCTCACTCCCCACCCTCTCATTTCTCACCCCCTCCCAACTCCCAGCAACGAACAAACGTGCTCTCCTCTTGTCCCTGTGTCAGTTTCTAGCCCAGATTCCCAGTAACCACTGCCATGTCAGAGTGTGGACAACCCAAGCCAAAATCTAGGCGTTAGTGACTGGGTATGTGACCAGACACTCTGTCCTTGCGCCCTCTCCCCCGAAAGCCTTTGCTTTCTCACCAAGTGCCTGAACAAGCTCTCCAGCTTGTGATTGTCAACCTGCTCCTAATCTCCTATTTACTGTAAACTTAGCAACAACAATGCAATGTCTGGAGCCCGAATCCTCACAGCTGTGTCGCCAACTCAGCTGATGGCCAGACTTGGAGCCAGCGGTTGTAGGTTAGAAGATTCCCCGTGGCGCTGCTCAGCCCTTGGTCTTTCTTTGTGGTTCATTAAATGCTGGGGTCTGGGGTGGCTTAGGGGATAAGTCAGGGCTCCCAGGGGTCTAATCGTTACCTTTCTGAGCCAGACAGCTATCCTAAAGGGCAGCGTGGTGTAGCGCAGGTAGGGACTGTGTCACTGCAAACCTTCAGTAGTTGGAGCGCTCGCTGCGTAAGCGAGAGGACCTGGGTTCAGTTACTGGGCAGGGTGAAATGTTGGCCAAGTTTCCTTACTCCTCACACAAGTCTCTGTTTACCCCAGCAGTCAGTAGGATTGCTTTTCTGTGAGTAATAATACCATCAAGTTTTTTTAAAAAAATAACAATTTGGTCACTCAATCCACGACTGTTTGAGGGACACTGCTGAGCGCAATTGGCTGCTGCGATTCCTCACAAAATATACAGTCAATTCACTTTATAGTATATCCTGTGAAGCGTTTTAACACGTCACAAAGACGTGACAGGGCGCTATATCAAATGCAAGGATTATTCACTTGAATCACCTTACTCCTTCCTACCTGTTAGCAACCTTGTCCAGCCTCCTCTTCCCTCAGCCCCAGGTCCTTCTCACATCCTCCCCGTTGTTGCCGATGTCCAGTTTTCTTCAAGTGAAAGTGATGATAATAGTTCCTACTCAGAGGCGTTTGGAGTAAGGAAATTTGCCCAACGTTCACGCTGTCCGGGGATCGAACCCAGGTCCGCTCGCTTGCGAGCGCTTTAACCACTTAGCTTCAGGACTCCACATTGATGTTTTTGTACCTTCTGCTCGGAGGCAGCCTGCGGTGTAGTGCGGGGCCCAGCGCCCCTCACCCCTTGCTGTGCTGTGGCCGGTTGCTGGAGCTTGTCAGCAACAAAGGGGTGTCTGCTTTTTATATACTGGATCTAGTTTCTTAGTGTCTGGAAATCAGACTGATTTTACTCGACTTGTATCTTTTTAAATTGCCCTCGATGTACACAAGACTGTGAGAATCAATGCAATGAAGACTGGCAGGTAGTTACAGGGACAATTAAAGGGAACGTGCAGAGGCTCCTTTCCCCCGGCTGGTGAGCGACCGCCCGCCCGCCCGCCTGTAGGGGAGGGGACTTGCACCTGCTGTTTCTGGTAACGACCCTGTCGACTTTTTTTAATTGATGGAATAAATAAATGTTGAAATAAATCCTTGAAATCCTCTTTTGGGTGAAGCTCTGGAGCCTCGATCGTATGTCACGAGGAAACTGTTTGCACATGAAACTTGCCAATAAACGTCTTGAGATACTAACTGTTGTGAGGTGCTTCAATTGTAGGGCCACTAGCATGAAGTCCATGTGCTGGGAGCAGGCCACCTCCGGAACATCGCCAGACTACGGCACTACCTCACCCCTCACGCGGCTGAAACTCTGGTCCACGCCTTTGTCACCTCAAGGCTGGACTATGGGAACTCTCTCCTCGTCGGCCTTCCCGCACCTCCCTCCACACTGCAGGTCATTCAGAACTCTGCAGCTCGTGTACTGTCCCGCACCAGACACCGCGACCACATCACTCCCACCCTCGCCCTCGCCCTCACCCTCGCTCGCCTCCACTGGCTCCCCATCCCCCAGAGGATCAAATTCAAGATCCTCATCCTCACCTACAAGGCCATTCACGGCCTCGCTCCCTCCTACCTCTCCGACCTACTATCCCCCCACGTACCTGCCCGTACCCTCCGTTCTTCCGGCTCTGGTCTGCTCCACATCCCCCGCCCCAACCGCCCTACTATCGGTGGTCGGGCCTTCAGCCTCTCAGCCCCGAGGCTCTGGAACTCCATCCCCCAGTGCCTTCGCCGCTTCCTCCCTTTCCTCTTTCAAGGCCGGTCTCAAAACCTTTCTCTTTGACCGAGCCTTCAGCTCCCCTCTCGACTCTCTTCCCCCTCCTCGCTCCCTCCCTTCGCTCCCCTCACCCTGACCATTTCCCCTCTGCTCGGGTCATGACCCAACTGTGCAGCGCCTTGGGACGTCCTCCTGACGTGAAAGGCGCTCTATAAATGGAATCTTGTTGTTGTTGTGTGAGCACACAAAGCCTTGAGTAAAATTATGGTCCACAAGTTTTGCCCACAAATGATAAGAGTGTTGCTATGCGATGCTGTAGGACTCCCATTATAATGGCACATCAAGTGTAAAATGACACTCCAGCCCAGAGGTACGTGGTCGGAAGTGCCGTCCTTCGGATGACACGTTAACCCGTCGGTCAGTCGGTCCCGCCTGTCTGCCTGTCTGGGTGGACGTCAGAGATCCAGCTCCACGATCGGAAAAGAGAAGTCGTGCATCTCGGCCGACGTGTTTCGCCCAGAAGACTCGCAAGCGTTTGGTTTATCAAAATGTATTTTTTTTTTTTTTAGCTCAATTATTTCGAAAGAATTTATAAAATTGGGTCGGCAATGGGAGGGGGGGGGGAAGAGTTACAAAATACCGGGTATCTGCAAACCTCACCCGGATGCTCTGGGACGCCAGCAGCTTGCGCAACAGGCTCTATATGAAGGCAAGTTGTTAGATGAACTTATAAGTTATAACTTATAATAACTTATAATACGCCGTCTTACTGAGGTGCTATACTGCGTAATTGCCGTCAGGGGGCAGGCTGTTATCACAGCTGGGAGGGGGAGGATCAGTTGGATTTGTTTGGACGTTGCCCTGGACAACGGTAAAGCCTCGCAGCCTTGTTGGACCGCCGCCAGGGTTCGAGCCCCCGCTGCCTCCCGAGACTGTGCTGCGTTTGCCCTACGCTCACAGACACGACTACGCCGCACAGGACGTCCTGCGAAACGCTTTGACGGCATGAGTGGGAGGGGTCCTTGTGGGGGTCTCGACGCACAGAAACCCATCGACCAGGTTCCTACTTAATGCCAAGGAAACGGGTGTGTTGGGAGTAAGGGAACTTGCCTAAGGCTTGGCCCTGCCCGCAATCAAACCCGGGTCCTCTCACTTGTGAGGCGAGTGCGCTAACCACTACACTGTAAGCCACATTTGCGCAGCACCTTTGGTAGACAGGACATCCCAAGGCTCCGGTCCGTCACCCGAGCTGGGGAGTAGGATTTGCGAGGGGTGGGGGCAGGGAGGGAACAGTGACAAAGAGGGTCTCAAGACCTGGGAGGGAAAGGATGGTACCAGTCAGTCGATGACGTCTCCACTCACCCTGTTATTTTCTTTCCCAAGAAAGCAATCTTCCACCCTTGCTACCGACGGCAAATCGCATTTACACAGCGCCTTTCATGTCAGAATGACGACCCAAGGCGCCGGGTAACAACATTACATTTGTATAGCGCCTTTCACGCCGGGAGGACGTCCCAAGGCGCTGGATAGAGTTACGGACCCGGGCTGGGGGGTCGGGGTGGGGAAGCGAGAGATCGAACGCGTGGTCGAAGAGGAGGGTCGAAGAGGGGGGTCTTGAAGGTGGCGAGGGAGAGGCTCCTGAATGGAGTTCCGCGGGGTCGGGGTAGAAAGGCGAAAGGCGTGACGCCGATGGTGGAGCGGGCAGGACGGGCCCCAGGTCGGTAAAAGTAGATCGTAGAGGAGGAGCAAGACCGTGGAGGGCTTTGAAAGTTAGGACGAGAATCATCTGGGGGTCGGGGAGCTGGTGAAGCCGGGCGAGTCAGTCAGTGGGCGTAGAGCTCAGCCGGGGTGCGTTCTGTCCCTTGCTAACTGCAGCCAAGCCCCCTCCCCATCCGTTCAAAGCCGTAGACACGTGAAAACAAAGCAGGCCCAGTGTGTGGTGGTCTGTGTATAGATATATATATTTATATATAATCCTCTTTATTATAGCATAAAACAGCAGCAATTAGAATTTCGTATCTACAACATTTCAAAGCCCCTTCAATCAGTCTTCCCCCCCCCCCCCCCGCCCCCCACCCACCCCCACCAACAAGTTTTGTTTCACGTGTAACCTAACATGGAGCGTGGCCACTGAATGCGAGAGTAAGATCGCAGGTGTCCCGGTTCGCTGTTAATAATAATAATAATCCTTGTACTTGATATGACGTCTTATCACGTCTTCGAGACGTCTCAAAGCGCGTCACAGAATACACTGCAAAGTGAATTGGCTGTATATTTTGTGGGCGAAACGCGGCAGCCGATTGCGCGCAGCAGCGTCCCACACAAACAGCCGTGGATTGAGTGACCGCATTTCCGCCAATCAATTAACAACCGGGTTCCTGCTTACTGCTGGGTAAACAGAGGCGTGTGTGTGGAGTAAGGAAACTTGGCTAAGGTTTCACCCTGACGCGCCCGGGAATCGAATCCCGGTCCTCTCGCTTGCAAGGTGAGCGCTCTAACCACTAAGCTACAGGACTCCACTTGCGAGGACTAATAACTAGGAGAGTAAGGTGATTGCAGCCGGAGGGTGAGCATCACTGAGCGTACACACACACGCACCTCTCTCTCTCTCTCTCTCTTTCTGTGTCTAGAAGGCCAGTGGTGATTAAAATATACAAAATAAAAAGTCATTTACATCAAACAAACACTTGGGGAGACTGTCCGAGGCCAGGCCGGGAGAATTGCAGCCCGTCGGGTTTTGTTTGTTTTTTATATACATAAAAAAATATACGGAGACTTGATAGGAGTTGGCACTGCCCAGCGCGCGCCCCCCAGCCCCCCGCAGCTGCTTACTGCCCACCATCGCCAGCCACTGTGCAGGCAGCGGGTTCGCACTAACACTGCAACTCCACAATGAATTGGGGGTTGGCACGCGGCAGCTCGGGGGGAGGGGGGTGGGGGGAAAGAGGAGATGAATGTCTGATCACCGGCCTGGCTCGCACACCGAGGCTTAAAGACAGTTTAGGGCAGTCTCGTGGCAATCAAAAACCATTGAACCATTACACTACCATTTCCCCCCACCACCCCCACCCCACACCAGATGGATCTCAAGATCCTCATTTCAAATCCCTTCATGTCCTGACAACTCCCTCCCTCTCCGACCTGCTTAACCCGCAACCTCTCCGCTCGACTGTCCCCGGCCTCCTGCACGTCCCTCGTGCCTTCCTTTCCACCACTGGTGGCCGCGCTTTCAGCCACTACTCCCCGAAACTCTGTCACACCACTCTACCTCAATCTCTCTTCCTCTCTTCCTTCCCCGTCTTCGGGTTGCGCCTGAAGACCTTCCTCTTCAACTGTGGCTACGGTCACCTCCCCATTCCCCTCCCCACCGGTTCGGAGTCGTGTTCCGCCACTGTCATGTGCTCTGGGACACTATCCTGCATGAGGGGCGCTTCCGGGAGGAAGGGGAGAAACGTGGGAATGGAGACTCTGGGTAGAGGGGCAAATGGGAAGCGCCAGCTCACAACGGCCCCTCTTGGGGTAGGAATTGGGGGGTGGGGGGGGGAACTGTGATGCCCAACTCTCCATCTCCCCTACGCTGTCCACCACAAACCAACAACAACTTACATGTATACAGTGCCCTTCACTTGGGTAGTGTCTTGGGAGCGCTTGTCAGCGATGTGGTTTGACACTGAGCTGCAGGGAGTGGGGGAGGAAGTGGCTGAATCCACGGTCGAAGAGGAAAGTCGTCAGGTATGACTTGACGTCAGCCAAAGAGAGGGTATAGCTGAGGGAGGGATTGAGCCAAGCGGGTCCGCAGCTGATGGCAGCGCAGCCCGGCCCATCAGCAGGACCTGGAAGGGCCGACCAGTCACTGAGGGGGGGGGTAGGGAATCCTCCCCCCTCAGCTCCTGTTAACCCTGCAGCCAAAGCCCTAACTAACTAACTAACTAACGGGGAGGGTGGACACGCAGCGGGAAAGCTGACCGGACGGACAGTGCTCCCAAATGGCAAGCGGTACGGTTTTAGCTGGTTAGTGTCTGTAGTCGGACGTTAGGTCAGAGACAGTTACAGGAAGATGAAGAATGAAAGAGCGCACGATCTGCCAACCCGACAAAGCAGCTCACGCTACCAAGAGACAAACACACGCACACGGGACCCTTCCCTCCCGGGGAGGGACACATTAGTAGAGGGGGGGAGGGGGGGGGGGGGGGGAGAGAACCACAACAATGGACGGATGAGGACAGGACCATTGTAAGCACTCTTATCACTTTTAAAAGTATATAAAAAAAAACCTTTTAAACACACATTTCAATGTCGTACCCCTAGTTTACCGAGACCTGCCTGGAGTTTATCGCCTTGCCCCCACCACCGCACCCCATCCCATCTCCACGCCTTGAGGGGAGGACTTGTGGGACGGGGGGGGGCGGGCAGGGGGCAGGGGGGAACATGCTCCCTGGCCTGGCACTGCCCACCCACCACCCCCTGCCCCCCCCGCTCCCAGAATGTATTTGTCATCTAGAAACACAAACATGTTAAAAATGAAATATTTAATACATGGCGCTCGCTCTCCTGTCTCGCTGTTCGTGTGTGCCAGCCAAAGCCAGGCTGTGAGCAGGGCGAGGGCATGGTAGGGGGGAGGGCTGGGAGGCATGGGGTGAGGGGGTGGTGGTGGGGGGGGTGAGGAGTTAGGACGTGGGGGATTCTTTGCTCTGTGACAGGTCAGCGCTGGACAGCAGTGACAGGGGGTCATCCACCGCGGCCTCAGCGTTCAGCTCCTCCGCCATCGGGAAGTAGGAAGAGTCTCCGAGCTCGAACAGGACAGGAGCACAGCTGGTTTGTCTGGGCGGCAGAGGAGAGGAGAGGAGAGGGAGTGAGGACAGCTGCATGGTGTGGTATGTTCAGTCAGCTTTACAGAGTGCAGGGAGAGCAGCGTGATCACGTGTGCGTGAGTGTATGTATTCACAGTGAGTGTGCGCGTGTGTGTGTGCATTCAGTACGTGTCTGCGTGTATGTGTACTCACAGTGAACGTGTCCCAAGTTCAAGATCCTGGTCCTCACCCTAAAAGCCCTCTACACCCTTGCTCCCCCCCCCCCCGCCCACCCACCTCTGCGACCTCCTAACCCCCAACCAACCTGCCCACTCCCTCCGCTCAGCGGGTTTGGACCTGCTTCGCCTACCCCCGCCTCGCCCGCCCCACCATTGGCGGGCGGGGCTTCTGTCACTCTGCTCCCACCCTCTGGAACCCCATCTCACAGTCCCTCCGCCTCGCCACCTCCCTTGGCTCCTTCAAGACCCATCTCAAGACCCTCTTCTTCGACCGTGTTTTCAATCACCCTGCTTCCCCCCCCCCCCACCCACCCATCCTGATCCCCAGCTCGGGTCCGAAACACCGACTGTCCAGCGGCTTGGGACGTCTTCCTGATGTGAAAGGCGCTATACAAATGTAATTTTGTTGTGTGTGGGTGTATACAAAATGAGTGTGTATATTCAGTGAATGAGTGTGTGTGTATACACAGGACCAGGTTATAGTGCAGGAGCCTCTGTGAGGACAGGTTACCTGTAGCGTAAGTGTTTGCTGTCCCCCTCCGTGGACTTCTGTTCCTGGGATCCCATCAGATCCTGGATCTGTGGAGGAGCCACAAGGTTAAAGATGAGGATAGGATTTTGCAGGTGAACACAGCAGCAACTTGCATTTATATAGCGCCTTTCACGTTAGGAGGACGTCCCGAGGCGCGCTTCACAGAATATGCTGTAAAGTGAATTGACCGTATATTTGTGGGCGAAACGCGGCAGTCAATTGCGCACAGCAGCGTCCCACAAACAGTTGTGGATTGAAAATGACCAATTTATTATTGTTTTTGGTTTTGGAGGGATTATTATTAGGCTCTGTGTGGAGTAAGGAAACTTGCCCAAGGTTTCGCCCTCTGCCTGGAATCGAACCCAGGTGTCTCACTTGCAAGGGGAGTCCTCTAACCACTGAGCTACAGAACTCCACAGTCCTGACAAAGGGCTTGAACCCACAACCTTCTGACTCAGAGGCGAGAGAGAGAGAGAGAGAGAGAGAGAGCTATCGCTAAGCCAGGCTGACACATATGAACAAAGTTGTGCAAAACTACCAGTCTACACTGTGGGCGACTCTCTCTCTCTCTCCCTCATGCCCTCCTTACTCCTCTGGCAGAGCTGGTCCCCAGAGCAGGTACAGATCCCTCCCTTGTACACGGAGATGTACTCAGTGGCGCTCAGTCAGAGCTCTGCTCATTCCCACCCACTTACTGCTGCGAGGTTACTCTCCACATCTGGCAGGTTCAGGTCAACAGGCGACAGGGAAGGGCTGAACAGCTGTGGAGACAGAATAAGGATGAGAGTCATGACGGAGCAGAGGACAGAGTTGGGGTGGGGCGGGGTGACAGAGTTGGTGTGGTAAAGAGAGGAAGCTTTGGTTGACAGTCGGGAGATGGCTGGGGTGGGGTGGGTTGGCGTGGGTGGGGTGGGAGGGGGGGGGGGGCGGGAGAAGAGGGATGGTAATAATAATAATCCTTGTATTTGACATTGCACCTTATCACATCGTTGAGTCGTCTCGAAGTGTGGATTATTGGCTGCGTATTTTTTTGTGTGCGAGCGAAACACAGCAGCCAGTTTGCACACAGCAACGCTCCACAAACAGCTATCAAGTGAGTGATCACATTTTTTAAAATATATTAGTTGCGGGATTGTTGGCCAGGACACCGGGGGGAGTGGGGGGGGGGAAGAGAGGAACTCCCTTCTCTTTTTTGCAAAATCTCTGGCCTCGGAAATGGCACTGATCACCGTGTGCTAATGCCGTCCCAACAATCAGAATCGTAATAATGCTATTAAGAATAATCCTTGCACTTGATGTGGCGCCTTATCACGTCATTGAGACGTCTCAACGCTCTTCGCAGAATATACTGTGAAGTGTGGTGACGGTGTATTTTGTGGGCAAATCAGGTCACTGGCCGCTGCCAGCACACAGCCTTTCCCTGATGCCCAGTATGCACGTGCACACTAATTACACACACACCCTACACACACTAACTACACATAGACACACACTAACTACACAGACACACACTAACTACACACACAATAACTACCCAAGACACACGCTAACTACACACACACTCAAACTACACACGCACTCAACCTACACACACGCACACTCACCACACACTAACTATACACGCACTCACTACACACACACACTAACTACACACACATAACTACACATACACACACTCACGTCTAACAGCGTGCTCGAGTCCACACTGAAGGTCTGGCCTGACAGGAGGCTCTGTAGGTTGTCCAGGCTGGAGTCTATCCTGTCCAGGTGATCGTAGATATCTGATCTGCAACCGAGAAAGGAAATGAAGCTGATTTTTATCCTCTTCAAAAAAGACAGCAAAAACTTTACGGCTTTAAGAACCTTAAACCTGTGATCAAACCAAAAGCAATTTCACTGCAGGAAGAGAATAACAGATGAATTTTGATGACTTTTAAAAAAAAATGTATTACGCACTGCCTTTTGCCTGGTCAGGGCGCCCCACATCATTCATCAATCCATCAACACCCTGTAGTCTCTGGCTCTGATTTCCCAGCCTCTCTCTAAACTCACTCCACCACCTACCTTGGCACTCAATTCTACCTTGGCGTTCAGTGGAGTCTTGTAGCTCAGTGGTTAGAGCATTCGCCTCGCAAGCGAGAGGACCTGGGTTTGATTCCCAGGCGGTGGCGAAACCTTAGGTTAAGTTTCCTTACTCCAGGACTGGTGTGATGGGGAGTAGGGAGTTTAGTATGTGTGACAGGGAGCCAGGGGAACTTGGCAAGGATTGGTGTGATGGGGGTATGGAGTTTAGTATGTGTGACAGGGAGCCAGTGGAGCCTGGCGAGAGCTGTTGTGATGGGGACTTTGCTGTGATGTCAGTGATGAGTAGTACAAGGTGGAGAGAGATACAATGCAAAATGACATTTGTATAGCGCCTTTCAAGGTGCTGGACAATGGATTTGGACCCGATCAGGAGGATCAAGGACGGTGGAGGGCAGTGGCAGGAGGATGGCCAAAACCGTGGTCAAAGAGGAGGGTCTTGAGGCGTGTCTTGAAGGAGGCAAGGGGAAGGGGCAAGGCGAAGGGGCTGTGGGATGGAGGTCCAAAGGGTGGGGGCAGAGAGGCTGAAGGCTTGGGGGAGGGGGCGCGGGGGGACAGGGGATGTTGAGGAGGCCGGAGCCCACTGAGTGGAGGGAGCGGACAGATTGATATTGGGTTAGCAGGTCACAGAGGTAGGAAGGGACAAGGCCTCGGAGGGCTTTGAAGGTGAGGACGAGGACAATGACAAAGAGCGGGTCGTGGCGCAGATGTTCCGGACTGGCTTAGAGAGGTGGAGTGGGCATCCATGAATGGTGATGCTGCCAGCGCCTGAGGTGTGGAGGCGCTGAACGGGAGCCAATCTGGAGGGCCTCGGTCTTGTTGACGTTCAAACTGTAGAAAGTTAGCTCTCATCCAGAGATCTGATCCAGGGTAGTACAATGATAGAGAGGGACACACGCGTGCAACCCACATGGTTTGCATATTTCGCTCATAAAATACAGTCACTCCACCTATAATATGAAGCGTTTGAGACATCACAATGACGTAAAAAGCACTATATGCAAGGATTCTTATTGATTCTTATTATTATATCTACAGTAAGTGGGTATCAGGTTTTGTCCACACAGAACATGGTAATTGAGAATGTGAAAATAAACCCAGAACTGCACTCAGACCCACCAAGAAAGGAGAACAGGCTCAGGGGTGTGTGTACCTTGGAGATGTCCACGATACCGACACAAACAGCTGCCGGGATGGCCGACACGGCCACCACAACAACAACTTGCATTTACATAGCGCGCTTCAAGCAGGGCAGCGTCTCGGAGCGCTTAGCAGTGGCGGAGGGCGACGCCTAGCTGGAGTGGGGGGTGGGGGGCGAGTGGGAAGAGGGAGGAAGATCTTCAGGTGTGACCTAAAAGAGGGGAAGGAAGGGTTGAAGCGGAGAGATGGGTGGGGGGGGGAGGGGAAGAGAGTTCCAAAGCTTTGGGAGGTAATGGATGAAAGCACGGCCGCCGATGGTGGAGCGGAGGGGACGAGGGACGAGCAGGAGGTAGGTCGGAGCCAGCTGAGCGGAGGCAGAGGGTAGTGGAGCGGGGAGAAAGGTAGGGAGAGGATCTTGAAATTGATTCTGTTTTGTGATACAGAACTACAGTGGACAGATGGTAACCGTTGCGACACAATGCTATGTGATTGGGTGCTAGAGAAAGGCAAGTTTGTTTTTCTGAGGGTAAGAAAGCGAACAGAAGCCATGACGTGCCAGTGGTGATGTTTATGGCGTCGGCCTGGCTCGGGTAGTCGCCTCTTTCAAGGAACGTCTCACAACGTACCATTCCCCTCCCAGGGCTCCCAACGCCATCTCAGGTGCTGATCCAGCACTATTATTATTATTATTATTATTATGAAACGCTTCCAGACATCCTACTGATGTGAAAGGCGCTATATACATGTCAATTGCATTAATAATAATAATCCTTCCATTTGATACAGAGCCTTATCAGGTCTTCGAGACATCTCACGGCACTTCACAGAATATACTGTAAAGTGAATTGACTATTTTTAGGGCAAAACGCAGTAGCCAATTGCGCACAGCAGTGTCCCACAAACAGTCGTGGATTGCGAACGTTTTTTTTGAGAGATTACCACCACTGGAAAGCGATCTGCCAATCGACTAACAACCAGGTTCCGACTTACTGACTAAGGTTTTGCCCCACCCAGGAATCAAACCCGGGTCCTCTCGCTTGTCAGGTTAACTCGCTACCCACTATGCTTTGGGACTCCACTTTATTTAGGGGATTGTTGGCCAGGGGAAACCCTCTTCTCTTTTTGAATAGCCCCCACGGGAGCCTTGTAGTATATTCTGTGAAGCTCTTTGAGAAGTCTCAATGATGTGAAAGGCGCTATATCAAATGCAAGGATTATTATTATAATAGTCATCAGAAATGGCATCCCTGGCTGATATTCTCTGCCAGCCCCCTCTACCCTACCCCGTACTCATGCTAGATCCAGCGCCTCCCTCTCCCCATGGGCTTGGCACTAATACACCGGTTATAAACCACACGACAGAAGCAAAAGGCACGGGGTTTATAAACAGCAGTAAGGCACACAACAAATCTGCTTGTCCCACTGATAGTACGTCACTGTGTTGTACAGTCATTACGTTAGGCAAGAATGGAGTCCCGTGGCATAGTGGCTCGCTAGCGAGAGGACCAGAGTTTGAATACTGGGCGGGGCGAAACCTTAGGCAGGTTTCCTTACCCCACATACCTCTGTTTACCTAGCAGTGACCAGGAATCCAGTTGTTAATCGAACTGGTGGATTGCTTTCTGGGGTAATAATCCCTCCCCCCCCCCATATATGTTGTCACTAATTCCACGACTGTTTGTGGGACACTACCTTACGCAATTGGCTGCTGAATATAGTCAATCCACTTTACAGTATATTCTGTGAAGCGCTTTGTGACATCTCAAAGTCATGATAAGGCCCTATAACAAATGAAAGGCTTATTATTAAAAATTACTCTGAAGCTCTTTGTGACGATGACATATGAGGTGCTATTAAATCCCTGATGAGTTATCTCTGCCTTGGTTGTGTTTTTGGAGAGGGGAGGGAATAGACTCCTGAGAGAGGGAGAGACAGAGACAGAGAGAAAAAAAAGAGGGAGAGAGACACGTTGGGTACATCACAGAGACAGCAGTGTAAGAGTAATGCTAACCCTGGCAGTGCTCTGGTGTGAGCAGAGGAAGAGGAAAGACTGTGGAAAACACAATTGCCCTCCGACGTCATCTGGGCTTGAATCAAACTGAAAGATACAAAGAAAAGGTCACACTGCACTGTGACAATCGCAGCCCGATCACACTGTCCATCACACTCCCAGCCAGGCTTCACAGCACAGCAGAGCACAGCCTGGAGGCTGAGACAAAGACTTTTGTTTGAAAATAGGAAGGACATATTGGCCCTGATTCACCGGGATTATACCAGAACTTCGTTTTTGTTCATCCAGGTGTCTGACACATGTGAAAGCCCATCACCGTGCTTAAGAGTATCTAAACCAAGCTGAGATTTCTACGCATCTCACCTACACATGGAAATCCCAGAGATAGATTGTTGGAATGGAAATGCGCACTCCTAAAGGGTTGAATTATGAGGACCTGTTGCATAAATCTGACTTGTATTCCCTTGAGTTTTGAAGGTTGAGGTGTGATCTGATTGAGGTTTTTTTAAAATAATAAAGGGATTTGATGGGATAGAGACAGAGAAGCTATTTCCTCTGGTGGGTGGGAAATCCACAACAAGGGGCCATTTAGGAATGAAATCAGGAAGCACTCTTTGACCCAAAGGCCAGTGGAAATCTGGAACTCTCTCCCCCAAAAGGCTGTGGATGCTGGATCCATTCACATTGTCAAGACTGAGGTGGATAGATGTTTGTAAGGTCAGGGTATCAAGGTATACGGGGGCAAAGGACACATAATTGGTACAGATCAGTCATGATCTAATAGAATGGCGGAATAGGCTTGAGGGGCTCAATGTAAGGGATGAAGGTGTGAGCGCCTGGTGTGACGAGACAGAGATTATATATTTATCAGATCGCTGTTTAAGACATGGAGGGCAGTGCTGACCACAGGCAAATGATGGTGTTGTGAGCGGGGGGGTGGTTGAGTGCGTGCCTGTGGGGGTGAATCCCGCGACTATTTGAAAAGAAAAGGGAGTTTCTCCCTCCCGGAGGTCTTGACTGACCACCGTAGAATCTTACAGCACAGAAGGAGGCCATTCAATCCTTCCTGCCGGTGCCGGCTCTTTGAAAAAACTAGTCCCACTCCCCCGTAAGTCCTGCATATTTTTCCTTTTTAAACACCTGTCAAATTCCCTTTTGATAGCTATTGCCGAACCTGCTTCCACACCCCTTTTCAGGCAGTGCATTCCAGATGGTAACAACTCTCTGGGTAAAAAAAATTCTCGTCTCCCCACTGGCTCTTTTGCTGATTCTCAAGGTTATCATCACTTGTCCAGCCAGGCCGGGCCGGGCTGTGCTGTCATCAGCAGTGAGTGCCATGGAATACTGTGGACCCGCCTGGCTCAGGAACCGGACGAGAGACCATCACAGAGGATGGGCTCGATTCTGATCATCTGTTGCCAAACAGGTCACCTTGGAGACTCCGCTTAACACCGCAAGGAGGACAGAGAAGTGAAGAGATGGTATGAAAGCAAAAGATGGGAGGGCGAGAGTAAGAGGGGAGTGTGTGAGAGAGGAAAAGAGAGAAATTCCAGGATACATCTAGATGTACCTATAGATGTGTTACATCTAGATGGAGTATAGACATTTTTCTCAGCACTGGCTGGAGGAACGGCTGGGCTCTAAGGCAGAAAACATACGTACTGGTCAATGCTCCCTGGTACGTACTTGTCCAGACAGGCCACGCTGAGACACCGCTCCTCAGGCTGGGGCAAGGCGGAGCTCGGCTCGTTGGACTCCAGGATGGAGTCGATGAAGGTGGAGGGAGAGAGGGGCGAGTCAGCGAGGGGCACCGGGGGGCTTGCCTCCTCCACCCGCGGGCTGCTGGGGGGGCTCGGGCTCTCCTCCTTAATCTGTACCCTAGGACTCGACCTGCTGCGGGGAGAGAGAGAGTTAAAGTCAGTTAAACACAGGCGTCAGCTCTGTGTCCCTATCACACCCCACCCTCACCCGGCTTCACTGGCTCCCCATCCCCCAGAGGATCGAGTTCAAAATCCTCATAATTACTCTTCCCTACCTCTGTGACCTGCTAATTCCATACTGCTCTCTCTGGCCTGCTCCACGTCCCCCCCACGCCCATCCTGCCCCACCATTGGCGGTTGGGCCTTCAGCCCTTCTGCCCCCAACCTTTGGAACTCCATAACACAGTCCCTTCGCCTCCCCCCTCCCTTGCTTACTTCAAGGTCCGCCTCAAGATCCCCCTCTTCGACTGCGCCTTCGGTCACCCTCCTACACCCCACCCCTGATCCCAACCCCCAGCTCGAGTCCACAGTCCAGTGCCTTGGGATATCTCTAAACATGAAAGGCGCTGTACAAATGTAGTTTGCTGCTGTTGTTGTATGCGCCCCCCTTCCGCACCCCACCCTCCCACCCCACTCCCCGCAGAGTGCAGTCACCTCTCTTCCTTGATGCTGGACGGTGACACAGACGGGCTGCTCTGACGCAGGTCTGTAATGTCTGAGATGATGGGACCCGAGGATATGGAGCTGGCTGGGGAATAGCAGTTGTTGCCTGGGAAATTTGCAGCCGTCGCCTGGGGAGAGACGGAGCGGAGGGAGAGTGAGAGGGAGAGAGAGAGAAAAAATAAATAAGAAACTGGTCACTTCAATCCACGACTGCTTGTGGGCCACCGCTGTGCGCGACAGGCCGCCGGGTTACGTCCACAAGATACAGTCACTCCGCTTTACTGTATATCCTGCGAAGCGCTGTGAGACGTCTCGACGACACGATAAGGCGCCTTATCAGACGCAAGGATTATTATCACACGGCGCCTTATCAGGTCGTCGAGACGTCTCGAAGCACTTCGCAGCCTATACAGTAAATATATATTTGTCTTGCATATCTTGCGGGCAACACACGGCAGCCAACCGGCTCACGGCAGCGTCCCACAAGCGGTCGAGTGACCAAATTATTATCCGAAACTCAGTGAGCAAGCACACAAAATCGCATACACTCACAGACCCCTCCCCACCCCCGGAATACCCACCGTCAGTGCCGATGATCCCTGCAGAGGTTCCAATGAGTACTGACGATTGTACTTGGGTATGGAATGTGCTGAGCTGCTGTCATTCAACATGAGCGGGCTGCCAGAGGCAAACACAGATAGTCATCATCATAATAATAATAATAATAATCCTTCCAGTTGATACAGCGCCTGATCGCTTCGTTGAGACGTCTCAAAGCGCTTCACAGAATATGTTGTGAAGTGGATTGACTGTGGAACGTGGCAGGCAATTGAGTGAACATTTTTTTTTGGGGTGGGAGGAGGGTGGGGGATTGTTACCCCCGGAAAGCGAACTGCTAATCAACTAACAACCGGGTTCCTACTTACTGCTGCTTGGTAAACAGAGGCGCGCGGAGTAAGGAAACTATCTGACACAGCACCGATACCACCAAAATGTCTCAAAGCGCTTGACTGGAACTTGCTGTGAAGTGTAGTGATTTACACAAATACAACGTTCACAACCCTGGCCTTGGGGGGAGGTGGGGGTCGGGGGGGGCGCACGGGATCAGGATCTTCTCGTCATCGCTCAGTGGGAGCCTCAGGGAGTGTGCGAGCAGTAGGCGGGCAGTCACATCGCTAGACACACACTTACATTTTCCTCTTCACCCCGATGATACGGTTTGTCTGCACGAGGGAAATCAGGAACTGGATCAGCTGAAACAAAACACACCTCGACTAAGTACAGTCAGCGCTGGGACAGAACTACCCAGAGTCCGGCCCTCGCCCTCTCACACCCAAATCACCAACACGCCCCGAGCATCTCCCCAACAAAATCAACCCACCTCCCACCAGCCCGAACAGCAACGCAAAGCAGCAAAACGTCACAGCACAGAGACAGATAGTCTGGCCAATTGAACCTGCGCCACAGGAACACAGGAAGAGGCCATTCAGCCCCTCGAGCCTGTTCCACCATTCTGCACGATCATGGCTGATCTGTAACTCAACTCCAATTACCCGCCCTTGCTCCGTATCCCTCGATACCCTGACCTGACAAATATCTATCCACATCAGACTTGAACCATCTGGTCTAAGCCCACTCTCCCTCTCATCCGCCCTCCACGCAGTCTGCACTACTCCTTAGACTGATTCGAAGCCAGTTCCCGCTGTAATAAGGTTCATTATTTTTTCGTGTCACACTGCATTTGTTCTGTGTATCCCCCCCCCCCACCCACCCCACACCACCACAAGTCCCTGCCATCAAATACAATACATTAATTAGTGCCTTTCACATCAGGGACGTCTCAAAGTGCTTCACATAGCTGAGCGGGGGCCTGAGAGCAGGAGGGTGTGGCCACAGGAGCAGAAGCGATAGGTCTTAAGGCTTTGAAGGTGGGGAAGAGGGCACAAGGCAGACTGCGTGAGAATAAGTGTAGGGTAGCAAAGGAAGTATAGACACCAGAAAATCCTTGCATTCGATATCGCGCCTTTCACAGGGGAGGTTGGTTGTCTGATGGTGGGCCGGGAGGAGAAGCAGCCTAGCGCTTGCTGGGCGGAGGGACGACACTCCCTCACCCCGCCCGCCAGGAACCCGATAAGCAACCTCACCCCTACAAACAGGAGGCCAGTGTATACATGGAATACATTGTGTGCAGAGAGGCTGGTTAAACAGGGGCTTTTTCCCCTGTGTTTCGTGGTGACAGGATGCAAGAGGGGAAATCCGGGAACACCATTTGGTTGGGGAATGGGCGACAACGACGACTTGCATTTACACAGCAGGGTAAGCGTCTCACGAGCGCTTGAGTGACAGAGCGCGACGTCGAGCGGTGACCGTAGACCGTGGGCACGATCGAAGAGGAGGGTCTTCAGGCCCGACCTGAAGATGGGGAAGGAGGGGGCAATGCGGAGGGATTGAGGAAGAATGTTCCAGAGTTTCTGGGCGTAAGTGGCCGAAAAGAACGGGCAGTCCCAGTCTCAGGATTATTAGCAGAAGCTTAGGAGGAATCTTGTCACGCTCAGAGAAAAGGACTGGAGTGCGTACGTACTTCATTCCTACAAGTGGTTACTGTGGCCGGACAGACAGAATCATTCAGCAGGGAAACTGGATAAATACCAAGAGCAGTAGTCATTGAGATGTCAGGAAAGAGCTGGAAATGGGATTAATATAGGGGTGATTTAGCTGTGGCACACACACACGCACACACACACGATGGGCTTAAGGGCTTCTTCCTGTGCCACCCCCACCTTGCTGACCCCCCCCCTCCCCCTCCCCACTGCCCCGTTTCGATGGAAGTGACCCACCACCCTCGCTGGGAGGACAAAATTCTCAACTTTTTTTTTGGGGGGGGGGGGGGGGGGGGGGGTCAGCCGAGTGTCTGACGCGTGTGGAAACCCATTACTGCGGACCCGCCTGGCTCAGGAACCGGAATGGAGACCGCCAGAGGGCTGGCTCGATCCCGACGTTCCCGTTGCCAAACACGTCACCTTGGAGCCGGTTCAGCTCCAAGGAGACCCCGCTAATCCCCCACCGACACACCGCCCCCCCCCCCCTCGCCCCCCACCCCGCCCGCCCCCCCACCGAGGATAGTAAAAATGCACAAATACACACAGACTTCCACCGCACCCACTCACTCGGGACGTACCTACTCCACTCCCCCTTCCTGTCTAGCACTATTCCTCCCCACTCCCAATACCCTCCCCCCAAAAAAGAGATAGACTAAGAGGCCGAAACTGCTCTACAAACCCTTAGCTCAGCTGAGGTCACAGGGCAGCCACCTTGGGAATGGAAGACTCCAGCCAGGAAGTGCCAATAAACAGCACAGTCTAAAAATTAGAAATTGCAAACATTAAGTGAATAAAGTGCCAACTAGCAGACTGCCGGGGGGGTGGTGGGGGGTGCAGAGGACACCCCCTCACAGCACCCAATTCAGCCCTTTTATACAAATCATTCCCAACAAATCTCGGGGTGTGGGGGTGTGGGGGGGGGAAGCTGGGTTTTTCCTCTCTCCTCATGATTTCTCTCCCCCCACCCCGATTCAAAACTCACGTCTCAGCCGTGGTCACAATTTTTGCTCTTAATATTTAAGGCGACGCAGAAGTGTGAGAGATCCTCCAATCCAGGGCTAAATTTGCAGAATTATTATTTATTATCGTTTGCAGAACTGCAGAAAATCCGCTTTCACATTAACCCTGGATAAAAGAACCTTTTATAATTCTGCACAACCCTAAATAATAACCCTTGCATTTGATACAGCTCCTTTGCACGACATTGCGGTGTCTCAAAGCACTTCACAGGCTACACCAACGTGGTCCAACAAGAGCTGCAGACCCCCCCCCCCCCCCACCCACCCCGGGGAATAAGCAGTGGGGGCCTGAGCCGGCTTGTGATCAGCAAAGCCAATGCCACTTCCTGCAGCAGCTACTAACAGAACCCAAACACAGAGCTTCTGTTAAACACAGACATCTATTAGAGGGGGAGCAGGGGAGGTGATGGGGGGGAAACACAGGGGGGGGAAAAAAAAAAGTATTTTCATCAAAATGACTTAAAAACCTTACCAGACCATGTTGAATTTGTAAAGTTTAGTGTCCCAATCACTCGGTGATCTCATGCCCCATGAATTCAGCTGAGTGACCTCTCCACCATCTTACGCCAATGCAGCATGTATCCTCACCTCACCCCCCCACCCCCACCAGCAAACTCTCTCCCCCCGCACAAACCGGGTCCTCTCGCTTGCAAGGCGAGCACTCTAACCACTAGGCTACAGGACTCCACAGACAAGAAAAGAGGATGAAAATAAGCTAGCCAGACTTGAAAGAGGAAAAAAAAAAGGAATTGAATAGGAAAAAGTATTGGAGGAAATTGATTAAATAAAAAGAAACAGAGAGGGAGAGAAAGAATTAAGAAAGAAGAAAAGAAGAAGGAAGGAAAAAAACACAAAGATGGCTGGCTTTCTTTCCATCGCCCGGGTCATCGGGAATCAGCTTCGACACCGGGGAAAGTATCACCTTATACCGGTCACTCTATCACTGCACAAACTTTAATTATCATTCAGGGTGTGAGACCCACATGAACCACCAGACCTCACCACTAACACTCACATAGCAGGTCTGTGGGGGCTTACACACCCCCCCTCCCCCCCCATCCCACATACAATCACCAACTCCCCAACACACAACCACAGCCCTCTCCCCCCCACAATCACACAAGCCTGATATCCACACTAACTGAGGCCATTGTGGATATGAAACTGTAAAACAGTGCGGATATAATAATAATAATAATCCTTGCATTTGATATAGTCCCAAAGAGACGTCTCAAAGCGCTTCACAGGATATGCTGTAAAGTCTAGTGACGGTGTGTGTATTTTGTGGGCGAAATATCGGGTTGTGCAGGGTGTTCACAAAGTCCTGTTACCCTACCTGTGTTTTTTTTCCTACAATGAATTTATTTTCTGTTGCAGATGAGGCGAGTGTAACAATGTCTGACACCAGTAACTTCCTCCTCACTGACTCCATCCATGTTACTGTGGAAATGATGGTGCTCGCACACACACCCCGATCCTCTGGACGTCTAAATACAGTTAAATCACTTGTACTGAATACAATTAAGTACTTCTAAATACAAGAATCGTCATTCTTCCTTCCACACGTTACAGTTGTTGCAGAAAACAAACGTGGGGGATAACAGGACTTTGTGAACACCCTGTACAATGTGAACCAATAGCTGCTTCCACAGAAATATCACTGGTCGCACATTGTGCAGTTGTCCTGCCTCGCTCAGCTCTCCCCCGCAATGTTTCTCTATCTCAGTTTGTATCTCTCTCTCTCTCTCTCTCTGACGCTGGGCTGGACCTAGTTCAGATCTCTCTCCCTCTGCCTCCCGCTGTTTCAGAAACATTCCCCGGTTAGGTGCGGCACCTCGGCCCGGACCGGAGCTGCGAATGTGTGGTTACGTGGCGTGCGGATACTCAGTGCTCTGTTGGATGCGCGAGGAGATAACCGGGAAAGGCTTGATGGGCCGAATGGCCTCTGGTCTGCTGTCATTTCTGGGATTGTGATCGGCGGGGAGGTGAGGAGGAGCCAGCGAGTGCCGTACCTTACTGACCACTTTCTGCTGCTGCGTGTGCTTCTGCCTCAGGCTGGCCACCTCGCGCCACAGCGCCTCGTTTTCGCTGTCAAACACAGACCAGAAGACGTCAGCTGCAACAATGCTTCCACTTCATACGCACATTTACGCACACCGTGCAGCGCGGACGCAGGACATTTGGCCCAGCCGGTCCGCGCCGGTGTTAATACTCCACCCGAGTCTCCCAATTCTCCACTCACTCCTTTATTCTCCCCAACACTCTTCTATTCCTGTAGCGTAGTGGTTAGCGCACTTGCCTTGCGAGCAATTCCCAGGCGGGGCAAAACCTTGGGCAAATTTCCTTACTCCACACAACGATTTTTAGTCGATTGGCGGATCACTGGACGGGGATGGGGGGGGCGTAACAATCCCTCCAAAAAAAAAAATTAATACTTTGGGTCACTCAATCCGAACTGTTTGTGGGACTCTGCTGTGCGCAATTGGCTGCCACGTTTCACCCGCAATGCAGTCAATTCACTTTGCAGTATATTCTGTGACGTGCTTTGAGACATCTTACCAATGCGATAAGGTGGTATATCAAAAGCATGGATTATTTTTATTATTATTCCCCTCTTGCTCATGTGAAGGTCCAGCTTCCTCTTAAATGCGTCTACACCATCTGATTCAAACACCACTTCAGGCTGCGAGTTCCACAATCTCACTACCCTCTGCGTTAAGTAGTTCTTCCTAAATTCGCCAATCAACTAATAATCGGCTTCCTGCTTACTGCGAGGTAAACACAGAGGCGTGTGGAGTGAGGAAACTTGCCTAAGGTTTTGCCCCGCCTGGAAATCAAACCCAGGTCCTCTCACTTGCAAGGCGAGTGCTCTAACCACTACACTACAGGACTCCACATGTTAAACCATCGGCCTGGTCACGAGGACATTAATATCCCACGACACTACTGTAAAAGAGATTTCCCTTCAACGCCCTCCTCACACACACGCACACACACCAACAACAATTTGTATTTATATAACAGCCGTCACTCAGAGCGCTTGACAGTGATGGGAGCATGACTCCAAGACGGGGGGAGTGTAAGACACATACCAATGTTCCCTTAAATATATACACTCATCTCCCAAGGGACTTACTGTTTCATAGTCATAAGCTTAGAGTCCAGATTCTCCTGCTTGCCTTTCATGAGTTGCACATCGGTTAGAATTTTACCCACATCATCCGTCCGCACCTTTATCTCTTCCGGCTTCACAGCTGACACCTGCACGAGAAACACAGAGGAACCTGTGACACACACAAATACACAAACACACAGACAGAAATTTGCACTTATCATGTTGGGAGAGCGTCTCAACGACACACACACACACACACACACACAAGCACGGCGCGAGAGCGAGAATTGGTATGAAAGGCTGGTTGACTTACACTTGTTACCTTTCTCTTGATGTTCTCCAGCAGCTGGTCCTGGCCACGGAGGAAGTAGGGATGCTGGAACTCGGTGTCGTCCTTCTCTGGCTTGACCAGCCCTCCCTGCTCAATGTTCACCACCTTACGGAATCCATCTGCAGACCGGAAAAAACAACCACAAATGACATTTACACAGCACCTATCATGTCGGGAGGATGTCCCAAGGTGCTGGACAGTGAAAGGTTTACGTTCGAGCTGGGGGTTGGGATAAGGAGGGGTGGAAGGCAATGGATGGGGGTGGAAATGTGGCTGAAGGTACACTCAAAGGGGAAGGTTTTGAGACAGGTCTTGAAGGAAGCAAGGGAGGGGGCGACACGCAGGGATTCGGGGATCCCTGGCCCTCAAGGCCGGTCTCAAGACCTTTCTCTTTGACGGTGCCTTCAGCTCCCCTCTCGACTCTCTACCCCCTCCTCGCTCCCTCCCTTTCCTCCCCTCATCCTGACCATTTGCCCCCTGCTCGGGTCCCGACCCAACTGTCCAGCGCCTTGGGACGTCCTCCCGACGTGAAAGGCGCTCTATAAATGAAATCTTGTTGTTGTTGGAGTTCTAGAGGGCGGGGGGCAGAAAAGTTGAAGGCCCGAATGTCAGAGGTAGGGAGGAGCACAATCGTGGAGGGGTATAAAAATGAGGACGAGGACATAAACATAAACAAGATCTGGCAGCACACCCAATGGCTCACCCAGAACAGAGCTAAAACATCCACTCCAGAATTCCCACATACACACATCCATACTCTCCCCAGATCAAGGTTTCCCCCCCCCCCCCCCCCCCCACCCGCTCTAAAGCACCTGTGGATTGAGTGTGATGCAAGGGGCAGATTAAATACAATAATAATAATCCTTGCATTTGATATAGCGTCTTATCACCTTGTTGAGACGTCTCAAAGCGTTTCACAGAATATACTGTAAAGTCGATTGACTTGTTTACTTTGTGGGCGAAACGGGGCATCCAACTGCTCACAGCAGTGCAGACCAGAGCACGCTGAGCGAAGGGGAGCAGCCGTGCCAGGAAATTTTGAAGAGGATGGGTGGGGCAAGACCGCGGAGGCTATTTAAAGGTAGACAGGAATGGGCAGGAGTGTAATCGGGTGTGATGCAACGATGCAGGTGCAGACATGACTGTGGACTGAGACTGCAATGTCAGCTGAAGAGTAGAGAAGGCAGGCTGATAGAATGATAATGGCTTCCTAGCACATACTGAGCTAAGACTACAGGGTGTCCGCAAAGTCCTGTACCCCCCTGCTACAAAACAATGATATGAGACTACTGAGGAGTTGAAACAAGCCGCCAGGGATGCTTTACTGTACTTCTAAATACAGTTATCAGCATTTTTCCACATGTTTCAGTTGCTGGTCGGTGCACTGTAAGGGGGGGGGGGAGGGGGTGGTGGAGAGGGAGGTAACAGGACTTTGTGGACACCGAAGTACTCTAATCAGAATTGAAAATAAAATCACCTCAGGACACTCATCAGGTTTCCAGGTTAATGAGCAAGATCCTGGAACACAACACCCACTTGTTGGGTATGAAATAATAATAATAATAATAATCTTTACATTTGAATATAGTGCATTATCACGTCTTCTAGACGTCTCAAAGAATATACTGTGTATTTTGTGGGCGAAACGCAGCAGCCAATTGCGCACAGCAGCGTCCCACAAACAGCCGTGGAGTAAGTGACCAAATGATTATTGGGAGGGAAGCAAAACTGGAACCCCCACAGCGCCTGGTACCTCACTCACTTCAGAGAGCACCAGCTGTACATCCCCCTCTGCTGTCACTTACACATGTTGAGTTGCCGCACAAAGCTGGCCATATTATTGTGCTTGAAGTATTTTGGAAGCACTTCTTTTGCAAAACGTCCTTGGTCAAAGACATGGAAACTGTTGCCGCTCTGTGGAGGATAAGAGGAGAGATAGTGAGTGAGGGAGAAGGAGAGAGATCAAAGTCACCTTGACGTTGACCTAACAACAGCAGCTTGTATTTATATAGCGCCCTTGATGTGATGTAGTGTCTCGGAGCACTCCACAGCGTCAGAGTTTGATGCCGAGCCAGAAAGAGGGGGGGGGAGGTGACCATAGGCACGGCCGACGAGGAAGGCCACCAGATACGATCTTAAGACGGGGCAAAGAGAGGGCAAGGCAGGGAGATTACGGAAGAGTTCTGGGGTGTAGTGGCTGAATAGCACAGCTGCAAATGGTGGAGCGGAAGGAACGAGGGACGTGCAGGATACGGGAGCTGGCTGGAAATGCTCAGGACACCCACACAGATATGCAATGAGCAGGACCTAGAGTACTGTGTTGTAACAAACTTGTGTTGTTGTGCAATTCGTGATAGCAGGACTGCCTGTATGTTTTAGCAGAGTCTGCAACCCAAGCTGAGATTTCCATATATCCCACCTACACATGGAAATTCCAGAGATACAGATTGTTGGAATGGAATGCACTCTCTCTCCCTGGAAGGACCTAATTCCGGAAAGTATTTGGCGCAGGTTGGCAAGAGCCAAGGCTTGGGGATCCCAGAGTCTGCGGTGGGGTAACTGCTGGAGTCTAACCAGCTAAAACCGCATAGGTTGTTTGGCAAGCTTTCCTGCTGCTTGTAAAGCTAGGACCACCCTATATCCGTTAGGGCTTCGGTTTGCAGGGTTAACAGGAGCTGAGTGGAAGGATTCCCTGCCCCAAGTAACTTAGCAGAGCCAGACAGGGTGAATATCAGTTAAAGCTGGCTTTTGAGGATCATCCCGTCTACTGCTGAATGGGAATGTGGAAGTGCGATTAACCTCTCAGAAATCTTATGTCACGGAAACAGTAGGTTGACATTTACACAGCACCTTTCGCTTCAAAAAATATCTCAATTTTTTTTTAGAACGAGATGCAACGAAGAGAATGTTTAGATAGGGAAACATGGCAGCGAATGTGGACCTGCGATGTACGTCCACACAAACAAAATACTGCTGCCGGATGATATGAATTTTGGCATGAATTTAGATGAGGCAGGACATAATCCTTACACGTTTGTTATACAGTAGTCCCTTATCACATGGGGGGGGGGGGGGGCAGTGTAACCTGGCTCCAAGGTGACGTGCTTGGCAATGGGATGCTGGAATCAAGTCAACCCTCTCTGGCAGTCTCCGTTGCCCAGTTCCTGAGCAGGGTCTGAGTTGCCAACCCGGCTTACAATTCCCGAGCTGCTAACTATTCTATAGCCAGTCTGGCTCATTGGCAGGTCTTGAAGGGACAGACCAATCACCGGGAACAAGGATTCCGCCCGCTCAGCTTCCGTTAACCCTGCAAGTTTGTAAGGTGTTCCTAACTCATCAAGCAGTGGGAAGCTTGCCAGAGACAGTGCAGCGCTCTGGGGAGTCCTCCTGACGTGAAAGGTGCTTCACAAATGTAATGTTGTTGTTGTTCTCAACGTAAAGCTATGCAATTTTCGCTGGTGAAACTGTGGCGGCCACCCTAACAGTCCCCAAGACTTGACTCTTACTCCAGAATTCGGTAAGCAGGGTGTGTCAGGGAGAGGGTGCGCTTTCTATTCCAGACACAGGGAAAGTTCTGTGTGGGACTCTCAATCTGGTTTGGATGGTCTGAAGCACGGTGATGGGTTTCCGCGCGTGTTTGACAAAAAGATTGGATATCGCAGCTTATCGCGTCGTCAAGACATCTCAAAGCGCTTCACAGTGGAAAGTAAGTTAACTGTGTATTTCTGTGGGTGAAAAAATGTCCCATAGATAGCGGTGAAGGGAACGACCAACTTTATCGGAGGGATTGTTGGCCAAGGTCACCGGTAGAGAGAAACTCCCTTCTCTTTTCCTGACAGTGCAGGTTCCAGAATTGCGCCGAGCATCAGTGCAGACTGTGAACTGGGGGTGAAATCCACGTCCTCCTGAACCCCCAAGCAGAGAGCGTGAGTGTGAGCGACTGAGCCAGGCTGGTTTGGGGCCTTAAAAGAGATCACAGGCTGTGCAGAGATTACCAGACACCTTTAAAGGAAGGCTTAATATTGTCAGTTCAGTGTGCCGGGGCTGTGTTTCTGCCCACTTGTACCAGTTTACAAACAAACGCTCCCGTACAATTCACGGTGGCTCAATGCACCCGCAAACGCTCCCAGCGGCCGGCAATAAGCACCTGGCATAAGCCATCCCCGGACTGAGCCCGCCACCTCACTGCTGAGAAACGCAGCCGGATTTGCATCTCTCAATTGCCTTGAAAGCTCCCGAGGGAACAGTTTCTCACTTCACTCCTCCTCGCACTTCACGCCCATCTGCTGGGGCCACCGGTTGCTGGTGCTTTTCCACCCCCTCCACATCCATCCCACAATTGGCACGCCCTCACCCCACCCCTCCACAAAGATCGTTCTACAAAACGCCATCTTCCTTTCACTCTCTCTGCCGCTGCTTTCACAACCTTCTTAAAAAAAAACAACTCTCTTCCGACTGTGCTTTTGGCCAACCAAGTGATCGTCGTTATTTTCCATCCCCGAGTCCCGCCCGATTCACTGCCTCTTCCATCTCTTTCAAGGTGCGTCTCAAGACCTTCTACGTTGGCGGTGCTTTCGGCTATCTTTTCCCCTCCCATCCCACTTGACTCGCACCCCCAACTCGGGGGCCAAGCCAGGACTGTCAAGCCTCTCGGAACGTCTTCCTGCATGTTTGTCCTGCCTGTACAAATGTAAATTTGTGTTGTATCTCACGTGTACGAGGCTGGAGTGTCTGAACAGGGGTGGGGGACTGGCACACAATATAATTATAACACTTGGATTTGATGTAGCGCCTTATCACATCATTGAGACGTCTCAAAGCGCTGCACGGAATAGACTGTAAAGCGAACCGACTGTACGTTTTGTGGGCGAAAGACGGCAGCTAATTGCGCACGGTAGTATCCCACAAAGAGTCATGGATTGCGTAGCCAAATCATTATTGTTCAAGAGTACAGGAGCTGAAACTAAATATTATTGCAGCAGAAACTGTCCTCACTGCAGACAGAACAGAATAACAGGTCCAGTTCACATTCATTCCTGTTCTCCACGTTAAACGCTCACACCCAAAACAATAACAGAATCCTTGCTTCCCTACACCCATCCGAGAGAACACTTTCTCTCTCACCGCTGCAACTTGTTCCAGTTGCGTCTAACATAAGCTACCTTCCTGAAACTCTGCACGCCTGTGACCCTGGCACGGACAGCAAGCAACGAGTTACACCACCAGTTTGTCTAACTTCGCCTTTAGCTCCTTTTGATTATCGAGGAGGTTGGGAAGACACCCGCGACGCAGCGAAAGCTGAGTTTCTGACTCAAACGGCAAGCTCAGGCTTTAGGAAATTTCCACTGTGCGAAAGGAGGGGCACACTGCTCGCAGCTCTATTAATAAAAGCCTGGCTCGATCGCTCGCTCGCTCAGTCACTTACAGCTCTGGGTCAAAAGGTGCTGGGTTTAAGCCTTAACGGCAAAAATTTGAGCTGAAAATCCAGGCTGTCAATCAATGCAGTACTTGGGTGGGTGGGGGGGGGGGGGGGGGAGTCTTTGGCCAAGGTAATGAGACATTACACCAAGATCTTGTCGGCCTGTATGTGAAATAGATGTTAAAAGATCTTGCAATACTAAAGGACAAGAGAAGGGAGTTTCTCCCAGTGTCTTGGCCAACAATCCTCCAGTAAGTCATTCATTTCATGGCTATTTGTAGGACTCTTCTGTGTGCAAATTAGCTGCCATGTCTGTCTACAAAATACCGTTGCTGCACTTGATAGTAATTCAATTTGGTCACTCAGTCCATGGCTATTTCTGGGACGCTGCTGTGTGCAATTGGCTGCCTCGTTTCACCCACAAAATATACAGTCAACTCACTTTACAATGTATTCTGCAAAGCGCTTTGAGACACCTCGGAGATGTGATGAGGGGCTATATCAAATGCAAGGATTATTATATTATTATAATTCCCTTTGAAGTGCTTTGAGAAACGCCTCGACTTTAAATCCAATGTAAGGATCATTAATCCGACGCTCCTTTAGCAGCAGAATAAAGCCAGCCGGCCTGCAGCACTATTATAACACTGCCCAGCTGTCGGTGACAGACACATAGCGAGAGGGCTTCCTTTATTTATAATGAGCTGCACCACTTGGAGCTCAGGGTACAAACAGCAGAAATCCCAGTCAAGGAAAACCAATGCACGTGCTGACACCGGGGGGGTGTGGGAGGGAGGTCTCATGCACTTTTGAGATGTTTTGACGTGATGGAAGTACAATATCAAATGAAAGGATTATCAACGGCTAACCTTGCTTGAGGTCATGCTTTAGTAATAATAATCCTTGCATTGATATAGTGCCTTATCACGTTTTCGAGACCTCTCAAAGCGCTTCACAGAATATACTGTGAAGTGATTTGACTGTGCATTTTGTGGGCGAAACGCGGCAGTCGATTGTGCTCAGCAGCGTCCCCGCAAACAGTGGTGGATTGTGTGACCAGTTTAAATTTTTTTTAAAAAGGGATTATTACCCCCGGAAAAGCGATCCACCGATCGACTAACAACCAGCTTCCTACTTACTGCTAGGTAAACAGAGGCGTGTGGAGTAAGGAAACTCGTCTAATGTTTTGTCCTGTGCGGGAATCAAACCCAGGTCCTCTCGCTTGCGAGGTGACTGCTCTAACCAGTGAGCTACAGGACTCCACAGGACTTTCAGTACCTCTACCCCTTCCGCTGTCATCTCCATGGACTGCACAAAACACTTCCATCAAATAGGACATCGTTTTAAAGCTCAGTATGAACGCCTACACTTCCAGGGGTGGGGTGGAGGCCTGATGGATGAAACTGTCTGCTGGTTCAAGTGGATGTTAAAAGATCCGCTGACACAATTGAAAAAAAAAAGCCCTGGCCAACAATCCTCCAGATAAATTGGTCATTCACTTTGTCTGGAGGCTGTGTGTGGAACCTTGGCTTTTGCAATTGGCTGCAGTGTGCAAACAGTCTCTACACTATTCAGCAGTTACTGTGAAGATCTTCCGACCCACAAGCTGTGAAAGTTCTCTTCGCTCAGGGTCAACCAGTGATGAGATCCTAGTGTGACTCTGACCAGTATTCTGTCCGCAGTGCCCCGAGATGCTGCCCTGCGTGAAGGGCGTTTTATAAAGTTGTTGTTAATTCCTGCAAGGAAGCCAAGTGGCCCTGAGCACCACTACGGAAAGCCTCCTTCAACTACACCAAAAACACTTATCGTAAACAGCTCGGGTCTGAAATGCTGTACTCTGTCCAGCGCCTTGCGACGTCCTCGTGACGTGAAAGGTGCTATACAAATGTAATCTTGTTGTTGTTGTAATGCAGCTCAGCTGCTACTCGTGGTGTTGTCAGACTATCAGTGTCAGACTGGTTCAACTGGTAGCACTCTCACTATCACCCACCTACATCAGGACATAGTCTAGGCGGAGACTCCAGTGCAATGCCTGGGGTGTGCTGCGTTGTTGGAGGCACCATCCTTTGGATTATATGTTAAACTGAGGTCCTGTCTGCCTGTTCAGGCGGACGTTAAAGATCCTGGGCAATATGCAAAAAAGAGAAGGGTGTCCCGGCCGCTAATGTCCCAGATAAAATTGGTCATTCAGTGCGTTGGCTGTTTCTAGGACACTGCTGTGCACAAAGTGAATTCCAGGTTAGTCTTAAAAATACAGTCATAACACTTTACAGTAGTATCTTGTGAAGGGCTTTGAGATATTCTCCTGAGGTAGCAGCACAGTATTAACTGCAAGGATTGTTATTCTTGACCCCAGCTCAAATAGACTGCAGCCAACAATTTGTACATAACTCAGTCATGAAGTGAACAATCAGTCTCTGGAGGATTGTTGTCCCGGACACTGGCTGAAATTCCCTTCTCTTTTCCAATCACATCACCAGGATCTTTAACGTCCACCTGAACAGGCAAAGCAGCGCTCCCCCCGCAACTAAACTGGAGTGTCAGCCTAGACTGTGAGCTCAAAAATCACAATGTGGTGCTTGAACCCTTACCCCCACCGACCGTAGTAGTAGATATGACACGTGCCAAGAGTCTAAGGGAATAATCCAGACGGGGTACTCTCGCTGACATTCACGCACTGCTGAAACGTCACTTGTGGTTTGGCAGCATCAAACCCCATCAGATGAAACACGGGCAGCACTATCCGTCCTTCGGGACTCTCTCAAACAAAAATAAACTTTGTCCAGAACTAAACACATATGTTAATACCGTGATTTAATTGAGAGATCCTGCATCTCGCCTCCACCACACCTCAGCATTTGCTTCTATCCGGCCTTGTGGAGTTGGCCAGCAACATATAGCTCAAACGTTCCTGAAGTAAACTCCAGTTACACATGCCGGGCAGTACAGGGGCAGTATACTAACTTGTGTCTATCCCTCCTTGTACTTGAGGCAGTGTCTGTAACATTGGACTGGTCTCAACGTGTTTCACTTGGAAATACTGTCAGGTTTAATCACTCTATTTGTAGGCAAATATGACAGTCAATTTGAATGACTAATTTTATTTGGCCAGGACCGTTGGCCAGGACGCCAGGAGAAACTCTCCTCTCTTTTCCAATAGTTACAGGATCTTTCATGTCCACCTGAACAGGCAGACTCCACTTATAGTTTAATTCACCTTTCCGTAAAATATTTCAAAAGTTCTTAATAATAATAATAATCCTCGCATTTGATATAGCGCTTTTCACGTCGGGAGGACGTCCCAAAGCGCTTCACAGAACACACTGTAAAGTGAATTGATTGTATAATTGTGGGCGAACGCAGCAGCCAATTGCGCACAGCAATGTCCCACAGACGGTCGTAGACTGAAAATGACCAATTTATTATTGTTTTGGGTTTTGGAGGGATTATTATTAGGCTCTGTGTGGAGTAAGGAAACTTGCCCAAGGTTTCGCCCTCTGCCTGGAATTGAACTCAGGTCTCTCACTTGCAAAGCGAGTGCTCTAACCACTGAGCTACAGGACTCCACGATATTAACAAGTGAGCAGGAGGGAGGGGGAGAGAAAAGGATATTGTCCAAAGGTACGATTGAAGAGATACGATTTCAGGAGGTGACTGAAGACGGTGGAAAGGTTAGTGATATTGAAATATTTTGGAAAACAAATGAAGAGAAATCACAGCTCAATAACTCAGTTAAACCAAGAACGAAAATTCAATTACTGGTCTCAGAGAATCAAAATAGAAAAATACAACCGATAGATTTATCATACATATTTTTTTAAAAAAAGTTGCCTGGGGAATAATAATAATAACTGGGGAATGGGGTTAAAGCAAACAGCTGCACTCCCACAGCAAAGGCTCGATAAATCCCTTCTGTTCCCTGGTTTCCAGGACCAACACAGAGACTGAACTGAGTTCAGTTTACGGCACGAATCCTATTCTGTCGTAATCTTTCAGCTGCAGTGGGATTTATCCTTAAAACAAAAATAATGAAATCGAAAGAGAAACCGTTGCGAACATCCTTTTTCTACCTGAAATGTACAGTCACGATACTTTACAATATATTCTGCGAAGTGCTTTCTGTGATCTCCTAACCCCCAACCAACCAGTCCGCCCCCTCCGCTCAGCGGGCTATAGCCTGCTTCACGTCCCCCCTCTTGCCCGCCCCATCATTGGCCCCATCATGGGGCCTTCAGACCACAGTCCCTCCGCCTCTCCCCGTCTCTGGCTTCCTTCAAGACCCATCTCGAGACTCTCCTGTTCGACCGTGCCTTCGATCACCCTCCCCGCCCTCCACCCCAACAGATCCCAACCACTAGCTCGGGTACGAATCCCTGACTGTCCAGTGCCTTGGGATGTCCTCCTGACGTGAAAGACGCTGCACAAATGCAATTTGTTGCTGTCCCGACGACACGATACAATACAAAATTACATTCGTACAGCGCCTTTCACATAGCCAGTTATGGGTCAGAGTTGGGAAGGAGAAAGATTGCGGAGGGCCTTGAAGGCAAGGACGAGGATTCTGAGCTCGATTCTCTGGGGGATGGGGAGCCAGTGGAGCCGGGCGAGTGTGGGGCGGATAAGGCACTTGATATAGTGCCTTATCACGTCTTCGAGACGACTCCAAGCGGCTTCACAGAATGTACTGTAGAGTGAAGTGACCGAATATTCTGTGGGCGGAACGCAGCAGCCAATTGCGCGCAGCAGCGTCCCCGCAAACAGTCGTGGATTGAAGTGACCAAATGATTACCTATTTTGAAGGGATCAGTAACCCCGGAGAAGAGATCCACCCATCGAACTAACAACCGGCTTCCTACTTACTCCTTGGTAAACAAAGGCGTGTGGAGTAAGGAAACTTGCCCAACATTTCGCCCAGCCGGGAATTTGGACCCGGGTCTCTCGCTTGCGAGTGCTCTAACCCCTGAGCTGCAGGACTTAGTAAGTTAGTAAGTAAAAAAAAAACACCAAAAATTGGTCATTTTCAATCTACGACTGTCCGTGGGGCGTCGCTGTGCGCAATCGGCCGCCGCGTTCGCCCACAAACGTACAGTCAATGCACTCGACAGCGTGTTCCGCGAAGCGCTTTGGGACGTCCTCTCCCGACGTGAAAAGCGCTATATCAGACGCGAGGATTATTATTATTATTATGATGATTATTATTATTAAGTTGCAGAGGTACGTTTGCAGCCCACATTCGACAACAAAAAAAAACAACTTGCGCTTACACACGGTGCCCTTCACGCAGGTTAGAGTATCGGAGCGCTTAACAGAGCCCGACACCGAGCTGGAGGGAGGGAGGTGACTGACGGCCGTTATTATGCATCCCACGCGCCCCGAGATGTAAAATATAATACGTTAGAGAATAAAAGCCTGGATAACTCTTCCAAAGGGCCGGCACCGGCACCGGCACCACGGGCCGAATGGCCTCCTTCCGTGCTGCACTCCACCAAGGGCCGCGCAACACTGACCACAACGAAATAACCCACCGCGTCTTCGACGGAGCCCGTGGTCACGAACACCCCCCCCACCCACCCCCCCGCCCCGCCCCGCCCGCCGCCCCCCGACTCGACGCCTGTCCCCGCCGCAACGCGCTCCGGCCGCACCCCAACTAACGCACGTTAAAACGTTAAGCGTCTCGAGCGCAGGGGCAATAATAAAGCGCAAGTCCCCCCCCCCACCCCCCACCACCACCCCCACCGCCGGCAACTCGCCCCCTCTTCCCATTCTCTCCCACACACCCCACCCCCACCGCCGCCGCCCAAACTCACACGCACACTCACACGGGTGGGGGGGGTGGGGGCGAGTCGTCTCGCGTCGTCTGCCCCACAAAAACGGTCACTACACCGGGGGGAGCCGCGCCTCGGGAGGGGGAGGGGGAGGGAGCGAGAGAGAGAGAGAGAGAGGGTGTGTGTGTGGGTGTGTGTGGGGGGGGGGGGGGGGGTTGGCAGGTCAGGTCAGGGTCAGGCGCCCTACCCTGGGCGGGGGGGCCGGATCCGGCCCGGGGGCCGCTCGGGTACTCACCGCGCTCCAGCAGATCAGCTCGTTCGTGTCCGGGTCCTCGATCAGCGTCCACAGTTTGGTGAGGAAGGCGGGAACGTTCCCGCCGTGAGGGTCCATCGGGAGACCGAGAGAGAGAGAGGGAGAGAGAGACCGAGGCCCGGGGGAGGGGCCCAGGCCCAGGCCCCGGGACTACAGTCAGGCCCGAGCCGAGCCCCGGGGCCTAGAGTCGGACTGAGGCCCCGGGGATTGGAGTCGAGGCCCCGGAGCCGAGGCGACTGTGAGGCCCGAACCCAGGCCCAGGGGGTCGGGGGGGGTCGGGGGTAGAGTGAGGCCGAAGCCCCGGGGGGTGAGAGCCGGGCCCCGGGGCCTAGAGTCGGACTGAGGCCCCGGGGTTTGGTGTCCGGCCCCGGGCTGTGTGTGGGGGCTGTGTGGGGGGGAGTCCGGGCTTCGCCGCTGTGTGGGAGGGAGAGGAGTGAGGAGAGAGGAGAGGAGAGACGGTCCCGGGGGCCTCCGTCACTAACCCGCGGCCGCGCGCTCCCCGCCAACCGCCGCCGCCATCTTACGCCGCTCCGCCGCCGCCGCCGCCGCCTCCTCACGCTCTCCCCGCCCCCCCCACCCCCCCCACCACCACCACCTGACCGTCTGCCCCTCTCTGTCTGTCTGTCTGTCTGTCTGTGTCTCTCTCTCTGTTTGTGCCTCTGACTGTCTGTCTCTCTGTTTCTGTCTCTCTGTTTGTCTGTATCTCACTGTCTGTCTCTCTCTGTCTGTCAGTCTCTGTCTGTTTGTGTCTCTCTCTGTCTGTCTCTCTGTCTCTCTCTCTTTCTGTCTCTGTCTGTTTCTGTCTCTCTCTTTCTGTCTCTCTGTCTGTCTGTATCTCACTGTCCGGTCTCTCTCTGTCTGTCTGTATCTCACTGTCCGGTCTCTCTCTGTTTGTATCTCGCTGTCTGTCTCTCTCTGTCTGTATCTCACTGTCTGGTCTCTCTGTCTGTCTGTATCTCACTGTCTGGTCTCTCTCTGTTTGTATCTCACTGTCTGGTCTCTCTCTGTCTGTCTGTATTTCACTGTCTGGTCTCTCTCTGTCTGTCTGTATCTCACTGTCTGGTCTCTCTCTGTTTGGTTGTATCTCACTGTCTGGTCTCTCTCTGTTTGTATCTCACTGTCTGGTCTCTCTCTGTCTGTCTGTATCTCACTGTCTGGTCTCTCTCTGTTTGTTTGTATCTCACTGTCTGGTCTCTCTCTGTTTGTATCTCACTGTCTGGTCTCTCTCTTTCTGTCTCTGTCTGTTTCTGTCTCTCTGTTTCTCTCTGTCTGTCTGTATCTCGCTCTCCGGTCTCTCTCTGTCTGTTTGTATCTCGCTGTCTGGTCTCTCTCTGTCTGTCTGTATCTCGCTGTCTGTCTCTCACTGTCTGGTCTCTCTCTGTCTGTTTGTATCTCGCTGTCTGGTCTCTCTCTGTCTGTTTGTATCTCGCTGTCTGGTCTCTCTCTGTTTGTTTGTATCTCGCTGTCTGGTCTCTCTCTGTCTGTTTGTATCTCGCTGTCTGGTCTCTCTCTGTTTGTTTGTATCTCGCTGTCTGGTCTCTCTCTGTCTGTTTGTATCTCGCTGTCTGGTCTCTCTCTGTCTGTTTGTATCTCGCTGTCTGTCTCTCTCTGTCTGTATCTCGCTGTCTGGTCTCTCTCTGTCTGCTCGCGTCTGTCGCTCTCTTGTCTGTCTGCGGGAGGGGGAAAGGGGGGGGGGGGGCAACTGCTAAACAACAACAACAACAACCCCCTCAAACACGCCCCTCAGCCTCCACCCCTCGAACACCCCTTCAACCCCTCTTCCTTCAAATCCCACCCCCCCCTCCCGAGAACCTCCCCGAAACCCCACCTCTTCTCAACCCCCCCCCCCCCCCAAACAGGGACCGCTCACCCCAACCGCCCGAAATAAGAGAAGCTTCCTCAGATTTTATATATATATATAGACCGGCGGTACCCGTTTGCGGCTACGCTTCCAACCAAAGGATGTAGATTTCAGTGATTTGTTTTTATCTGATCAAAATATGTATATATATATATATTTATTTATTCGTTTACTTATTGATATATATTCACGTTCGTCTCAGACACCTTCAAACCCGTTACAGAAAAGAAGACGCAACGTGTTGTTATCCCGCGACGGAACGCAACAGACCCGGCCCCCTGTGGTGGGGGGGTTTGCCTCGACAACGGCTTCCCCGCCTTGAGGTCTTTCCGCCCTTTACAGGTCGGAGTTACAACAACACCAACAACAACAAGATTTCATTTTATAGAGCGCCTTTCACGTCGGGAGGACGTCCCAAGGCGGCGGACAGTTGGGTCGGGAAATGGGGTCTTGTAACCCCTTCCTTATCCCTCCCCTCTTAGCGGGGCGTGTGGACAGGTTCACAGCACCTGTGCACCATTGGGGGTACACGCTTAGACAGTCGGAACGCCCGGACACTGAACACCCCCCCCCCCCCCCCCCCCGCCCCCCGATGAGGCGCACTTACCGCTTTTGGATGGCGCCCCGATGTGCGCCAATGCGCCCACATGCACTATATCCCCAACCTGACCCATGCCTGTCACTGCGGCGCGCCTTGCAAAGGGGTCCTGTTCCCCTTTTCTACAGGGGGCAGTTACACGGGTGGGCTAGTCCTGGCTCTGCCATCATTTTGCAGAACAGCGAACCTTTGCCCCACTCCCTGCCGCTCCCTCTTTTATGGGGTGGGGGGGGGGGGGAAGGGGGGGATCGGTTTGTGGCGGGGGGGGGGGGGGGGGTGGTTGCAGGCAGCAGGCGTGCACACATTTACGGCACGCTCTTTAGTTTGCATCCCGAGCCCTTCAAAGAAAAAGAAAAATGTAAAAAAAAACAAAGCGGTTACGCAATCAATCCACGACTGCTTGCGGGGATGCCGCCGCGCGCCGTTCCGCCCGCACAATACACAGTCACTGCACTGTGCAGCATATCTCTAGCGAAGCGCTTTGAGACCCCTCGAGGGCGTTGAGCAAGGGGCCATAATCAAACAATGAAAATAATAACCCTCGCATTTGATATAGCGCTTTTCACGTCGGGAGAGGACGTCCCAAAGCGCTTCACAGAACACACTGTAAAGTGAATTGACTGTATGTGTTTGTGGGCGAACGCGGCGGCCGATTGCGCACTGCGACGTCCCACAGGCGGTCGTGGATTGAAAATGACCAATTTATTATTGTTTTTGGAGGGATTATTATTAGGGCTGTGTGTGGAGGAAGGAAACCTGCCCGAGGTTTCGCCCTGACCTGCCTGGGGATTGAACCCGGGTCTCTCGCTTGCAAAGCGAGCGCTCTGACCACTGAGCTGCAGGACTGCACGAGGGTGGCGATCGCAAACCGCGAAACCCGCCCAAATGGGGCGTGAAACCCGCCCAACCGGCAGCGCGGCCGCCTCCTCCTCCTCCTCCTGCCCCGCCCCCACCCGCCCAGGTTGACCTGTGACCTCTCCTCGCCTCACGCGCTGGCGTCGCGCGGGGCGACCGTTGGGGCAAAGATGGCGGCCGAAAGCACGCGGGCGCCGGCAGCGGGGAGCAGCCGGGCGGCCGGGGGCAAGAGGGCGGCCTCGCTCGGCCCGCCGGAGGCAGAGGATCAGGTTGGTGGCGTCTCTTTCTCTCTCTGTGGGGTGGGGGGGGCGGCAGTATCTGCTGGCGGCCATGTCCTGCTGGGACAGGGAGCGCGAGACATGACAGCGCAGCTTCTGTCATGGCCGCCGCCTCCTCCCCCCCTCCCCCTCACCCCCCCCCCACCACCTCACCGCTCGACCCCCCCCCTCCCCCACCACCACACCCACCGCTCGACCCCCCCCCCCCACCTCACACCCACCGCTCCCCCCCACTCACACCCACCGCTCGACCCCCCCCCCCCCCACCACTCACATCCACCCCTCGACCCCCCCTCCCCCACCACTCACACCCACCGCTCGACCCCCCCCTCCCCCACCACTCAACCCACCGCTCGACCCCCCCCCCTCCCCCACACTCACACCCACCGCTCGACCCCCCCCCCCCCCCCACTCACACCCCCTCGACCCCCCTCCCCCCCCCACCCACCGCTCGACCCCCCCCCACACTCACACCACCACTGACCCCCCCACTCACACCCACCGCTCGACCACCCCCCTCCCACCACTCACACCCACCGCTCGACCACCCACCGCTCGACCCTCCCCCCACTCACACCCACCGCTCGACCCTCCCCCCACTTACACCCACCACTCGACCACTCCCCCCTCTCACCCAGCGCTCGACCCTCCCCCCACTCACACCTACCTCTTCCCCCCCCCACTCACACCCACTTCTTTCCCCCCCCCACTCACACCTACCTCTTTCCCCCCCACCACTCACACCCACCTCTCTCCCCCCCACCCACTCACACCCACCTCTCTTCCCCCCCCACCCACTCACACCCACCTCTCTCCCCCCCACCCACTCACACCCACCGCTCGACCCCCCCCACTCACACCCACCGCTCGACCCCCCCCCACTCACACCCACCTCTCTCCCCCCCCCCGACTCACACCCACCTCTCTCCCCCCCCCCCGACTCACACCCACCTCTCTCCCCTCCCACCCACTCACACCCACCGCTCTCCCCCACCCACTCACACCCACCTCTCTCCCCCCCCACCCATCACACCCACCTCTCTCCCCCCCACCCACTCACACCCACCTCTCTCCCCCCCCACCCACTCACACCCACCTCTCTCCCCCCCACCGACTCACACCCACCTCTCTCCCCCCCCCCCGACTCACACCCACCTCTCTCCCCTCCCACCCACTCACACCCACCTCTCTCCACCCCCACCCACCTCTCTCCCACCCCACCCACTCACACCCACCTCTCCCCCCCCACCCCCACTCACCCACCTCTCTCCCCACCCCCACTCACACTCACCGCTCGCCCCCCCACTCACACCCACCTCTATCCCCCCCCACACCCACCGCTCGACCCCCCCCCACACCCACCTCCTCCCCGCCACTCACACCCACCGCTCGAACCCCCCTCACACCCACCTCTCTCCCCCCCACTCACACCCACTCTCTCCCCCCCTCACACCCACCTCTCCCCCCTCACACCCACCTCTCTCCCCCCCCCCACTCACACCCACCTCTCTCCCCCCCCACTCACACCCACCGCTCGACCCCCCCCCCGACTCACACGCACCGCTCGACCCCCCCCCACTCACACCCACCGCTCTCCCCCCACTCACACCCACCTCTCCCCCCCCCACTCACACCCACCGCTCGCACAACCTCCTCTCTCTTGCACCCTCCCCCTCTCTCCCGCTCCCTCCTCTCTCTCTCGCAACCCCACCTCTCTCTCGCACCCTCTCCCTCTCTCTCGCACCCCCTCCTCTCTCGCCCACCCCCTCCTCTCTCCATTTACTTTGGAGTGACTGTATTTGTAGGAAAACGATGGAACAATGCACCCAATACGTAGCCACATGTACACCATGGAGTAACCTGCAATAATACATGGATTATATACCACGGCCTGACCTGTAACTTGCATGTATGGCTTGATTTTGGGAGCTCGGCAGGTATATTTTAAGACGTCTCAGAGAATCACCTTCTCTCACACGCAGTTACATACAGCATTCCTCAGGGTTCTACCCTCGGTCCTTTCCTTTTCACTGCCTATATACTCCTACTCGGCGATGTCATCCGCAGACATGGAGTTAAGACATGGATGGATGATACCCAACTCGACAACTACAACAACAACTTGCATTTATATATCGCTTGAATCTGCCTCCACCTTCGATTCCATGACCACTGTTGTTTTGACTGATTGACTGTCAGACATCAAGTCCAGGATGCATACTAACTTTCCTCAATTGAATGTTCACAAGATCACAAGATTTGTTTGAATACAGAAGACCCTTCAGCTCATCTAATCTCATCCCTCCAGAAGACCCCTTAATGCCCCCCATTACAGCATCATGCTATTTTTTAAACTAGTCCCTGTGCCCTGGCCTCAACCACCCTTCCTGACAACCTGCTGCAGTTATTGATAATCATCTGCATAAAGAAAATCTTTCTGGTGTTTGTGCTGAAATTGCACTTTACAACTCTAATAATATTAACCTAGAATAATAATCCTTACATTTGGTATAGCACCTTTCACGTATTATTCTACTGTCTTGGTGCATCCCGAAGTACTGATCCGGGTACTTCAAAATTTCATACACCTCTATGAGGTCCCCTCTGAGTCGTTTTCTCTTGAGACTGAAGAGCTCGAGCTTGTCTAAACGTTGTTCACAGCTCATTCCTCTAACACTGGCGATCAGCCTTATCGCTCTCCTCTGTCTTGTCTCTTGGCCCCGGGCAGCCCCCTTATGTCACAGTGATCAGAACTGCAGTATTCAAGGTAATTGCTGACCAGAGTGTACATCTGGGGATCTAAACTAAACTCAACTGATTTAGCAATATAGCCCAGCATTCTGTTTGCCTTGTAACTTGGTACATTGCTGTCTCACACTGGCTTGACATAGTGAGCGGCAGGTCAACAAAACACCCCTAGACCTTTTTTAGCTCTCCCTTTGTGAGTTCAATCCCATCCATGGAGTACTTGTGTGTCCTATTCCTGGATTCTATATATAACATATAGACTGCACAGATATAGTATAAATACTGTGCGTATATATAATAATAATCTTTGCATTTGATATAGCACCTTATCATGTTATTGAGATGTCTCAAAGCGTTGACTGTGTGTTTTGTGGGCAAAATGCAGCAGCTAATTATATATAATTATAATAATCCTTGCATTTGATATAGCGCCTCATAGCACTTCATATATACTGTAAAGTGAATTGACTGTATAATTTGTGGGCAAAACATTTATTGTGTATATGACTCCTGGCTTGACAATGCTAACTCCCTGCTCGCTGGCCTTCCAACTCTTTTCTCCATAAACTGCAGATTATTCAGAACACTCTGCTGTATTATTATTCTTTTCTCCACAAGCTGCAGATTAGTCAGAACACATCCGCACCATGACCAGCACTGCCTACCGCTACCTCCGCAACATTGCTGGACTCCGCCACTGCCTCACCCCTCAGGCTGCCGAAACCCTCACCCATGCGTTCGTCACCTCAAGTCACCTCAAGGCTTGATTACGGGAACTCCCTCCTCATCGGCCTGCCCAACTCTTCCCTTCACAAGCTGCAGATCATCCAAAAGCTTGTGTACTCTCACGCACCAGGCTCTGCGACCCCATCACTCCCACCCTCGCCCGACTCCACTGGCTCCCCATCCGCCAGAGGATTGAATTCAAGATCCTCGTCCTCACCTTTAAGGCCATCCACCCCCTCCTACGTCTCTGACCTGTTGACTCCCTACCAACCTGCCCGCTCCCTCCGCTCATCAGGCTCCGGCCTGCTCCCTGTCTCCCGCCCGACCCGTCCTACCATCAGTGGCTGGGCTTTCAGCCTCTCTCCATCCCATGGTCCCTTCACCTCGCTTTCTCCCTTGCATCCTTCAAGGCCAGTCTCAAGACCCTTCCCTTCAACCGTGCCTTTGGTCTCCCTCCCACCTTTCTGCCTTCCTTCACCCCTACACCACCCTCCCCCCACGCTCGGGCTCCGAAATCTAACTGTTCAGCGCTTTGGGACATCCTCCCGACGTGAAAGGCGCTCTACAAATGTAATTTTGTTGTTGTTGTTGTCTCTCCCACACTAAGCTCTGTGACCCTATCACCTCCACCCTCGCCACTGGCTCCCCATCCCCCAGAGGACAGAGTTCAAGGTCCCTGTCACCTTTCAGGTTTTCCAAGGGCTTGCTCCCTACTTCTGTGACCTATTAAACTTTACCAACTTGTCTGTTTGGCGAGCACTGGCCTTGCACACTCGAGTATCGGCGGTCGGGCCTTCAACCTCTCTAACCCACCCTGTCGAACTCCCATCATGGCGACCCTCCCTCTTCTCCTTTAAGGCCTGTCTCAAGACCTTCCTCTTTGACCCCGCCTTCTATCATCTTCCCACCCCTGCCCCCACCCCTCTTGATTCCAACCCCCAGCTCAGGTACAAACCCCTCACTTACGGATGTCCTCCAGACACGAAAGGCTGTATAAATGTAATTTATTGTTGTAGTACCTTGCGTTTATCTATATTAGATTTCATTTGACAGTCTTCTGGCCATGATCATACCTATCAAGCTCTCTTTGCAGGTCCTTTGCTGCCTCCTCTGGTGCCCCAACTTGGTGCCACCTACAAATTTAAATATTTAACACTAGGTTTTACACTCTGAACAAGACAGCTTGGCTGCACTCTCCACCTTGCAGAGCCAAATGTGTTTTGTTTGCCTCCCAACTGTTCTTTGAACTCCACATCCATGCTCTTACCCACTCAGCTTTCCCTAATGTCTGTAACACTACTGCCTCCCCGCTACTTCTCCCCTTGAGCCGCCGAGACCTTCATCCGCACATTGACTACGCCAATGCTCTGTTTGCTAGACGTCCCAGCTCTCCCTTACACAAACCATAGATTATCCAGAACTCTGTAACCCATGTCCTCTCCCGCACCAGGCTCCGTGAACGTATCACCCATCCCGCCCAGCTCCACTGGCTCGCCCTGCCGAGCAGATCAAGCTTAAGATCCTCGTTCTCACCTTCCATGGTTTCGCCTCACTCTACCATTGCGAACATCCTCAAATCATACCCACCTGGCTTCTCACTTCACTCGGGGAAACACTGGCCTGCTTCATGTCTCCTGGCCTACCAGGAGATATAGGATAGGCAGTCGGGCTTTCAACCATGCTCTCTGAAACTCCATCTCAGAGTCCCTTTGTCTCCTTCCCTCCCTTCCTTCAAGATCCACCTTAAGACCTATTTCTTTGACTGCGATTTTAATCATTTTTCTCCTCCTTCCCTCAGCTCGGGTGCACAGCCTGCAGCGTTGAGCACTTTGGAGCCCTGTAGCTCAAGGTTAGAGCACCCGCCTTGCAAGCAAGAGACCTGGGTTTGATTCCCTGCAGGACGAAATGCTTGCGAGGCGAGTGCTCCAACCAATTCCGCCACAGGACTCCCACCTATTGTAATCTTTGGTTAGTGTGCAGCGCCTGATCTCACCAGCAGATGACGATCCTCTGCTGCTTAGTGCAGAGAGTGAATGAAAGTACCCTTCCTCCTGCCGTCTGACTTCTGACTGTGAGAGACAGCACATCTTTCAGGACCCATCTGCGAGACTCATTTGGTTGCAATCAAAGGGCTCTCCACAGGAAAGGAGATGAGAGTGAGCGAGTGCGCGGCTTGCTTCCTAGCATTTGGGGGGTTGCAGCCATCCTGCACGTGTGGGAATTCTGCCTGTTCTTTCACTCTGATACCAACGATCCCAGTGCTGGGCTTCAAATGAAAATGATGCTTGAGGGCACGACCTCTGTGTTCATCCAAACTCCACATTTAACTTTCACTTTTTTTTCTAAACCAAGGCTAAGCTGTTGCTGTTTTCCTCTCCGGGTTCTGCTCCCACCTGTCTGCCATTTGCCGTTCAGTAATGAGCTGGTCGCTCTCTCACCTCTGGGTCAGAAGCTTGTGGTTTCGAGATACTCTGGAGAAAGCACTGTATTGCCAGAGGTGCCATCCTTCGGGTGAGGTCTTTAACCGAGATCTTATCTGTGCCTATTCAGGTGGACTTTGAAAATCTCACAAAACTTTTGGAAAAGTCCAGTGTCCCGGTGGGCAATACTTTAGATAAATCAGTCATTCACTTCATGGCTGTTTCTGTGCAAAATGACTGCTGCGTTTACCTGCCAAAACAGTCACTACACTTGACAGTAATTACCTGAGAAGTGCTTTGAGATGTTTATTGCAAAAAGGCACTATAAAATGCTTTTCTTTCTAATTCTATTGATATATCTATAAGTGTGATGTAATGAAGGTTCCATATAATAGTAATACTTGCATCAGTTAGCATCTATCATGTCAGGAGGATATTCAAAGCACTTCACATGATGTGCTTTCATTGTATGTTTTGTGGAGAAATGCTGAAGCTACTTTATGCACAGCAATGTCCCACAAACAACCATGAAGTGATTGATCAATTTTTATTATTTAGGGGATTGTTGGCCAGGACGCTGGGAGAAACTCCCTTCTCTTTTCCAATAGCGAAACGGATCTTTAACGTCTATCTAAATAGGCATAGGGGGTCTTCGGTTTATCTTCTCATCCAACACCCAGTACTGTAAGTCAGCAGGGGTTGGGGGGTTGGGGAGTTAGTCAGGGTCCACTGTGATTGGCCTCGCTCTGACGGGAGATGGGAGCAGAGCCAGACAGATCCACAGGAAATCCAAGGCACTACCAGTAGCCGATCACCCCCATTCTGCTATGCGCAGGATAAAATATTACAGTCAATTCACTTTAAAGTGCGTTCTGTGAAGCACTTTAAGATATCTCGAAGGCTCTATCTCAAATGCAAGTATTATTATTATTCTTGCAGGGCTCCATTGGCTCACCATCCCTTGGAGGATTGAGTTTAAAATCCTCATCCTCACTATTAAAGCCCTCCACGTCTTGCTCCTCCCTACCTCTGTGATCTATTAATATGGCCATCAGCCTCTCTGTCCTCATCTTCTGGAACTTCCGACCCCGTATTCCTCCACCTCACCCCCTTCCTTGCCTCCTTCAAGACCCATCTGAAGACCTTCCTCTTTGACCGTGCCTTCAGTCATCTTCCCAGCCCTACTTCCCCTACCCTCCAACCATGTTGATTCCAACCCTCAGCTCGGGTGCAAACCCTTAACTGTCCAACGCCTTAGCACGTCCTTCCAACGTGAAACGTGCTGTGTAAACTTACTTTGTTGTTGTTGTTGGGCTGTTTGGAGCTTTCTTAACAGTAGTGGCGTCCTTGTTTAAATTGTGCCTGAATTTGGTGTGTGCTTGCTTTCTAGTTGCCTCTCTTTGAAGCGTTGAATGTGAAGGAGGAGGAGGATGTAACGGACAGTGAGGAGAGCGTTTACTCTGGGCTGGAGGATTCAGGCAATGAGAGCAGTGACGAGGAGGAAGAGGGGGACGAGACTGAAGACAGTGGTCTTGAAGATAAGGGTGAAACCGATGAGAAGTCCAGCACACAGGCAGAGGTGAGTAACACTGATGAATTTCTGGTGGTTTGAACAGAGCAGTTCTCTGAGCGCTAGGACACTGACTCTCGTTTAATAACAATTAGGTTTCCACAGAGGTGAGAGCTTAAGTGACTGAGCCAGGAGGTGGTCCGATGAAACCTGAACTCTGTGTTCCCTTTCGGACACTTTGCCAATCAAGTGGTACAAAATATGAGTTCTTTCGTGAAGCCATGCATTCCTAAGTGCCGGCCTGGATCAGTCAGTAGCATTTCTCGCCTCTTAAGACAGAAGGTTGTGGGATCAAGCATGTCAGTACTGTGAACTCACAGTCTAGACTGATGCTGGAGGAAAGCCCTGCATTGATGAAGGTGCCATCCTTCAGATCCCGTCTTCATATTTAGCTGGACATTAAAGATACCATGGCCAGGATTATTATTAACAAACACTTATCTTGTTCTGCCATTGCCAGCCGGGCCAAGCTACCAGGCAGGAGGAAGATGAAGGGACTGGGAATGGGGACAAGTTGGAGACGTCTGAGCAATGGCGGAAACCTCCTCTAAATGACGAGTACGAAGTGGACACTTCAGATGAGGAGGTAAGCAGAATCTCGCTCACTCGACAGACCGTTCACTATGGAAGCAATGTGGCTGTTTAAATATGAACAGGGTGTGGGAGCTAACCCGCCACCCCAACCTCAGCAACTTGTGCAGTTATCACGAGGAACTGTTTGCTAATGTCCTGATATCAGCTCAACCTGCATGCTTGTCTGACCCACCACACACCTGTGATCAGGACCTGATATCCCCAGTGTAACTGAAAACAATGAGACATAATCCAGCCAATAGGCCTTTGCTGGAGGGTGGGTGGGTGTTGTGTTGTGGCTGAGGGAAAGCAGAGGGTGGTGGTGAGGTCAGCTAGATCACACTCCACATTTGTTTGTCTCCTCCCCTCAACCCCAGAGGTACAAACCAAGATGGGGCTGTGGAGTGAAGCAATATGTGAGTGGAGTGAGGGCAAGTGATGGGTGAAGTGCGGAATGGATTTGGGAGCGATGGTGAGAAGGAATGGGCCTGGGAGCGATGGTGGGTGGGTTTGGGAGTGACATTGAGGGGAGGAGTGGGTCTGGGAGTAATGGGGGGGGAGGGTCTCGGAGTGATGGTGAGAGGGAGGAGTGGGTCTTGGAATGATGGTGAAAGGGAGGAGTGGGTCTGGGAGTGATGGTGAGAGGCAGGAGTGGGTCTGGGAGTGATGGTGAGGCGGGGAGTGTGTCTGGAAGTGATGGGGAGGAGTGGGTTTGGGATTGAGGTGACGGGAGGGGGCGGGGGAGTAATAATCCCTATGGGATTGGCTCAGTGTTTGCGTGAGGCTGGATGCCCTGTGTCTGTTGTCCTTGTTGATTTAGCTTTAGGGGATTGGTGGCAGTGCAGTGCATTGTCTGAAATGCTGAAATCCTTCGGATGAGATGTTGAACCCATGATTGACCTGTAGGTGTGGGACATTGTTATGTGACTGCGTGACAATAGCGGCCTCCTTTTGTGCGGTAAGACTCTATGAAAAGCGGTCACTACACTTGATAGGCTGTTTCCTGTGAAACGCTTTGAGAGCAGTTTGACATTCTAGGCGCTGGATCAAATATGAGAATTACCCTGAGGCCGGCCGGCCTCTGTTTGAGCCACAGGCAGACGGAAGGACGGGAGGAAGAGTTAGCTGACCAATGGCAATTCCATGTGTGTGAAAGGAGTGAGTGACGAGGCATTGTGGAATAGATTGCTGGCACCCGTCCCTCTTCCACTTCCTGGCTCTCTCCGCTGTTGCCCGCAGACTCCAAGCTGCTGGGAATTCAACTGCACAGTAGCTGCAGGAGTCTCCTGGAATAGAGATCAGGCTGGAGCGGCTCTGCTGAAAGTGGAACTGTTTGTGTTTAGTGTTTGGGGGGGGAGGGAACGGTTCTCGAGCCGCGAGTGGAAGTGCACCAGACTGCTAACAGTCCCAGTGTGTGCTCAAACGTCTGCTGTAAATGGGATGTTTTCATATCGAGGCCCTGTGAGTAAATCACAGCATCTGTCCTTTTCGATTCTGCCGTCTAAATAATGATGCTCGCTTTTGATCCAGCGATTTGAACCTCGCAACTCCACCAAGTGTTTCTCCAGGAATTGCTGTCAAGTGTAGTGACTGTGTGTACTTATGGCAATCCATTTATGCACATCCAGGTCCAGTACAAGGCCATGAAGTGAACGAGCGATTGATTCATCTGCAGAATTGTTGTTAGGGAGAAACTCACTTCTCTTCTTGAATAATATCTGTTTGAACAGGCACAGTTAATTTAACGTCAAGGTTCATCTGAACTGGGAGCAGGAAGTCATCCCACCAAGCTCCTGTTAACCCTCCAAGCCAAAGGCCTAACGGGTAGGGTGGTCCTAGCTGGACAAGCAGCGGGAAAGCTTGCCAGACAGCGATATTATTGGCAAGCTACGCGGTTTTAGCTGGTTAGACTTTAGTAAAGCTAAAACAATACTTCAGGTTGCAACAAGACAGTAGAATAAGAGGACACGGGTTTAGAGTTGTAAAGGGGCGATTTCAGGACAGACACCAGGAAGTGTTTCTTCACACTCTGGGATCCCCAATTGTTTAGATTAAAACCACTTGTTTGGCACACTCTGTTGGGTCTTAGCTCTTGCCAACCGGCACCTAATACTCTCCAAAATTAGGTAAGCAACCTAGGGAAAGAAAATGCATTCCATTTCAGACACAGGGGGCCTCCCACGTGTAGGTGGGATACACTTGTGGAAATCGTCTTAAGCAAGGTCATGGGTTTCTGCATGTCAGACAGTCGGCTGACACCCCTCCCCACCCCCCCGCGATGGTGGGATGGTGTCTCCTGACAAAGCCACTACGCTGGATTATTATCATTATTTATCTTTTGGAAGGGATTATTACCCGTGGAAAAGCGATCAGCCAATCGACTAACAACTGGGTTCCTATTTACTGTTAGGTAAACAGGCGTGTGGAGTAAGGAAACTTGCCCAATATATTGAACCCGGGTTCTCTCGCTTGCAAGGCGAATGCTCTAACCCCTAAGCTACAGGAATCCACATGAAGTGGATAGATGCATGTGAGGACTTTGAAATCGATCTGGTCTGCGACAGGGAGCCAGTGGAGACTGGTAAGGACTGGGTGATAGGGGTGCATAGTGTGGGACAGGTGAGGATGTGGGCGGCCGGCAGACAGCAGTGTTTCTTTACGCAGAGAGCGATTAACCTGGCAAGCTACAGGCCCATTTGCCTGACCTTAAGAACTGGGTAACTTAAGAAATCAATGGGCTGAATCTGAATAATACTAGCGTTGAATTTTATACAGTACTTCATCATGTCCAAAACATCTCAAGGCATCTCAGAGGGAATAGCTGTCAAGTGTAAGACTTATTAGATGCTAGCAAGATCCAACGCATAGCCACAAAGTGAACGTATGATAGCCAGGAGTTGGAGAGATATAGATGTTCCCTTTTTTCAAGTGTCGTGTGATCCTTTGACGTCCACAAAGTGCTCCGGGATGTTACCCTGCATGAGGGGGGTGCTATATAAATGCAAGTTGCTGTTGTTGTTGTTCAGGTCTCGGTCTGNTTTTTTTGTTGTGCCCAGGAATCTGCAGCCTCTAATTTGTGAGGGGAGATTACTGCCGCCTGCCACGCACCCGGTTGCGAGGCTGCTTCACTGAAAGGAAGTCTGCGAAAGAGATTTGGGTGTCTTGCAGTATCGCTTATATCACTAGATGGCGCCTTTGTATTGCACAGGTTAGAGCTCCCTTCAGTAGTTTGTCCAATAACAGGGCCCGTGCCGACACGTCCTAAATGTCTGTCTGGCACAGCGAGTCACGTTGTACTCTAGTGACTGTCACATTTTCATGGGCTGTGCTCCCTACAGCAGGGACAAACCCAGAAACGTGTACGATTCTGGACAGAACACAGCAGTGGTGCCACCCTGGCATTGCAGAGCAGGAATGACAAACCCTGGTTGATTTTACTCCCTCATCTAATTGATGCTCACACTAAAGTCAGCCACACTAAACTCTGTACTCCCGTCACACCTGTCCTCCCTCACCATGTATCACAGGCTCCCTTTCAGACACTACGCCCCGAACCTTTGGAACTCCTCCCTCCGCCTTGCCCCTTCCTTCCCCTCTCTTTTAGATCATGACTGAAGGTCTCCCTCTTCAATCGTGCTTGCAGTCACCTCTCTCCCACCGGCTGAGCGTCAGGCTCCGCCACTATTGTGCGCTCCAAGACACTGCCCCGCATGAAGGGCTCTGTGTAAATGCAATTTGTAGTTGTTGTTGCTCAGTCTTTAGTTTTGTGGTGCCAATCAGCAGCAGCTCCATCATTAACACGATGATAACATAAACCTAAAACAGTACTTTAGGTTGCAACAAGATGTAGAACAAGAGGACACAGGTTTAGAGATGTAAAGGGGCAATTTCAGGACAGACACCAGAAAGTGTTTCTTTACCCAGAGGGTAATTAACGACTGGAACAGGGTTGCCAGGAAGCTGGGGTTGAGGCCAGGACACCGCGACTCGTTTAAAACACAGCTTAATGCTGCGATGGTAGAATGGGGTTCTGGAGGGATGAAATCAGATTGTGATCTTGTGAACTAAAAGCATTATTGAGCGCCGTGGTTTATGCAGAGTATGGGGTGTTGTGTCCCTCACGCCGTTCTACACAGTGTAAAGCGATTGAAACATTGAAAGCACGTGTGTGTTTTAATTGCTAGCGTTCATATACCGTGAAGTACCGTTGAGGTTTTGAGTTTGTTGGTGAAAGTGGGAAGTGTTGTCGCAGCCTACGGGCTCTCTGCCCCCACCCTCTCGAACTCCATCCCAGAGCACCTCTGCATTGCTGCTGCTTCTTCCTCCGTCTCAAGACCTTCCTCTTCGAGTGTGCCTTCTGTCATCTTCCAACACTACCCTCCCTGCTCTCCATATCCATCCTGACTCCAGCCCACAACTCGGATGAAGGCCTTGACTGTCTAGTCCCTTAGGACATCCTCCTGACGTGAAAGGCGCTGTATAAATACAATTTGTTATTGTTGTGACCAGGGGCACTTTATCTTAAGGCTTTTATCCCCCCCCACACACACACACGCACACACACACACACACCAGGAGATGGGGGTGTTTTGGAAGGGAGGTGGTTGCTGACAGGAGATGAATCGTGGCTTTGCCGAGCTGTGAGTTGCTGATCACTTCCCTGCTGCTGTACTGTAACGAGAAGCCCAGCAGCGGGGGGTGGGGAGGGAGAAGCCACATGCAGGTGCAGTGCTCAAGCACAGACCCACAGCCCAGCCACCTGTTGTTGTGTGGTGGCTTTTAGTGCTTCCTTTCATCCGGCCTCTCCACTGGCCACGTGCCTTCCAATAGCTTTCTGATTGAAACCAACTGGAGCAGCGGAGCCGGTATTGGGGCCTCGGTCAGGGGAGCCTGTAAGTGAGGCGGTGGGGCGGGGGGGGGGGGGTAATAGGAAGAGAGCAGGGCTGAGGGAGAAGGGCTGTATTGGATAGATCTGGGTTATCTCTCTCTGCTTAGCTCACTCGCTCACACTCT